CTCCTGGCTTCCTTTATCGAAACAATTTTACACGTCGCTTACTTTGCACACTCGTGCCGTGCAGTCGTATTTATCAATTAAGAGATTCTTGCCTCTCTCTCCCTCTGATTCGTTAAAAGCATAAACTCTGCAAATGAGAGAAAAGTCGAGCCGAGTGAAAACTCGCGTTGCTCGCGATACCCACTTAGCTTTGTATCTTCAAAGAAAATCTCTTGCTCGACGCTTTTCAAAGTAATTCAAGCCCTCTGCTATTACCGGCGCTTTAAATTATTTATAACACTGCGGCTGGCTACTACTGCACGGCCTTGTGTACAGTGATTCGTTGCTCTCGCGCGAATACAGTGACACGTAGTCTTCCTCGCTGAGAGAAGACACAGAGAAAGGATAAACCAACCTATGACCGCTACTGTGTAAAAGGATACTCGATCCTGGCCGTTAAACGGCTGCGCTTACGAGCCTGTAGCAAGCCCATGAACAAATTTTGATTAATGAAGTAATCCGAGACGAAAATTGAAGGGCTTATTTTTTTTCTAGCATTTAATCCATGACGTAAGATGGGACGAGAAAAAGAAAGAGATATCGCGTAACGTCTGCGCGACGATTGTACGTTCAATGTGCGCGCTACAGAAAAAAAATGAGAGAGAGAGGTACATACACATATATAATGTATAAAACCATAGCACTTGCTCGCGCACACATCGACGGGAGAAGGGTTTATTTATGTAAGAGCGTTTAAAGGCTTTTGCCCGGGAGCTTGAGTACTTTACGCGCTGCACTTTTTTTATACACATATACTCGTCGCACACGTTCGGAGAAATGAAATTTATCGATTCGGCCGGGTCGAGGGATTGACTGAAGAAACAAAGGCGATCTGGGCAAAGTACGCGCGTTTATTCGTCGAAAAGCCAGGAGGAGAATATTGAGGTGCTAGTCGGTTGCCGACAATGTCGCGCACGAAATTCGCACACTATGCACACCGAGGTACTCTCTCTCCCGACGTTGTATAGAATTCAAAAACGCTTTGACCTCTCGACCGAAGTACATGTGTGGTACAAACTATTATGATATTCACGTGCTCCATATATACTCTGAATGCAATTCTCCTCTGTGCTTAGTCCGTATAAGCCACACACACACACACACACACACACACACACACACACACACACACACACACACANGGACAAGAAAGCGTATAGGACGTGTGTTGCTCGCGCTCCTGTGTTTTAATTCCTAGTGCGGTCATACGTGGTGCAAAAGTGTTTGTGTGTGCACCAAGTGTGTAGATTGACGCGCCGCGTCGGTACACGTGTGTACAGACCTGTAGCAGTGCGTGTACAGCTGCAGTGGTGTTTTTTCCACTGCTCTGTGTTTTCCCGCGTACTGTACTGTCGGTGTGAGCTCCGCGCGCTGGTGTGAGTTCTTGCCTCGTGCCGTGGCGCGAACACCGAAGGCGTGCGCTACTCGCGGCATGGCAGCAGCCGTGAATGACGGGCTGCGGAGCCCGCAGGGGCGGACATCGGACGCGAGACCCAGCACGCCGAGCCTGGTTAAGCCTAGCTCGCTCTCGTCGCTGTGGATGTCTCCTTGCGCAACGGTAGAGTCGATTACGCAGAGGATAATCGGCGCTCCTCTGCATTGCAAGGAGAAAGATTTCAAGCTCCCGTCACCCGCGGAATTCGCAACCGGGACAATGGAGGACAAACTGGGGCGGATGGACGGCCTTATACGGGGACTTGGCCAGTTCATACAAGGCAAGTCCAACCTCCACAAGGAAATAAACAGCTACCGGCTGAGCCTGGGTATGGCTCTCGCAGCGTTGGAGAAGTCGCTGGCGAGCCAAGTGCCACCTCGCCCCCCCACAGCGGATAAGGCGGTTGGCACTCCCTCGTTGTTCTCGGGTGGTGCGAAGAACAAGCGGCCTGCGGATTCGTCACCGGAGATGCGCGTACCGCCAAAGCGTAGCGCAGGTGTCTCGGGCCCCACACGGACGGACGAGAACAACAACGTCGCCGAGGACTGCGACGACTTCGTCCTTGTGGGCCGCCAACGACGTCAGCGGCGCAAGCCACAGCCCCCGATGCCAGCCAACGATGATCCTGCCCGTCGGGCCCCGAAGCCGCGTCCACCGCATCGCCGGGTTCACCAGCGGCCGGATGCAATTATCATCAAGGCAAGTGATCCGTCTACGTATGCGGATATCCTAAAGAAGCTCAAAGGAGAGCAGGCGCTGCAGCAGACTGTCGGCAGCAGCGTAAACAACATCAGACGCAGCGCCGCGGGTGCCTTGGTGCTGCAATTGAAGAAAGGCGTGCATAATGCCTCCGACCTCGGCGAAGAGCTTGGTAAGGTGCTTGGCGCCGCAGCCACAGCCAGTGCCCTGCAGCACACGTCCATGATCGAGATCAAGGACTTGGACGAGTGTGTCACNCACACACACACACACACACACACACACACACACACACACACACACACACACACACACACACACACACACACACACACACACACACACACACACACACACACACACACACACACACACACACACACACACACACACACACACACACACACACACACACACACACACACACACACACACACACACACACACACACACACACACACACACACACACACACACACACACACACACACACACACACACACACACACACACACACACACACACACACACACACACACACACACACACACACACACACACACACACACACACACACACACACACACACACACACACACACACACACACACACACACACACACACACACACACACACACACACACACACACACACACACACACACACACACACACACACACACACACACACACACACACACACACACACACACACACACACACACACACACACACACACACACACACACACACACACACACACACACACACACACACACACACACACACACACACACACACACACACACACACACACACACACACACACACACACACACACACACACACACACACACACACACACACACACACACACACACACACACACACACACACACACACACACACACACACACACACACACACACACACACACACACACACACACACACACACACACACACACACACACACACACACACACACACACACACACACACACACACACACACACACACACACACACACACACACACACACACACACACACACACACACACACACACACACACACACACACACACACACACACACACACACACACACACACACACACACACACACACACACACACACACACACACACACACACACACACACACACACACACACACACACACACACACACACACACACACACACACACACACACACACACACACACACACACACACACACACACACACACACACACACACACACACACACACACACACACACACACACACACACACACACACACACACACACACACACACACACACACACACACACACACACACACACACACACACACACACACACACACACACACACACACACACACACACACACACACACACACACACACACACACACACACACACACACACACACACACACACACACACACACACACACACACACACACACACACACACACACACACACACACACACACACACACACACACACACACACACACACACACACACACACACACACACACACACACACACACACACACACACACACACACACACACACACACACACACACACACACACACACACACACACACACACACACACACACACACACACACACACACACACACACACACACACACACACACACACACACACACACACACACACACACACACACACACACACACACACACACACACACACACACACACACACACACACACACACACACACACACACACACACACACACACACACACACACACACACACACACACACACACACACACACACACACACACACACACACACACACACACACACACACACACACACACACACACACACACACACACACACACACACACACACACACACACACACACACACACACACACACACACACACACACACACACACACACACACACACACACACACACACACACACACACACACACACACACACACACACACACACACACACACACACACACACACACACACACACACACACACACACACACACACACACACACACACACACACACACACACACACACACACACACACACACACACACACACACACACACACACACACACACACACACACACACACACACACACACACACACACACACACACACACACACACACACACACACACACACACACACACACACACACACACACACACACACACACACACACACACACACACACACACACACACACACACACACACACACACACACACACACACACACACACACACACACACACACACACACACACACACACACACACATTTATCCATTAGTAATATAACAAAGGGAGCACGCGCTCGCTACGTGTTAATTTGTGAATTCTAATCTGTATACACGACGGCCAGATGTGGATATGTGCACTCTGTGCGTGCGAGTACATAACGATCGAAGCTTTTCGTACAAATGCCTATAAAGTACATATATATGAAACTGTATGTGCGAATTCGGAATTGAAAACAACTTTGAGAGCAGGATTTGATTTGCAAACGTGCCACTTTATTTGCGCTTACAGCTTGGTGCACACACACACACCTGCCGTGCGATTATTGACACGTTTTAATCAGGTGTGGACAATGCGAAAATATATTTTCAGCTATAGAACGGACTGTATATAATTATAGCTTATATCGATGCACTGATTCAATTTGCCCTTTTGAATCCGACTGGTAAAATCTATATGAGCGAAAGTAAATAATGCGATCTCATATCTGTTTTAGTAGTAACACCAATTTTTAATTGTGTTTTCGCAGGTGATGTCAGCGATGCCGGTGGCGACGGAGAGCCAATAGTCAGCGGCGACGCCAAGGATGGAGCCGAATACGGACAGCTTTACTTGTACAAAGTGAGTATATACCGTTCGAATATACATTCTTATTTTTGCCTCGGCGATCAAAAGATGCAAAATTCGTGTGGTCACGAGCAAAAGAGTTCTTTATCCGCTTACGTGCCATTATACTCGCAAATGCGTAAAACGGAAAAGTATACAGTGTGCCTCCTCATATTTTGACCGATCGTTTCGAATGAATCCGATAAAATACATCTGTTTGTTCGTCCGATTGCAGCAAATAAAAACCTTTGATTTTGTTTTTTCGTTGTTTGTTGATGTTTGCAACTGACCCTTGTCAAGCTCAAAAGCTCCATGTAGCTTTAAAACGGAGCAGCAATCTGCAAAAGTGTATCTCGAGCGTGATCGTACAACTGTACATGGCCCGGTGTAGCTCGAGCTCCGACTTTTATTATGCATTAACGTTTTTTTTTTTTCATTTTTTTTGTCGTACATAACTCGCGCGATATGCTTGGCTGCGATTCTTTCAGGCAGATTGAAATGCCAAGCTCTTTTGATATCCTTTCGCGAATTGCTAGCTTTTCTGTCTTTACAGCTCTTTCCCTCTTGAGTTTATTTTCATCGCGAAAGACACTTGAAGGCAAACTTTGCTAAAATATCGAAAACTACTACTTGCCAAAGCTGTAGAGCGCTGGCTTTGATCTCGAAACCTCGAGAGTATAATTGTATAATTACAGCCGTGAGCACTTATCCGAGAGAATAATCGAAAGCTAAAACTCGATTTATGTGTATAAATTGCAAGTTCAATCACAGAAAAATGAAGATAAGAAAATTGAAAGCTCGAGAATTTCAAGCTCGAACGCTAACGAATATCGTTGTAATGGAGAAGGCAAGAAGGAGGAGAAGCTAAGGAGGAGAAGAAGCGATCGACGTTTCTTTCTCTCTCTCTCTCTCTCTCTCTCTTTCTCCTTTACTTGCAGGCAGTGCAGCAGACAAAGAGTCGTCGTCTGCAGCCTTGGCTATCTTTCACCAGCCACTCCTAATTGTCGCGCAGCTGTGGCGTTTGCTTCTAGCCCTAATGAAGGAGTCTATCTTCTCGCCAGCCCGCGGCCTTCCGTTCCGTCCTACTTTTTCTCTCTTCTCGTTCTCTCTCTCTCTCTCTCTCTCTCACGCCTTATCGCGTATACTCCGTCTGCAAAGTTCTTTTGTGTTTCACACATTACACCTCAGCCAAGATTAGAGTTTAGCTTCCTTGAGAGGCAAAGATGTGTATTTTTTATTCGTTTTTTATTTGGAGACCTATTAAACGTATCGCTTCACGAAAATTCGTTCACTCGCAGACACTATTTCCATGCAAAATCCAAGTTTATTAAATTTTCACGATAGTGTATCGATACTGCGATGCGAAGGGTGAAAAAATTCAAAATAAAAAATATGCATGTAAGCGAAATAATAACGCAGCATAGATTGGATATTAAACTTATTTATGCTATAAATATCCTCTGCTATATACGGCTAATCTTCGTGTAGGTATATCGAAGCGTTGAAAAATACGATTTTTTTTCACTATATATTCCCACATCGGGACAACCCTCCTCGTCGACTTTCGATTACACATACTAAATCGTCCGGGCGCAACCCGCACAAGTGTGCTACAGTACCTCTCCCCGCCCCGAAGGCTAGAGTATTTGATTTTTCAAAGCGATATTGAAATTTTTAAATTGAATATGGATCAAGCTTCGCTTGCACGCGTACGTGCACGTGTGTGTGTATGTGTGTGTGTGTGTGTGTGTATGTATGTGTCTGTGGACATAAGCGCTCAGTTTAACGACCATTTCGAGCGGTTCTATATGTTAATCAGCGCCCGACATTTGACTAAGCACATAAAGCCCAACGTTGGGTACTAAAATATCAGCATCTGCAAAGAAAGAGAAAACTTTAAGTGCCGAAGTTTAGCTGAACTTTTGAGTAATGTGTAACTATAGAGAGTGGGGCTCCGCCTAACCACCGCGCACGCAACATGGGGAATATTAATCAGCTACGCATATAAATAAGTTTTTCTTATGAAGCTCGAGTTAACGTTGCTCCTCGTCGTGCGATCGTATCTACACGGAACTGGAATCAAATCGCGCGCCGCTCGTCTTTTTCTACAAGTGAAAAGAAAACTGCTAACTCGTCATCGCTTAGTCGTTGTCGTACACAGTAGTTGTATAGCCTTGGCTCTGTGCGACCCCATTATCGCTCCCAACTTTCTTCTTTCTCTTTTTTTGTCCACAGCAGCAACTATGCGCTGCTGCTGCTGCCGCTCGCGTCAGAGAGAAAGAGAGAGAGAGCGAAAAAGAGAGAAAACTCTTCAATAAAATGTGCGAAGCTCGCAAGGCACAAAACACAGATATCCGATACATATGTACGTGTACGTACATACACATATACAAGGCGCAGCAGCTAAAGCTCACGAGTGTGCTAGCACTTGACCCGATTCACGCTCCGGCTTTATAGACGCGCACTCACGAGCGCGCGAATGCTGTCACTTGATTATGCAAGATTCGCCGCATCTCAGACACACGACACGGTCTCTCCCTTTCGGTCTTTATGTGTCGAAATTAATTTTTCGCCTCGCGCCACAGTCAGCGAATTCCCTCGACCATGGAGAGCGCGTTTTTATAGTGGCAGGAAAATGTATCGAATTGTATTATGGACGCTGGAACTGGGAAAAAAAGCAAGACGAGAATAAATATTACGAGCCATCTGTTGAAATTTTAAGTATTTTAAATTCGATAAGATATTTGCGCGAGATTAAGTAGTTTCGCCAGATATACGGTCAGACGGCAGACATGCTGGCAGATTGTGCGCCAGCCGGAGTGAGAAAACTTTGGCGGCTGATCGGATCGATAATATGATGTACAATATAGCGTATATCGAGGGAGAGAGAAAAAGATGTACAAGCATAGAATTGAAAAATGATGACGTAAATAAAGTCGTTGCAGCTGTAAAACCTAATTACCGGAATTTTTATCCAATTAAACGCGAATATGAATTACAAAAGAAATTTTCACCGAACGTATACATTACTAGAAACGCGCGATGTTTATTTCCAAATTAATATTTTCATCTCGAGAAAGGAACGCGAGAAATTCGTGCCTGGTTGTGCAATCGCGCGCGGGGAAAAGGGCAGTCAAGCACGCCGGGGCCACAGCAAAGCCTGCAGCCTCAGCCATGCGTATGAACGTCTGTATGCAACTGCACATGATTAATGCGCGTACGCAATGGAGCGAACGCATAGACGAGACATATCTCAAAGCTATTAGCTTTCTCTTGCACACATAGTATAGCTCCCGAGTTTCGATATGAAAATGCCCCGAGCTGCCCGTGCCACTGTGTATGTGCGCTCACACAGTCGCGCGTTATATTCACACACACGCGGGAATATATAACTGGAGTTTTAATGAAAATGGACGTGAATTTATAGGAGAATTTTTGCTAGACCACCCTGTATTTATCGGAGACGTACATTTATTAATTAGATTAATTTGGACTCTGATCAGTTTGTAAATACACGCTGCTCATTTATGCTGTCGGATATAGCCGAGATCTCGCGATCATTTTATACGTATTTATTCGACTGTATACGGCAATATGTCGCGAGTCCGCTGATTTATAGGGTATCACCTTTTTCAACGATACACTCTCGGAAACTTCGCATTCGATATTGTCACCCATCGCGTTGCACAATAATATGCGCACGTAGCCGTATAGCTGCCATCTTTGCAACAATAAAGGAATTATGTACATAATAGTTTTGGAATCCTTTCGCCGGAAACCTGGGGAAAATTCTCGGATCCGGGTATTGTTTAAATTGCATTCATCTGTGTCCAACTGCAGCGCGAAGCTACTGCGAAGTTTCGCAAGAGGAGAGAGTGGGGAAAAGTCCAGCTGTGCCGAGAATATTATATATATACACTTTGAGAAGTGAAATGTCGCCAACTTGAATTAGGCGCATAACTTAGATTCCATTATACTCTTTGATCTCGAATAAACTTTTTGACTCATTCAACTTTTTAATTATTATGTACGGCGTCGAGCAAAAAAAATATACTCTTGAGTAAAGAAGAAAAAAAATTAAAATGTGACTAATCGTTGTTTGACGGAGAAGGCAAAAAAGTTTCTTAATATATGCGCGTGTTAGACGCGAAAAAAAAAGTAAAAAATCGATTCACACCCCAGAAGCGAGGTCATCTGAGCTCCCTTGTAGCAGCTCTCGCGTACAATCTCACATGTACACACCCAAACACACACCCACGCAGCTTAAGCGACTGTACTTTTTTAATTTTTCGACTTTGAGTATGAGAGCAAAAGAGGAAGATTGTGATTGAAAATCGTATCTTTTTTTTTAACTACTTCAACGTATAACGCATGAGTCGCAAATGAAAAACGCATGCAAATTTCTCGTGAAACTTTCATGACACAGAACGAACTGTGTTATAGCAATTAAAAGTTAAAAAAAGAAATTAGAGAACCGAACGCGCGTTAACGGATGAATGATCGCTCGCGCAAATTCATGAGTAACGGAAATTAGTAAGTTGCGCGAATAAATTTGACCTTGGTATTTGCAAGTCGTACTTTGATTTTTTCCCGTAGCTCCTCGTAATTAAACGATTTTATTAACGACATGAAAACGTTTTTATCCAATGACATAATTCTAAAGTTTTAGAGGTCTCGAGGAATTGAGAAAAAAAACTCAATTCAATTTTCTTCTCTGCCACTAGGTATAACTTTGTTTCTCCGAATGGAAGCCTAGTTGTAAAAAAAAGATATAATATATATAGTACGCGTAAGTCTGACGGAAAAAAGTGGATTCCCTGGAGATTTGACTTTTACGTATATAAGATTCGCGGTAAAAAGTCGTGTAAATTTCTGCGAGTAGTTTTTCATCCCAAAGAATTATTTTTACGAAATGTTATATGTTTTCGTATATTTCACCGTCGTAGTATAGGATCGTTCTTCAGGGCGCGGTTGAAAAGCATCTTCATCTCGCGTATTAACGAATTTTGCCAGGCCAAATAGCAATGTCGCTTTTTCAATTACGTCATAACACACTGTCAATGATGCGTATATATACACTCTCACTTACCTTTAAACAAGTTTATTTTAAGATCGAGTAGTTTTTTTCTTCTCCTTCATCATCTTCTTCTTCTCCTCCTCTTTTGCTTCGCCACGCGCCGCAGGTCGATCTGGTGCTTCATTAGCGAATAGTAATAAGTGCTTTTTCGTGTTTTTCGAGGTCAAGGAGTTTTTCGTCTGCCCGCGAACTTTCTGCGTTTGCACTTGCTGAATAACGTTATAGACACGATGGCTTTAGCTTCGATAATTAATTTAATCAGCTGGTTGGTATTTCTAATAAACTTTTTACACGTCTCTACAGGGTAAGATAATCCGAAGATGCGAGCGAGTTTGGATATTAAAAATGTGTGCCTTGAAAATGCAAAGTAAAGGAGGTGGAGAGATCTTATTCTGAACATCGGGGCAAAATATACCATCCACCTTGTGGCAATAGGATTTCGCAACCTGAAGGTCGCTTATACTTCTATCATAATATAATCCTACAAAGTCTTCCGAAGCATCATGCTGCCTTCTGCTTCGTTGTATGGTTTTATACTGTAATTTAAGATTGTAATTCTCTTGGAGACTCACGACAATGCCGTAAAGAAGCTGAAGTTTGCTTTTTTCAATTTTTCTTCATCCTTTTTTTTTGCAACGTGTGTACTTATTGCTATTGAGCGAGCATTTATTTTCTTTACCCTCGATTTGTTCAATGTTACTCAGACTATGATTCTGAAAATGCGCACGATCATGTATAAAAAAAAACTGTGACGTTTTATACAAAACTCGAAAATCTAATACCCGTTGGATTGCCCCGATAAAGAATGAATGGAGAACGACGAATGCGCATTGTACTTTAGTGACATACTTATATCGAGTGCACACTTTTTTTGTTACTCTCTGCTGCTTTTTCCCTTGGGGTTTCCCTAACTTTTGTCCTTCCCGCGCTTTTATGTCAGAGTTGAATCGTATTTTCAAGTCGTTGAGAGAGTCTAGAAAACTTCGCTAGATGCAGATTACGGTTTTGTTTATATGATTTATGTTATTAAAGACATAAATTCGGTTTTGTCACTTGTATTTTTATAACTACGAACAGTTGTAAAAAGTTGGAATGATTTAAAATTTTCCCATGAAAAAAATTACCATTTAAACTCGACTAAAAGTAGAACTTGATTATGATTCGCTAATTTTAAACACAGTTAGTATTGACGTTTTAATTTGCAAACTTAATGCATAACTTAATACACGTGATCGAGTAATTTAAAATTTAAATGAATTATGTAACATAAAATTTTTTACAATTTTATCAGTAAAGAGAACGCTCAAGATTACTCGAGTACCGCTTGTAACTATTGCACTGATAAATTCTGACACAATTTTTCCATTATACGAGTATTTATACTTTTGCCTTGTCGCTTCCTCAACAGTTGTTAGCAGAAGATTAAGGGTAAAAAACTTTTAGCATTTTCTCTCTCTCTCTCTCTCTCTCTCTCTCTGCGATGCTCTCGACTGTATATATACGATGCTCGCCAACTCCCACGATAAGACGAAGTTGTACGTCTTTTTTTATTCCTTCGTCGCGTATCTATTTTTTCCCCCTTCCTTTTTTGTTTGCTCTTGCGCGTGAAATCTTGATTACCGTGTCGAAGAAGTGATTCAAGAGCTTTTTATTTTAGTCTGGCGCAGAGATTTTACTTCTCTTGAAAATGAGATGCGCATAAAAAGAGTCTCTCCTTCTTTTCTCTCGCGGAATGCATTTAAACTCACGAAAATGGACTTTTGTTTTCTCTCGTCCGCAGGATGAATTCGAACACAGACCAAGGGCGGCGACGCTGCTCAAGAGCCTATCGGAGTACACCAACACGATACCGGCGCCCGTCGATCCCGATGCCAAGACACCGCCCGCGGGAGGCAAAACCGGCGGGGCCAATATGGGCACCCTCATCGGCGTCTATCTGCCCTGCATCCAGAACATCTTCGGTGTCATTCTTTTCATTCGGTTGACGTGGGTCGTGGGTACCGCAGGTGCTATCCAAGGCTTTCTCATCGTTCTAACATGTTGCTGCGTCGTAAGGATACTTTTGATTTTTTTCACATCACGCTGCATTTCTATCCTCGAAACATTTTCTCACGGCACTTTTTCCTTTCGTTCGCTAGACGATGCTGACAGCGATAAGCATGAGCGCGATCGCGACGAACGGCGTCGTACCTGCTGGTGGGTCTTACTTCATGATATCGAGAAGTTTAGGCCCGGAATTCGGCGGGGCGGTCGGCATGCTGTTCTACACGGGCACTACGCTTGCAGCTGCCATGTACATTATCGGTGCGGTGGAAATCGTCCTGGTAAGTATTAAAAAGTGAACAATGATACAAATGCTTTTGAAATATATCACTCAAACGTTTCCTTTCTCACAGACGTACATGGCGCCCAGTTTGAGCATATTTGGCGACTTCACCAAGGATCCGAGCATAATGTACAACAATTTTCGGGTCTACGGGACGGGTTTGCTCATCGTCATGGGACTGATCGTCTACGTCGGTGTGAAATTCGTCAATAAGTTCGCCTCGGTGGCCCTGGCCTGCGTCATTTGTTCCATCATCGCCGTGTACATCGGCCTATTCTACAACTGGAATGGCAACGATAGGCTAAAGTAAATTCATAAATACGCATAAAACGCGAGGATCGAGCTTTAGCATTCGTTCGCTGTACATTGGAAAGTTCACGCGGCATACGCGCAACATAAATTCAGGGAGTTGTCGCCGCCGCCACACCGTGGCAATATACAAGTCGCTTTATGATTACAATTTACGACGAATCCGCGCGTAATAAATTAGGGGCGAAAAATATTTTGCTGGCTTTCTGCCACGCTGACCGCAACTCGAGCTCACGCGCAGCAAAGGAGTAAGGCAAGAGAAAGGCAAGAGAAAAAAGACGGAAGAAAATACAGAAAGGGAGCAAGTTTCTCAAGCCGCGCGCATAATATTATACGTTCGTAATAATCTTTTCCTTCTAAAGCATATTTCGCGTTCTTTCACGAAACGGCACGGGAAAAGAGCGAGCGAGCGCGCGCGAGAGCACCGAGAGGGCAAATCTGCATTTCTAAAGCAGCTCCACGTTGACCTAATAAAAGATACACGTAGAAAAGCTCGCGAGCGCGTGAGCGAAAGGGGGCGAGGGGGGCGAGGAAGAGAATACACGTGATTAAGCGGAGCTCGACGCACAGACAACGGCTAATGGGATGCTCGCATACAGAAACGCAAGATATCATTATGTAGCTTAGCGTTTGATGAGGCTTGCGCGTACTATTATAACTACTACTACTACTGTTCACGCTGATTAAGCCTTGATTCGAAACTTAACGATGGCGTTGTGTTTTTTTTTTTTGTTTTTGTTGCCGCTTTTTAGAATGTGCGTGCTTGGCAACCGTCTGCTCAAGGACATCGACGTAGCCACCAACTGCAGCAAGTACTCGGTCTTTTTGAACGAGACCTTCTGCACGAACGCCCGGGGCGAGATGTGCAATCCCTACTATCTGACGCACAACGTCACCGTGAGGAACGGCATTCGCGGCTTGGCCAGCGGAGTCTTCGTCGGTTCGTTATTTTTCACCCTTATTTTCGAATGTGTTTTATTTCACATTATACATTGAGTTTTTTTCTTTTCTTTTTTTTTTCAAATGACAGAAAATCTTTTGGGAAGTTTCCAAGAGGAAGGGATGTACATCGCAAGCGGCAGCAAACCGGAAGATATCGATCACATGGGCGGTAGTCCGTTCAATCAGATCCAAGTGGACTTGACTACGACCTTTACCATCCTCATTGGTATATTCTTCCCGTCGGTCACAGGTTAGTTAAAAATCAAACTATAATATACCATCTCGAAGCCCCTGAGCAACGATATAAAATAATTTTCATCACGCGTAGGTATCATGGCTGGGTCGAACAGATCGGGCGATCTGCGCGATGCTCAAAAGTCCATACCCATCGGTACGATAGCCGCTATCTTAACGACATCGACCGTTTACCTGTCCTGTGTGTTGCTCTTCGCCGGTACCGTTGACAATCTGCTGCTCCGAGATAAATTCGGTCAGAGTATCGGTGGCAAGTTGGTGGTCGCCAACATAGCCTGGCCCAACGAGTGGGTCATTCTCATTGGCTCCTTCCTCTCGACCCTCGGTGCAGGTTTGCAGTCATTGACGGGTGCCCCGAGGCTGCTGCAAGCCATCGCCAAGGACTCGATCATACCGTTCCTGGCGCCGTTCGCCAAGAGCTCGAGTCGTGGCGAGCCCACTCGCGCCCTCGTGCTCACCATCGGCATCTGCCAGTGCGGCATTCTCCTCGGCAACGTCGATTACTTGGCCCCGCTCTTGTCCATGTTCTTCCTCATGTGCTACGGCTTCGTCAATCTTGCTTGCGCTGTGCAGACCCTGCTGCGTACACCCAACTGGCGTCCGCGATTCAAGTGAGTATAAACACCGCTGCACACCGAAGCGAACCGAAAACATCTTGGACTATTCGAATCGTTCTCCATATAGGTATTATCACTGGAGTCTGTCGTTCATCGGACTGTCGCTCTGCATCGCCGTAATGTTCATGACGAGCTGGTACTACGCCCTCGTCGCCATGGGCATGGCTGGCTGCATCTACAAGTACATCGAGTACCGGGGCGCCGAGAAGGAATGGGGCGATGGCATACGCGGTCTGGCCCTCTCCGCGGCTCGCTACTCCCTGCTGCGCCTAGAGGAAGGCCCGCCCCACACGAAGAACTGGCGACCGCAGATCATCATCCTGTCCAAGATCACCGACGACCTCGTGCCCAAGTATCGCAAATTGTTCGCGTTCGCTTGCCAGCTCAAAGCCAGCAAAGGTCTCACCATCGCTGTGGGCGTCATACCCGGTGATTACATTCGACGATCCGGTGACGCTGCTGCGGTCAAACAGGCGCTCAAAAGGACCATGGAAGAGGAGAAGGTAAGTGTCGCAGAGCAGTCTTTGTGTAATCGTGCTCAACCACTTGAACTTAACGCCTCCCTCCCCCACCCCCACCCCCTTTTACTCCGTTCCAACATCATCTTGTGTCGCACACATAGGTCAAAGGCTTTGTCGAGGTACTCGTGTCACGCAGCATAATCGACGGATTGAGCTCGCTCGTACAGACGACCGGCCTTGGTGGCATGAAGCCCAATTGCGTCATTCTCGGCTGGCCTTACAGCTGGAGCAAGACGGAGAGCGAGCGCAACTGGCACGTGTTCTTGCAGACGATGCGTGCCGTCACCGCGGCTAAAATGGCACTAATCGTACCCAAGGGCATCAACTTCTTCCCGGATTCCACGGAGAAGGTCATCGGCGAAATTCACGTCTGGTGGATCGTCCACGACGGAGGTCTGCTCATGCTTCTGCCCTTCCTGCTCAAACAGCACCGCACCTGGAAGAACTGCAAGATGAAGATCTTCACCGTTGCTCAGCTGGAGGATAATTCTATTCAAATGAAGAAGGATTTGAAGAAGTTCTTGTATGATCTCAGGCTCGAGGCCGAAGTTGACGTTGTAGAAATGGTATGTCTTTTGAAATGCTCAAAGAAATTATTATTTTCTAACCGCGTTCGATTGATGTTATAGATGAATTCTGATATCTCGGCGTATACTTATGAGAGGACGCTATTGATGGAGCAGAGAAACCAAATGCTGCGTGAGATGCATCTGAGCAAAAAGGAATCGATAGGAATCGTAAGTTATTTTTCTGACGCTTAATAATTATATTTTGAGGCAACATTTAATGTCATAAATAAAATATAGATAAATTATTATAATATAATTGATTATGTACAAAAAATGCAAAAAAAAAGAAAAGAAAAATATCTACAATACATATATCCAAATGACTGATCGGATTATGTGTCTGTTTTTTCTTTTGCTACAACTGCTACGAATTACGACTACGTACTACGACGACTTCTACACGACTACTGATAAACTGCCTACCTACTACTACCTTCTAACATTGCGCGTGTGTGTATTGTGCACGATGCGTCGTTGTATTGAAAACAAAAAATACAAAACGTCATACTGTGTGTGTGCGCGCGCTCCGTGTGTCTACGTGCGTCACACACCCAATGTGGTCATCTATATCTCTATCTAATCTATCTGTCGGCAGGCACCGTCGGATGTCAACGAGGTACCAGACGATGGAAACTCGACTTCGGTTTGTCAGAATACCCTTAAAAAAACAAAAACAAATCAAATGGCTCCCAACTGTTTTTCATTACTGCAATCTCGATGTTCAATGTTTCTTTTTTATCTATATTTATTATCAATGAATTTTTTGTATACTGGAAAAACAACTCTGTCGCTATTTAGCAGAGAGCACCAAACGCATCTCATTATTGGCCGTATGCAGTTTCTCTCGTTTCTTCTTCACTTCACCAGAAAAAAACAGCTTTTCCAGATCGACCCCCTGTAACCCCCTGCCCGTCAGTCTGCCAGATAGATCAATCATAAGCTCTTATGTTGCTAAATTTTTCATCACCATATATAATGTTTTCTGTATAGCACGCTCTTATCACGATGAAATTTTTTTTCCTTTTGCAATGTGCGCGTTCAAAAATTCAAACATCAGTCTACACAAGACATTTAATTATCAATCGCCGCATATGTATCCTCTGTCGTCATCATCGAACCATCATTTTGCTGTTATTTTTTAGAATGACTTATTTTCCACGATGTTATCATGATTCATGTGCAACTTCATAAAACCGCAAAATCACTGCACTTTACAAAAGATGACTTACGAGGAAAAAAGTTGATACAATTACAGTTTTATACCCAAGGGCATCTTTATTGTCAACTTTTTGCCTACAAACACTTCAAGTTTTTTCTTGGTGCATTAGTAATTTTACTATTTGTAATGAAACCGGTTTCTGACTTATTAGAGTGGACGTCATTTCTGAAATTATGGACCAATAAAAACAAAATAATCAATAATATTTATATCAATAAAAAAGATAAATATCAAGTAATTACTATATCACCAAATCTCTACTGTTCATTTTCAGCTTATAAATATATTATATAGACGGCACTTTCATGTTGAATGTAGCAGATACACATAATCTCTCATATTATATGTTCTATAATTTCATATAGTGCTTTACAAGCTAAATTTACATAGCCGTAGTTTCACCGCCGAAGTGATTTCTCAACAGAATCAAAAACGTTAATACAGACAAGTGTGATTAATAAACGTCAAATTAATCAGTCAAAATTGAATTTTTTTCTTACAAAGCATGTTTGTATTAACAAGCACAGATAAAGATATGAATATTCCAACAGACCAGTCGAGAAAACCAAATTATTAAATTATAAAACTTCCAAATATTTGGATCTTATAATAACATTTTTCAATCTTTTTCCCCCTTTCTCTTGCTAACACTAAATAGGTACAAGCGATTGTAGATCATCATCACCAGAACGTCGAACCGAAACAGACCAAAGTACGTTTCCAGGAGCCGCACAATCAACAGACTAGCGACGAACAAACGGATTCAAATAAGAGCACATCTCTCGAGGAAAAGGAAAAAGGTGATGAGTCGAAAAAATCATCAGCTGAAAATTCTCCAAAACCCGTCAACAAGCAAAGCGGCGAGAAGAGCTCATCCGGCGATGGAGAGGCTACTGAAAATAGCAAAGATCAAGAAGGCGAGGCCGAACCACTTCAACCGTGAGCTCAATTTTTTTTACTTTTGGGGAACATTTTTTGAAATTTGTTTTGACATTTTCGTTTTATTAATTTTTTATTAGTGGAGAGGATAATGTCAGGAGCATGCATACTGCGCTCAAATTGAACGAGGTGATTGTCAACAAGAGTCATGATGCACAGCTTGTTATATTGAACTTGCCAGGACCACCGAAAGAAACTAGCATAGAGCGAGAATCTAACTGTAAGTGAAACATTTTTTTTAATTTTATCGGGATGGAGATTAAATTTTATTTTGATACAGACATGGAATTCTTGGAAGTACTCACGGAGGGTTTGGAGCGAGTATTAATAGTACGGGGAAGTGGACGCGAAGTCATCACCATGTACTCGTGAAGAGAATCAACGAAAAACGCCATAGAGCAAATATTAAATCACTACTTGTTACTACTATTACTACTAAAACTATTTCTGCAACTTCAACTATTCTTGACCATCTTCGAAACGACAACAATAACAGCAGTAACATCAGCAGCAGCAGCAATATCGGAACAGCAGTTCATTTTCACCGGCACAGCTATTACTATGAAAATCGTCATCAATATTTATTCCACTAACGTACGTGCGAAAACGTGTGTAACCATGTAAATGTATGCTACAGAAAAATTGCACGAGGAATAGATAAACGATTGAACGAAAGAAATTCATTATTCACGCCAAAGTAACGTGCCAAAGTTCATATTTGTGAAAAAAGGACAAGAGTGTGAGAATGTGTGCCATACGTATTTTAATTATTACTCGCTTTACTACCAGAGATCGCTGCAGCTTTTTTGTCGACGTGCGAGTCTAAAGCGTCATTTTTTTGTTTTCACTCGCAATACGCGAATCTATTTCTATTTATCCGAGATATTGCGCTAGCTGCTCTTTAAATACTGTTTATTAATGTTGATCTCGACAATTATTATCATCATACGCGCATATACATGACGGACGAAATATCATCGTTCCTTTTATAATCACGTAAACTGATAAACAATAACAACAATCGAGAGTCGAAAACCGTAGATAATACTGAACATTAGTAATAAGTAGCGAAATAAAAAATTTCATTTTTCAAAAAGCTACATAAGAGGGGGAAAGTAAATTGAAATGAAGTGTAACCTCAAGCACAGGTTACTCGACTGCACATCTGGTTATATTATTAGACACTACAAAAGCTTGTAATTCTCATTTGGCTTACATTCACAAATAAGTGTAAGCATTTTTCGATAAACAAAAATACATGAATTTCCGCCACGTCAAAACAAAAATTGAAAATACGACAAATTTATAATTTTAATAAATAATAAGATAATAATGTCGAGAACATCGTAAATATTAAATTAGTATAAAAATGAACAAAAAACAAATCAAAATTCAAGTCCGAGGCTAAGATCGAAGCATCTACGAAAACCACTGCCACAATACTTTCTAAATGCTTCGCGTTTATCCAACGACGACTATTATGAGTAGCACGAGATGAATATAAAAAATGTAGGTGTCTACAAAAAAAAAAAAAAAAAAAAAAAAAAAAAAAAAAAAAAAAAAAAAAAAAAAAAAAAAAAAAAAAAAAAAAAAAAAAAAAAAAAAAAAAAAAAAAAAAAAAAAAAAAAAAAAAAAAAAAAAAAAAAAAAAAAAAAAAAAAAAAAAAAAAAAAAAAAAAAAAAAAAAAAAAAAAAAAAAAAAAAAAAAAAAAAAAAAAAAAAAAAAAAAAAAAAAAAAAAAAAAAAAAAAAAAAAAAAAAAAAAAAAAAAAAAAAAAAAAAAAAAAAAAAAAAAAAAAAAAAAAAAAAAAAAAAAAAAAAAAAAAAAATAGTAAAAAGCAGCGAAGAGTATTAGTTACTTTTCTACATGCATTATGTGTCGTTTATTGTACTCATTATTGAATAAAGGCGAACTACATAAATAACTTACGATAGGTCGTATGATTATACTTTGGATATTGCTTGATATTAATAGTGACATAAACTCACTGATAAACGTAACTTATTATATAGAGTGAAAAAAGGAAAAACAAAACAAATATTAGCCTAGACTTGAATAGTATACATGATTTTTTTCACATGTGTGTACACAATTATCGCATTTCCAGTGAGTGTAAGAACTACATAACGAAAACGAAAAATTAACGATCGATTGAATGTCAAAAAAAAAGTATATCTCTTATTACTTCGACGATTTTTAACAACTTGTATACGTGACGTAGAGGGAAACAACAATAGGGACAATTTTCCTGTCTTACGCGTAATGAAGGCCTATTCATGAATCACAAAATTTTTCCATTCGAACGCGAAAGGATGCTGTTTTTCCACAAATACTCAAACTTTTTTGCGCGCGCGAGCGTCTGATATGATTTTTCACACCGTGCATGTACGTGTATCGTTTCGCACGCACATTCATATTCGATTTTTAGCCTTACAAATAAAATGCCAAACAACAAATCAGATACAATGTATCGTATCATGGCGTAATTTTATTCGTTTCGTGAAACGAAATTTCGATTACTCGAGAAAAATGTAAGAAAAAAGGACGTGGCACGATAAGAACGTTTTACAACGTTCTTTTCATTAATACTTGATATAATATAAATATTATTATATTAATATAGCCATCGTATTATTAAATACGTAAGGATAAAAAACACTGATATAAAGTACACTATTCGTACTGCATACATAATATTTAGTATACAATACTGAAAATCTCTGGCATTCTTTAACTGAGATATATATTATATATAACATACTATACATTATGATAAAAAAGTATACTCAACGCGCTCAATCGGACACTAGCGCAAAGAGTGTACATCTTTTTAAAACAAACCAAACACTTACGATACTTACGATACTTAAATGAAAAAATTCAAACACGATACGATTAATTAAAGTGTCGCATAGATCGCAAAAAAGTAATTGATTAACATTCTTATAGTTCGTAATTAAAAATTACCCAAACCATACGTTACAAAAATCATGTATCACTCTATGCAAACCATTATAATTAATGTCTGCGCCAGATAAAAGAACATTATTTGCATTACAGTGCTCGTAAAATGATAATTGCATCTGTCCCCAATGCTGCTTACTCAAAATTAATTTGAATACACCTTTATTTAGTTATTTATAAAATAAGCGAAATGTTATACACATACAAAAAATAGAAAGAAAAAGAAAGTCTTAACGAATGAAGAAGGCAATTCTTCAATTATTTCATTTTCCTATCGCATAAGTATTTTTTAAAAATGTCTATTATATTTCGAGTGAAACAAGAGTAACGCGAAGACTTGGTGTGATCTTCAATAGTCGATAGATATAAAATTGCAATCCGCATTTTTTTAAAGTTTTGACGTTTCCACAGTTCTAAACTATAGAGATCACAAAAGTACGTATGTATGTATGATTAACATTCAAGTGATGTTTATACATACATGGGTGCAATTAATTGTATAATATATTAATTATATACCTTGGCCAAAGAAAAAGACCAGCTCAAAGTAAACGTATAAAGCACACGTACATAACATAAATATTATTGAATTGAAAAAAGAAGAAACATCAAAGCAATATACAGAATTTGAATTAACTATAATTATGAAAAAAATCCACATAAAAAGTATTTAAAATATTCCAAATAACATTAAAAAATTAAAGCTGGCACATGAAATTTAATTTTGCTATGAAATTAATAAATTCATTTAAAAGAAATTGGAATTAGGCAAGAAAAAGACAATTCAAAACCACTCTTTTGTCTGCTGATTAGTAAAATATTACAATGATATAAATATACGCGACATTGACGGTTCGTGTATGAGAATTTTATAATTTTATTATGTGTTATGGTTGCTTACAATATAAATGACCATTGTACTATATTATATATTTTATTGTGTATTTTGCCAAGGTAGTACCGGTGCATTGCATAGTTTATACTAAATACAATTTAAAGAGACAAAAAAAAGTAAAAGTGTTGACTATACGTTAGGTAAATTTTAATTAAGTACAAGATATCTGCGTATTGATTAAGGTTCGTGGGTTATTCTAAAAAAAAACAAACAAGATAATATCGATACGTAGGCTGGAATCAAAAGAAACAAAAAAAATGCAAATACATTTTTTCGTAAGAGTGATATTCAAAAAAACCTAGTTATTATAAGCAAAAGAAAAATTTACGGAACGAATGCTGTCTTAGAGAGATTATTATGAAAAAACAAAGCTTCGTTTATAATACATTTTTAAGAAATTTGACGATATGATTGATGCAGTTTTTTTATTACAAGAGCACTTTAAATATGTTGCTATGTGTATAAATATTGATTGAAAGAGAGAATTGTTGTATATAAATACGAAACACAAAAAAGCGTGTAGATAGGTGAATAATGGCTAAAAAGTATTTATTTGTTTAAAAAAATGTTTGTTTGAATGCAAAGAATGTTCCGTTTTAATTTGAATACAAAACATCACCGATTGAAATGTTTTTTTTATTTTACAAATGCACAATTGTAATTATCGAAACTCATTGAAGTACCTCGTCTCAATGACTTACTGTATCTGCGTACTTACTTTTTATTTTTGTTTGCTTTGGCGATTTATACTCTGTGCACAATAGCGTATCACCAAATATAATAATGAATACCCTACAAAATAATAGTTAAAAAAAATTATCACTCACGCGATATGAATTGAATTCTATAACTGTGCCTGCAGGTTCGGGGCTTAATAGTTGAGAAAACAAAATGTTTATTAGAATATGCTATTTCATTGAATGCGATTGATTTTATTGTTAATGTTATTTCCAAAAATCATGTGAACCCCTTCGCATTTGTATACTTTGTAACAAAAAAAAGAAAAAAAAAGAAAGAAATACCATTTGGCTGTGAGTCGCACGAGAGTAACTACACGATAGAGAAAAAATCATGTGTCAAACGCAAGAATTTTATTTTTTTTTTTGTGAGAAGAGGACGCGCAGATTTTTCAAAGTACTAAAAACCATTCTTTTTCGTATCTTCTGCATACACTTACACGCTCACACACTAACAAATATAAAAGCATTTAACGAATGAAATTCTCTCTCTAGATTCTCACCTTCGACATTTATATGAGAAATAAAACTCATAATTTTTAACATAATATTCCCGAAATGCAATGGATATTTTGAAAATTCCAAAGACCTGAGAGATTCGTAAAAAAGAGAGCAGATATATTTCCGTTGATATGATAATAGATTAAAATGTGTTGAATATAACTTGTTAAGTTTGCAAAAAGGATGCCTTGAAAAAAACTATTCGTTAAACGTTTCATCGTTGTTATATTATAATTTGTGTACTCCTGTATTGCATAAGTGTAAAAGCATCGTCATAATTCCGTAAAAGGCATTTTTATCATTGTGTATTTTTTATCAAACTATCATTATGAAATATGCCAATACAAATGAATATTTTTATTAACAAGATAATGTTTGTTCATCATCATCGTACCAATTGAGCCATTTAATATTTTTTTATATGAAAATAGTTTAGTCCAAAAACCTTTGTATTTACATTTTTTTGAATCATACGTGTATTTTATTTTATCATAAATGATGTATGCAAATTGGGAGATAAAACGTGCAAGAGGGAAAACGTTAGAAGAATTATTTGAAAAAATGAAAAGTATAAATATATATAAATAATAAATATAAATAAAAAATATTATATTTGTAGATAAAAAAAAAACTTTAGTCATCTGATATAGAAAATAGAGTCAATACTGTGAAATATCTATAATAATAATAATAATAATAATAATAATAATAATAATAATAATAATAATTACAACAATAATAATAATTATTATATAATTATAATAACCCTTTTAGCAGTTAGATAAAAACAAAAATACTTGTAATTATAACACTTATAAATGATTGACGATGAAAAAAATATATTGCAATTGAAACAACTAAATAAATATATGATCTATCTATGACTAGTTTATTCTGCATAAGAAATTGATTTTTACCATCCCCCTTCCATAATCATAACTGATAATGATTTTTTTATTTTCACCTCAAAAATAATTTATAAGTTCTGATAAAAACATAGAAAATGGTACAAGTACACATCAATTTAATACTTTAATATTTTGTAGTAAATTTTTAATATTTAAAAAATTCTGCCCACATAATACGGTGTTTTGATTAAAAAATAAAAAGAACGTTATCTTGATTTTACACATCTTTTTAAAATACATGTTTTTGAGATTAAAAACTCACTTTATTGTATATTTATAGACATGAATTCAATGAATCTCGAAAATGAATTAAATTAATAATAATTCCTTTTTACACTAATTATATTCAAATATTTTTGCGCGCTCTTTTTGAGTTATCAATTCATGAACAATGTCATCATTTGTAGCTTCATCGTGTTAAAAATAACTGTGTAAATCGCGCTGTTTTAAAATATAAATAAATATAATTGCTTTCTGCATTCTGCAGAAGTTCAATTCTTTGACTTTGTCTGACAGACTATATTTTCAATTTCGGAGTGTGCGCACACCGGCGATGATATATTCTCAATGGCTAGAATCATGTGACGTAACTCAGAATCCATTTCTTATAACCTGCTCTCCGTCAGGGTGCGGAATCAGGAACAATCAAAAGTTAGTATACTATTATTATTTTGAAAAACGTTTGATCCCACGCCGTATGTTACTTTTGTACACCTTTGATTTATTTACCACTTGAAGCAGACAAAAAGTCGGTGAACTATTATATTCTGCTTCTTATGTTGCTTCTAAAGTGCCTTTAGCTTTTTTATGTATATATGTTGCAATCTATTGACATTATTTGATTCTATTATTTGTCAAATGTTTGTGACAGAATATGATTTTTTAATTTACAGTAGTCAACACTGAATTTTCAGTTAGCTTTAACTAATATTTAGAACTCTTCTATACTTATTCCTCTCAGTGTTCTAAAATAACCATGTTCATGTGTATAGCTAAAGAGCATTGACAGTTGCATTATAGTCCTTTTTTATTTTAGTGGGTGCAGAAGAACCAATTGTCAACGAGCATGGATGCTCCAATTCTGGGGGTGTCAAGGTCATGGGCATCCAAGGGAGGATGGCGCGAGAGAGAGAAAGGTTGATTGGCATGACAGATGCTGAACGTGCATGGAGAGCGAAATGGGTTAAAGATCAACAACTTCATGGAGAACCAATTGTTCCAGAAAATTTTTATAAAAACAGATACAACCCCATCAGAAGATTCTACAGATACCCATTGGATAAATTTGAGGCTGCTATAGGTCCTGTAGTGGTACGTTTAAATTTTAACTAACTTTTGAACATCAAAATTTTAAATTAAACAGCCAAATTCTGTTTAAATCTCTTTGATTTGTAGATAAACTTTAACATTGTTTAATTATCTTTTCAGGGATCTATGAAAGCACAAGTAATAAGACATCTGATAGCTAAATGCTCAATGGGTCTTTTATTCACCTATTCAGTTCATTACTATTTCAAATACAACGCAGGAGTAAGTTGCAGTTGAAAATCATAAATATTACTCAAACAACTTAGTTTATTTATTCAAAAACTAATTAATAATTGTCTATTTTTTTTTCAATTAGGATTGGACTCGTAAAGGAGGATGGAAAGTTACATCAAACAGACCAGCTATGGCACCTGGTGATCCAGACTTTCCCAACTTCAAAGATACTAAACCAAATGAATATGCTACTTTTGGTTTTGAAAAGTCCCCTATATAAACATTTGCAGCAATAATAATGTAAATATAGTGTAATAGTCTAAATTTTCAATGTTATTCCAATTAAGGGTTAATAAATTTACAAAAAATATGTTATTTCATTCTGGAAAAATTAACTTTTTTTATTTTCAACAAATACAAATTTGCTTCAATAGTTTGAAAATCTAAAAAATAATAAACTTTTTTATAAATACTTGAAATATAAACTAATTATATTAAAATACTGAGCAGCTGTGTTTCTAGATAGTAAAATTTACATACACATGAAAATGCATACAAAGATACCAATAAATCCTCCAAATAAATAATTCAGATCCATTGGTAATGGAGGATTAATACCAGGTTCATAGCTATCTTGGTATAATATGAACCATGTAAGAGCAGTGATACCAAGACCACTCAGAACAGCTTTGATGAATTGTTCATATGTATTTACAAATGTTTTAATAACATTTAGTTCAATATCTGGGTTGATATTGACATCAAAAATTGTACTTAGCTCTATTTTATAATATGTAGATATTATAGTGACAATTGATGTGAGTATAAAAAGAATTACAGAAAATCTCCATTCTCTAATTTTCAACATTTTCCATAATTGATTGGTAAATTCGATTGGAACTGATTTTGAATTATTTTTCTGTGTGACATTTTGATAGGACAGATTTCCTTCTGATTGTTGTACAGAAATATTTTCTTCCTGGTCAACATCCATTGTAGTAATAAAATTATATTTGATTTCTTGCTTTTTCAAGTCTAGATGATCCTTGTTTATAACCTGCAGATATTTACAAAAATAAAAATGAGTAAAATAATAGTTAAAAGGTAAAAAAATTTTATTGAGCATTCTAAATACATTTTAAAACTATTGAGAATATAGTGTAAGATATTAGAATTTCTTTGCATAGAAGGTCAAGAAATCGTATTGAGATTCAACAAGTATCGTGCGAAAAAATTTGCAAAATTTTTCGCATGACATGCTTGGTGCTAAATATAGCTTCCATTGCAGTAAGTGTACAGAATATCTAAAATTTAAAAACCCCACCTTTTTATAGAAAAAGTTTCTTATCAACTCATCGAAGAATAAGTTACTGATAACTCATGCGTAACAAATAACACTCACGATAAAAACAATCAAGCAAACGGATGTATTGGTTCACCTATTGTACGGCCTGTGACCGACGACTTATTTACACAACACTGACAGGCGCACACCTGTGTGTGTGTGTTACAGAGTATTCTTCGAATTTGTGAGCCTGCTAACATGCTGATTCTGTGTTCATAGTGTCCCTAGGATAGTCCGTCTAGTGTTTAAAGTCGGCATGCTATGCAATTTCAATTTGTTTCTGCTGTCTCGCACATGTGTTTTCTGTTGAAGTTTTATTTTGATTTCGTGAGTTTGTTGTTCAAATTTGAAAAGTGAATAAATATCTGGTTGCATAAAAATATCAACTTGTAAATTTTAAATACTACTGTTGAAAATTGATACATTTTGCTAATCTCTTTCAATAAAATAATTTTGAGAATTTGATCAGTGATATAAAAAGGTCACGTCAGTGGACAAATATATCAAAAATGTCTGAATTAGTATCACTGAGTTTGCCAGAAAAAACATTCATTTTACATGGCATTGACGTAAGAAAAAACCTTTTCACCATTGAATTTTAAAATTTTGTTTTTATAGCAATGTTACTTTTGTGGACAGGTCAATTTTAGAAATGATGGCAGATCTCGACTCGACTGTCGCCCTATTGAATTACAAACAAAAATTATGGATCAAGTTAATGGATCAGCCAAATTAAAAATTGATGATACAGAAATTCTTGTTGGTGTCAAAGTTGAAGAAGATACACCTGATGAAAATACACCATCTGAAGGAAAATTAGAATTTTTTGTTGATTGGTATGTCCCTTTTGTCTTAATAATTTAATATTGTTGTACATATTAACCCTTGCATATTTTTTTTATTAAGTTCAGCAAATGCTAACCCAATTTTTGAAGGAAAGGGTGGTGATGAATTGGCTAAGGAAATCAGTGATGCTTTGGCATTAGCATACAAAGATGTATTTGACTTGACAGAACTTTGTATATTACCATCTAAAAAATGTTGGAAATTATATGTTGACGTCTTAGTAAGTTTTGTTATATATGATTTGATAAATATGAATCAATTTATTGCATATTCTTGACGAATTCATTAAATTTCTTACAGATTCTTGCATGTGGTGGCAATTTATTTGATGCTGTTGCAGCAGCAGTCAAAGCAGCACTGTACAGTACAGAAATTCCACAAGTTAAAGATGCAGCAGTTGATGGAGTCGAAGCAGATATTTTTGTATCAGACGATATATTTAATTCTGTTAAATTAGATGTTAAAAATGCTCCTCTTCTTATTTCATTGTGCAAGGTAACAAAGGAACAAAAATCGATTTTATATTTTCTGTTCAAAGTTATTTTGAAAAATATATTCTATGCTTTCTCAGATTGGAGACAATTATGTAGTTGATCCAACTCCAGAAGAAGAAGTTTGTAGCAGTGCAACTGTTGTTGTAGCAGTTATGCCTAATGGAAGAACATCAGGTGGTTTGAAAACTGGATACGGAAGTCTAATGGTTGAAACTTGGCGCAAAGCTATACAAGTGAGTATTAATGTTGCATTTAAAATTATCCGTACAAGTATCCTAAAAATCAAAAAATACAAAAAAAAACTTTAAACATAAAAAAGTATTTGAGGCCTACACCATTTTACTAGACTAATGTCAAATATTTGGAGACCAATCTTAAACTATATGACATATCCTGGTTCTCTAATTAGGATTAATAAATATAGCATTGATTTTTAAATTGAAACTTCTGATGTAAGAAAATTAAATTGTTGACCATTTCATTTCAGATTGCAAAAAAAGTAGGAGTACAATTAAACAATGAAATAATGAAAGCTTTAGAAGAGGAAGAAAAACTTGGCCCAAACAGAGCATTATTTGGATTCCTTTGATAACACAAATAATAAATATTTTTAACAATAATGTATATAAAAAGCACTACATTAACAGATATATATCAAGCAAATAAATATCACAAATTTCTTATTGAACATTTAAAAAATCTTCTATTGCTTTAGTATCACGACTCAGCCAATCTAAATTTAATCTTATTGTTTCTAAACTTTGTTCTACAGTTCTTTTAGTACCAGGAACATTAGTTTTTTCAAAAAACTCTTTTACTTCTTGCATTGCTTCTTCTGAAACTATACCAGAAGTTACAACATCTACGATAATTGTCAAAAGAGTTCCACTTTGACAACAATCAATAAATGAATTTACATTGTTTTTGAAATATTGCCAAGCAAGAAGTTGTCCTGAATAACTCATGGTTACAGAATGTATGGCTTTGACAGTGTCTTGTGCTCGTACTTGTTTACTCATAGAAAATTCAAGAGTTCTCTGAAGAAGATTCATATCTTTAACAGCACCAAGTGAAGCTAAAATTCTATTTTTCTCTTCAGAGTTATCAGTTTCCTTGAATAAAGTTAATATTTTTTCAAAAGTATCTGTACCACCATCTGATAACACTGCTTTATATACAAATTCACGAAAGTCCGCTGGCAATATATTTTGTTTATTGATATGCATGTCAAAACGTCGTTTAGCTTCGTTAATAATATCTTTATCTTCAAAACTAACTAGTTGAGATAAAATTGATATTCTGGAATAAATTTAAAAAAAGTTTGTAATAAAATTAAATTTTCTCATTATATTATACAAGAAGAAATAATATTGATTACCTCAGGAGAGTATCTAATTGATTTTCATTGTAACTTGAATTCCACCTTAATTTAGAATAAACATTAGATAAAAGTTCTCTACCAAATGATTTAAATTTTTGATGTAGAGATTCTACTTTCGATAAAATGTGCCCAATTTTTTTCAAATGATTTAGTATACACAACCAAACATTGTAGTCAGTTTCATCTTTAAATTCTTTTAACATTTTTAAATACTCGACAGTAGATGCTCTTCCAGCCACAACAGTGGCAAAAAAATCATCCAATAAACCAAGACGATCAAATGCAGGTATAGTGTTGCTGCGAATCGCAGGTATAAATAACTTCATCAAATCATTACTGTATAAAGTTCTGAAAAATCCTATAGTACCACAATTTATTTTCACCCAAATTTTTTCAGGTACATCTTCTATGGCAATATCTGTGTGTTTTTCATCAAAAATTATTGTTTTAAAAACTTTTTCAGGGTTTTCTGCACTGCAGAAAGTAATTGGAATCATCCATGTATTATTTGTTTTATCTATAGATCCATTTATCAAAAATCTTTCTTGAGTTAAAGAAAAAATTCTTGTGTTGGAATCGTTTGATAATTTTTCTGTAACTGATACAAGAGGAAAACCTTTCAATCGTGTCCAAGTCGACATTATTCTATTTATAGGTTTTTTACTAGTTTCTTCTAAAGCACGCCATAAATCATCAGTTTCTACATTAGAGTATATGTATCGGTTGAGATATAATGTCATGCCTTTTCGAAAATCTTCAGTTCCTATATAGTTGTGAATCATTCTTATAATACTAGCTCCTTTATTGTATGATATTTGATCAAAAATTTCTGTTATTTCTGATGGATTTTGAACAGGAACTTCAATTGGATGGGTGTTATCTAAAGCATCTAAATCTAAAGCTTTGATAAATTTAGTATTTAAAAATTGTGCCCAAACATCATATTCTGGATATAAATTATCAATGCATAGATTTTCCATAAAAGATGCATATCCTTCATTTAACCATAAATGAGTCCACCACTCCATAGTGACAAGATTACCAAACCACTGATGAGCCATTTCATGAGCAATTGTCAGAGCAGCTTTTTGTTTTTTACTAGTTGAACTATTTTGAGAATCTACTAAAAGTACTGCTTCTCTAAAAGTGATCATTCCCCAGTTTTCCATAGCACTGAAACTGAAGTCGGCTAACGCTATTAAGTCAATTTTCTTTAAAGGAAATGGTATATTAAAATAATTTTCAAAAAATTGCAATGATTTTGTTCCAACTTGTAGAGCAAATTCACCCTGAGAAATTTTTTCTTTAGAGGCATGAACTCTCACTGATGTATTTCCCACACTTGATTCAATGAAATCATAATCAGAGATCATTATTGCTACTAAGTAAGTAGACATAACTGGTGTTGTATGAAAACTAATAGTTTTCAAGGAATTTGATGAAATTTCAGTTCTAATCTCCTGAAAAATAATTTTTAAAATTAAAAACTTGATAACAATAGAGATTTAAATTTTATTACCAACCATATTTGATGATGCATTTAAATGTTTGTCAATTGTTAAGCTTACATCAAATGTAGCTTTAAGTTTGGGTTCATCCCAACATGGAAAACACCGTCTAGCATCGGTAGGTGCAAATTGTGTGATAGCTGCATACTTTGTTTTTCCCTCACTATAAATATTACAGAAAGTAAATGGATTTAGAAAATTTTTATTAAAATGTTAAATTTTGTATAATATTTTTAAAATGGGTTCTGATGATACCTAATATATTTAGAACGGTAGAAACCATTTAATTTTTCACTTATGACTCCTTTGAATTCAAAAATAAGAGTGCCCTTCAAAGTTGCTTCCAAGTCTTTTTCAAAATTTATGACAATTTTTTCCTCTGCTTCAAAATCATCAATTTTTTGAGCTACAAGCAATGTATCATTATTTTTGTATGATACAGTCTTGATTTCAAGACCCACAGAATTCACAATCACAGTTCTTGTTGGTTCTAACACCTACAAAAATCATTTATAAAACAATGCAAATAGATTTTTATATAGTTTTTTTAAATTTACCTTGACGTCGACACGCTGCGTGCCTACGTAACTAAAATTTTGCATATCACAAACGAGGTGAATATCGTAATGTATCGGCTGCACATTGTCAGGTAATCTATGAAACGGTAATTTTTCAGATCCCTGCACACGGAAAAAAAATAAAAATAAAATTATCCATGTAAAATTAATAAAAGGCAAAGCTTGCGAGGACATTTTTGCAAAAATGTTGTAAAAATATAGAGTGCAGTTCGTCGGAAAAATTATATATTTACTTTTTGGTGAGCCATTGCGATAATTGTAAATTTTCTTAAATGATACTCCGCAGTTGAATAATTCTGAGTTTGTGTGCGATGTACAGCTTATCTATTTTTGTAATAAAAAATAAAAAAAAGGATAAAGCATGTTATATAATTTCTTTGAATTTGCCAATCATTTCTCTAATTTTACTTCAGTTTGCTCATTTTGGTGTTTTTCAAAATTTTGCCACTTGCTTATGTCACTGATATTGGTAAAGACTCGCACATACTTAGTTCATCGCAAACTTTCAAGATGGAAATATTGTAAATACATATATAACAGATTATAAGAACTTTAAAATGCCAATTATGGTATATTTTTACATATTTCGGCGTTAGAGCTAGAGAAAAACAATTACTGTGAACTCGAAATGAATATTTTATTCTCAAAACGAACATAAATGTACCGAATTTGAAAGCAATTCAATATATCGCTTTATTTTCTCAGAAATTCATTTGGAGGTTGTTCAAATAATTTCTGAAAGGCACGTGAATACTCGATGTTTGTTAGATTTCAACAGTTTGTAAAAACATAAGCCACGTAATCGGAAATAGACTTAGACATGTACTGGCAAATTCTTAAAAAATTTCAATCATTATTACTTGAATTACATACTCAAGTTTCAACAATTTCGTCCAGATAGTCTTGGTGATTTGATAAATATTCCTTCATAGACTCTTATCACGGCATCAACGTCTGAGAATATATTACTATTGATTCAATAAGTAAATCATAAATTTCCTTTTTCCACCAAAAATAGAAAGAGTAAACACAAAACGTAATAATACTATAAAATATTGCACCAAAAACTTCTCATTCGATGTTGAATTAATTTTTTATGAAAGTTGGGCTAATGAATTTTTATTTAAAAATAAAATTCATTTAAAACAAATAATAGACGACTGTTAACTAACTGATGAAAGCTGTCAACTATTGTTGTGATTTTGTGAGAGGCTTGAGTTTCTCGTGAGTGCTCAGTGCATCATGAGTGCATGTGTTCTTCTCATTACGAAGTAGTGCTCTATATAGGCCGGGCGCGTGAGTGAAGGCGCCACCGGTCGTCTGCCTAGTCCAACGTTCTCTTCGTTGCTATATGTAATATGTTGTACAATTACATATTGTTGTGTTGTGAGTCGTGCTGTGCGTGTGACAGGTCTATCAGTTTCGTAGACGATTTTTAAGTTTAAAAATAAAAAAGAATCAGAAATCAGACAATATGACGAGTCCTATGGTTCAGTGTCAGTTGTGGATGGGTGGTGTAAGTAATTATTTAAATTTATTTATATTTGTTGGTCTACTAGGACATATGTACTTTTAAACGGTTTTGGAATCATAACCTCAAAGAGTCATTGTTTTTAAACTTTCATTTACATTTAACTAATTTTTATTGGTAATCGTTCAAATCATCTTTATTATTTTCACTTATCTCTGTAGAATTTAAACATTTTTATTTCAATAGAAGTGTGTGGTAATAGAATTATTGATAATGACACAAGCGTCGATCTTAACCGGCGATTTGTAATTCATTTTTAAAGTCACTAGATTCCGAATTAATATCAATTTTGTAGTGTGCATGAAGATTAAAAACAATATGGATCTTAATAGGTTAGAAAAAAATTTAAATATATTATTTCAGCTAGAACCATACATGACAGAAAGTTTTATCATGAGTGCATTTCACAAAATGGGTGAAACGCCTCAAACTGTTAAAGTTATGAGAAATCGCTATTCTGGAGAGCCAGCTGGTTACGCTTTTGTTCATTTTCCAACTGATGAAATGGCTTTAGATGCTATGCATAAACTAAATGGAAAGCCTATCCCAGGAGCTCCAGTAAGTTTGAATAGTCCTAGCACTATTCAAGTTTGTATGTGATGCAACTAAAATTTTTATTTAATTTTGTAAAGATTCACTTCTTCTTTAACTTTATTTTTTCCTCATATGAATTATAAACGATCTAATCAAAATTTTATATAATTGCAGCAAGTACGGTTCAGATTAAATCATGCAAGCACAACAGGAAAACCAATTGGCGAAAGAGAATACAGTATTTGGGTTGGTGACTTGTCAACAGAGGTTGACGATTATTCTTTGTATAGAACATTTGCAGCAAAATACAACTCTATACGAACAGCCAAAGTAATTTTAGACAGTTCAGGCTTTAGCAAAGGTTATGGTTTTGTAAGGTTTGCTAATGAAGATGAGCAAAAAGATGCTATGGTTACAATGAATGGTTACAAAGGTCTTGGGACCAGATTATTGAAAATATGTAGTGCTGTCCCTCGGCCATGGAATAGAGTGTCTGAGTAAGTAATGCAAACATTTTCATAGGTTTATAATTTGTTACACATTTGTAATTTTATTCTTTTAATGCATTTATTGAGATTTAAATTTTGTAATTGTAAAATTATTAATATAATGACCTGTTGATTTATTTGAGTTCATAAAGTAACAAGTTTAAATGAGTAAATAAAACCAAATATTATCTAAGAATATGAGAGTAAAACTACAAGCAAATTATCTTTATACTTGACATCTTTTTCATTCACAAAACACAATTATTTCCATATTAAGTTATATTCATTTCACTTTGAAGATATTTTGAAAATTATACAATTCCCTTAATATATTATTTTTACAGTTGACATTTTTTTACAATTACATTAATTTTACAGCTCAGCAATGTCTTCATCTGGAGATTACACATCAGGCATGTCTTCTGATAGTTACAATTACTATGATACATCTTCTTATTGGAACAGTTACAGTGCCTGGCAACAAGGTTATTATGAAAGTGATCCAACCTCTGATGGATACAGTAATTATACATCAGACAAAAAGCCTGAAGAAGATGAATTGGAACTGATTGGTATGTATTAATATAATTTTTAGTAAAATGTACAATTAGTTTTCCAACAATGATTATTCAGAAGCTAGTTTGTTACTGAATTGAGATTTTACATTTCATTTATCTTTTAAAATACAAACATAAAGGGCATTGTGATCATTATTGAATATTGTTTCAAACAATATCTTTTGAATAATACCTGCTTTATTTTTTCTCAGTTATTATTTTTTAATTCATACATACCCATCTGTTCATCTTTTATTTTTATTTGTACTCATTTTTCAATATAATTTTTTTAACTTTTCAGAGCATTCGATTCCTGTTGATATTGACAAGTTGAATAGAGATATAATAGAACAAGATTACAACTTGTGGGATGCATTGGAAAGTTCAAAGTGGATTCCTTGTGATACTTTAGAATTATGCTATTGATATGATGATGTCACTAGCATAATAACATTCATTGCAAATTAGAAATTATACAAATTGAATTTATAGAACGTTCAGAGATGGGAAAGACCAAAGACGAAAAATGATCAGTTCATCATAATACTAAATCATTTTTTCGCCTTTTATAAAATAACGCTACTGCTGTACAAAAAAAAATTAGAAATTTCTACTTAATTCATTATTGTTATCGTCAGTCTCTATGTGTTTATAAAAACAATTCCTGATGATAGATGTTAACTTCCAGCTTCACTATTCTATTACATTCTTTTTACAATTTCATTAAGTTCATTTAAATTGTAAATAACATTTATTTCATCAATTATTTTAATACAATAATCAAATAAATGCCAAGTCATGCATTGAGACTCATAAAAAAAAAAAATGATTTTGATGTAGCTGTAAAAATGAAAATTTTTATCTTTTTAGACAAAAAAAAGTAGCAATATTTAAATAAATATTGACATAAGTAAAATTTGCGTTTAATTAATTTATTAATTTTTGTTTACTATACATTATTTCACTAGTATAAGTAAACCTATAAGACGATCATGATAAAAATTATATTTTCGGAATGAAAATTAGAAAAAAATTATATCATCCTGGAAGTTCATTTGACGATTTTACGGCCAAGTTTATTCAAAGCCCATCAGGTTATTTATTGTAAGAACACAGCTTCTTTGTACACATTGTAAATTGATATTTCTTTCAAATAAATCTACGATCAAGGCTTCTACTTAGTCAACGGCAAAAATGCATTGATAGAATATTTTATCGACCATGACTCATCATTCATTAATTTAAAAAAATGAAACAAAAAGTTCTTTGAGTATAAATCTAAAATATATTGTTAATATATAATTATTTTTTCAATTTTCTCTTTGTAACAAAGTATACTTCTATGAAAGCTCAGTGATTCTCGTTAAAAATTACGCTTGATGTAACAGCGTACTTGTCATAAACAAAAACATTTCATTTTTTTATTAACTGTATTTAATTTAATATCAGTTGCAATCTTGTATATAATTTCATATAGAAATATCTTTTGACTCGAACAAAGCGAGAAAACAGATGGAAATTTTTTGTTTTATTATTTTATGGCAGGTGTACTGGATAGTAGCCTTACAGTAGAAAATAATTCGCACGTATAATATACATATCAGTTGAAAAAACTAAGCGCATCATTGATTAACAGTGGCACTCTACTTAAAAGTTATAATTCGAAATACATAATTATTATACTATCTCCCTTCGCATCTTTCTTTCTTTTATTTTCAATTTCCTCGTCGTAACTTACGCACAATAAGGCTCTATTGTTACCTCCACTAAAAAAAGGCTTAGTCAAGGTAAAAAATAATGACTTCTGTACAGAGCTTGATACGAGCTCACGGCACGCATGAATTATTTTTTTGTCTAGTCTACATGGTCTTGGAATATGAGTTTAACATATCCAGGCGATCCTTCCAAGGGCGTTGCACAAAATGGACAGATTGCGATATAGCCGTTAGTACCATGCGGTATTGCCACCTTTTCCCAGTATCTATAAAAAGAAAAGTTTTTCCGGTTAAAAGGTCTGGTGTGGAAATTGGTTCAAGCTGTTTGTCTAGCGCAGTGCCAAAGGGCGACGCATGCGAAAAGGTAAAATAACACGTGACGTCTCAACGTACTTTACTGTTTTTTCCGTAGCCATATGCCCACACGGACTAAATGCGTACGTTGGTGGTCCACTGTCTACGTAAAAGGCGGGCTCGATACCCATGCAAAGCTTGACGATGGGGCCAGCAACGAGACACATTGGACATCTACGAGTCGCTTTGTCCTTTTCCTGTCCCCAATCGTGATGCCCTTGCACGTGACCACACTTCAGATACACGTACGGCTGCTGCTGAGCTGATTCAGACGCTGTTCGGCGTGGTATCACCAAAGTGTTCAAGCCCACCGGACATTGAGGCCTTCCCGCGTTGATTGCGTCAACGAGTTCTTCCAAATCATGCTTTGTCTACGTTAAGAGTAAAAAAAAATTGCTCAGTAAAAAAAATATTTGGAATGTGTAAAAATCGTCGATTATAAATATTACATCCATTGAATTTAATGAGTTTTTTAAACTTTACTCGGAATCGTTTTCTGATCGATTTTCCAATATAAGACTTTTAGATTGATTAAAAATGAACGAACAGCTGATCGGCGCTTTTTCATTAATAATTTGCTATCTCGTCAGCAGTTTTCACTTTAACAAGTTCCCACGGTACTCTGTCGATATTTTCGTTTTCTTTGAACTTGCGTATCGACGAGAGGATTAATTTTTATTTTTTTTTTATTTTTTGCCTCCTCATCATCATTTGCATGCATAATTAAACATACCGGCGATTTGGCCAATCCTTCTGCCGATCGCCACAGCAGAGTAGCCCCACAAAGGTCGATCAACGTGCCGTCCTGAAGTACATTGTCTTCGTCCTCGACGACGTTTCCCTTCTGCTGAGCGCTTCTGCTTTCGCGAAGGGAAAAAACACCGCCGCCAACGCTGACTTCTCGCCAGTAGCCGCAAATAGCGTCACCGCCGCAAAACTGCCCACGAGGATGCATGATTAAAACGCCGTTCGTGGTAAGGCCATCGATTTCTCGGTTCTCTTGCCATTTCGTCGCTTTTTCCTAAGTTTTGAAAAATTTGCTTTTTGAGAAACATGCGAGTCCGACAATTTTTATAGTAAAGAAACGTGTTTTGCACATATCTCGAGAGAGAAATGTTACATCATTCCGAGCTGAACGAATAATTAAGAAAAAACGCAGCACTTGAAGCAAAGAATTTGGGAATCAGTGATTAAATTAACACAGACTTAGCGAGTTAAGTAGTCGCAAATAATTATATTGCGTAACATCATTGTTAATTCTTAATGCTTGATTGAGCAAAAGTAAAATGCGAGTATAAAGACTATGACTTTATGCTCATTAATCGCCCCTGAGAGAATTGAAAATAAATAAATAAAACGAAATAAGCTGCAACATGATAAAAATTTCGAGTATTACACACGACGCAGATTTGCTGGTTCTTTTTTTTCTGTTTACTATCTGAAAAAATACCGTCTCATTCCGGATATCACAAAAAGTCCCGCACATCATCGAGCAACAGATTGTTGACATGCCGTGATAAGGCGCACAGCGTCTTATCTAAAAAGCAACACCTACACGCAGACCGTTACGTAAACAACGAGAAAAAAAGAGAGAAAGAAAGAGGAAACTGAAAAGCCGCGAGAATTTTCAAAGTGCATCTGTTGCGCAATGCCGAGCAACGAAGTATCGATTCGATACTTAAGCGGCGTATTTATACAATGAAATCTTACCCCAAGAAAAATATTTCTCGAGCCGTCAAAACCAGCCGCGTAGATTCTCGCTATTTTAGGATCGGAGCGATCCGCGAGTATTCTGCAGGCGAACCTGCTTATGGTGCTCTGTGCTACTCGACTTTCGGGGGCTGTGGGATTCTCCGAGCTGGCACCCGGAAATGTGTCCATAACGACAAAATCAATCGGCGTTTCCGACGATCTGCCGATCTGTTCAATAAAAAAAAATTAATTATGAGATTATAATTGAGCTGTAGAAATGACACACGCGATTTATTTTCAATTTTGCCACTTACCTGAAACATATCCGTGTCCTCATCTTCGGTGTATTCGACGATTACGGCTTGAGTCCTAGACAGTGTATAAGAAATCGAGTGTTGCTTCGTATTCAGTATCGCCTGAGAACAAGCCGGTGTCTTGACCACATAATGTTTGCTCCGTTTGACGCCATTGGCAGTTGGTCGTTTGTAAAGGACGAATTTGCTTCTTCTTCGGCCCCGATCGCCAGGTGGTAGGTAACCGTTGTATCTGAGAGAAGATTAAAAGAAAAATTCAAGGAATTGAGTCAAGCGGAATGAGACGGTTAATTTTTTTTCTTAGGTTTAAAGAAAAATATTTTCTTTGCTCTATTTGTTTTTTTTACTTTCTTGTAAAATGATCGCGTGAAACCTAACTCGTTTCTACCTATTCGTATACACGTATATGTACGTTCTGCAAACATATTTCACACCATTCAGGCTAATGATTTTTTTTTAGTGTACGGAGTGTATATAGGTGTGTATACAAGCCAATTGGATTACTGATCCAATTACTAAGTAGTCAGAAACACTTAATCTTGTGTGCTTGTTTGAATTTTCTTTGGTGAAGCCATTGACCACTCAACATTGGAAGCTGAGTTTGTTAATTTTCATCAAATTGACTGTGCAAACACTAATTAAACTTACTGTAATAGTTTTGCATGGATTACATAATTTTTAAGGACTGATGAAAAAATAAATAAGTATAAGAATATAGGCCACTGTAATCTACTTATGTTAGTCACACAAACAAGGGACCTATTTTAGAAATCTATTTCAAGTTCTCTGAAAGTATATCTTTACTTTTTATCCTATAAATGAATAAACATTTCTAGTAAGCAAAGAAATGGTTCACGTTATTCAAGATATTGTATATCTACAAGTTTTCACTGATAAAATTATTCTCTTTTCATTCAGAAAGATAATGAACTATCTTCATATGTACACATGGCAATGAATTATAATATAATAGTAAGATAAAATCTTAAAATGATCCTGAAGAGGGTAAAATAATTGGGATCGATTAGTTTAAAAAATCTTACCCAAGTATGACTAGTTCCCCATATTTGACACCCTGACTGAGCCTTTCATGATTATGTCTCTGTGCTCCATGAGGATGTGCATGTTGGTGATTGTGATTGTGATTGTTGTGAGGACTGATGGCTTGGCCAACAGCCTCGCCCTCTTCTACAGCAAGTGGGCTAGTTTCGCTGCTGCCGTCTGACCTAAAATTGTGAAAAAAAGTGTTAACTCATTACATACTTTACTTTGTTTAGCTTGTTTTGCAATATTTTGTAGATATAAACATGGCTAAGAAAGAACACAAGTGTAATGCATAAGAGACATTGTTCAGTTTTCAAGGCTCCTCGAGTATTACAAAAGTTTAATTTTTTTAAACAGTAACGATTGATCGATCAATCAGTAAATCTGAAGTTTTATAACTGTATTGCAATAATTTATGAGAATAATGATAATTAAAGTGTGTGAAATGTAAAATAAAGATAATTTTATAGATTTAAAAAAATATCATTTTGCAAAAATGTAATTAAATATGCAATGAAAATATTTTACTGTAAAAGAAAAAAAGTTTTAGATTCATTTGAATATTAAATTTATTCTTGTTAAAAACAAAGGTAAGCTTTCTTTGTCATTGTAAGCAGTAGTATTCTGTCATGCTACAGTGAACATCACAAAAATTACAATTTAAGTAAGGAATTTACAGTTACAATAGACATAAATTGCAATGAAATATTGAATTTCATTAGCAATGCCATTGAATAATATTCCCAAATTCAATGATTATTTTTGATGCTCTATTTACTGACATTACTTCTAATTCTCTAATGTTCCATGCCCTAAATAAGAGCAATTTTAAATTTATCAGACCTTGACATTTTATTCTACTTTGACTGTCAATGGTCATTATTATTCAAAAGTAATTGTCATGTAAAATTTTTTTTCATTTATGATGAATTCTACAGAGCTTTTGCAGCATGATGGAATTATCCAGCAAATGTATAACAGTATTCAAATGAAGCATTGTATATATTATAAGAGTTAAATTGGCATTCCAATTACACACTATATTCTAGCATCCATTGACTTCTATAGAATGATAACAATGATTTATGATATAGTTGAGAAGCAGATCGAAAATTACATCACGAAGTATCAGTGATTGAAATTTCGTATCTTTTTTAATTTAATTTTATCGATCGATCAGCGAATTAATGTTCCGCAAAAAATTCTTTCGTTGTTTTGCCAAAAAAAAATCATGCGCAGACAACGTGTTGACGAATTTGGACACGAAAAGACAACGTTTTAACGTTTGTTTTTTTCCTCAACTTCTCGATCTGTTCTCTGTGAGTGGCACAGGTAAACAAATCGCGCGAAGCTAGGCTATCGGCCGAAAAAAGTTTGTAACAGAATACCGTTAATCCGCGTGCATTGCAGTTCTAACAAGAGAATCCCTGTTTGTACCTGCAGGGTTGTCTGCGAGCGCGAGTAAGTGTGCGCGTATGCGTATGTATGTGTGCAGAAAACAGCCGAGTGGTAACTCGATATTATTATATGTCGAAAAAAAGCAGAATGAAAAAGAAACGAAAAAAGGAGCATACTTAAGAAAGAAAGGGGTAGACGCGCACGGCACTAAGTATAGTAACAGAATATCTCCGTATAATCTTGCGTATGTATTTACCTTGTGTAATCTTCTACAATTTTTATGCACGGCGATGGAAAGAGAGAGAGAGAGAAGAGAGAAGAAAAAAGAAGAAAATAATAAAGTGCAAGGATATGCGTATCGCGAAAAAACGTGATGTAATTACACGACGCTATGAGTGGCAATGACGACGATGCCATACATGCGTAACATCGAGAGTGAGAGGAGGACAAACTCATAATGCATCACGTACCGAATAACCATTGCGGAATCCGTGTTAGAGTCAATTTGGCCGCGGCGACTAAGCCACTCCGCGGCAGGAGCCAAAGCCAGCGTCTTAGTGTAATATCGCTGCTCTTTCCTGTATAATATTCCTCCTCCTATGGGTCGTCGTTGTCGTCGTTGTATAGGCACAGCAGAGGTTCACATGCACTTGCGACTGTGTGTCTTTCTCTGCTATCCGTCCGTGTGTATATCGCCGAGTTTCTGCGTTTCTCTCTCGCTCTGTGTGCGTGTCGTTCGGTTTTTTTTCCTTTCTTCTGCTTTATATATTTTTCTCGTTCGTCTTCGCGCTCTTATAAGATTCTAACTCACCCACACACGCGCGTATAATGTAAGTGCAAAGAGCAGAACAGAGCAGACACATACGCGCGTATTATATCTATCTCTGCGCGCGCTACACACACACGCACACGGACACAAACACACGATCGTTTATACTCGTGCACAATAAAACCAGGCACTACCACAAAGTACACTGGAGGAACACACACACGCACAAACTGACTCCGAAGAGCTGCGAGTTTTTCTTTTTGCTCCTCTTGTTCGCGCTTTTATATATGGGACGCACCTACGCTCGCTCTTCTCCGTCTTTTCACCAAGCTCTTATTCCGTCTCTCTTATAATATCTTCTCAACTATCTCGGCTCTCTCCCATGTGTGTATATATATGTGCGTGTGAGCCTCTCTCGCACAGTGATACTCGTCGAAAGAGCCGTAAGAGCAAATATAAACGCTGGCTTGATATTTTCAATATTCCGATGTATCACACAGTGACTCTCGCGGGCTCCGCTGATGTATACGTCGGCTCAGCGAGTACACCGTGTGTGTCACTCGGTTTGAAAACGAAGATTTCGTTGGAAAAGAGAACAACTCTCGATTCCTCTTGTGCCACTGCCTCGAAGGCGCGAACGCAAACTCTTCTCCGGGATGAAGGATGTTCGTCTCGAATTGCGTCGACGCCACTCTCCGCACAGCATGCGTACTATACGGTCCAACAACAAAAACAACAACAACGGCGAAAGCTAATATTTTTCGCACTGCCGTGTATACGTATTCGCGCACTCTCGCAAATGTGTGTGTGTGTGTGTGTGTGTGTGCGTGTGTATGTATGTATGGCGCTATATAATAATGCTGGCAACGCAACGCACGTCCAACAGCGACTGCGCCGCAAAGCGAACAACTCGTCTCAGAGGCTCGCTCATATAATGAACGGCGAGTGAACTGCTATATATAGCTATAAGCGTATAAAGCCGCGCTACTCTTCAGGCCGTATTCTTCGCGTATAATATATATATCTATACGCCACACTTTCCTATTTCTCTGTTAGTTGCTGCTGTTGCTCGCTGAACAGCACCGTTGTAGATACTTTTATATATATAATATGTCCTGTTTTTCTCTCACGCGTCGTTGTACCACCCCCTCATCACCGGTACGTTTTTCATCGGTTGCTGCTGCTGCTGCTTCTTATGGCAGTGATGACGACGTAAAAGACGATGACAACGATGCGCTGCTGCTACTTCCGATTTTTCAGAAAACCGTGTCTCAAATTCCATGGCTCTCGGTAAAATTATGTTAGTATACTCGTATTGCACTCGTCTATGTTTTACAAACGAGAGCTCGGTAACTCGTAATAATAATATACTTTGCGGCTACGGCAGTTATTCGCAGCTTTCAATAAATATCACGCATTAAATGCAAAACGTTGAAACATTTATAACTATATTAGGAGCTTGACTTTATTCCTTTTGACAATTCGCAATGAATAATGTATAGGCCGGCTGTTATAACTGCGCGTGCAAGCCAGTGCAGGGTAAAACACGTAGTACATAAGCTATGGCTCAAGCTCTGTCCCTCGTCGAGCTCTGCCTACCGCACCGGACTGCCCTAGCTCGTCAACGTATATATTTTAATGGAAAATCGAAATATCGCGTTGCGTATATAGATAAAAATATGCAAGCGCGTCAGGCTGGTAAGCGCGAGCTTCGTTAATTATTCACTATTTGCACTTGTTTTAATTTTCCACGAAACTGGCATTACAATGCACTGAGAGAGAGAGAGAGCAAGAGCTGCAAGTCCAAAGTTTTTGCGTCGTGATCTGTGATGCACCGCGCGCGCAGCTGACTAGTTGTTTATCCGATATAACTGCGCGTTGATTATTGTTCTTTTTCTCTTATGGTGTAATAGGTGTATAGGTATGTGCGCGCAGCGCGAATAGGCAGTGTCTCTTATTTTTTGTTATTATTATTCAACTGCGATAATACACGACACAGAGCACTGCACAGCAACAAACGCGACTCGCTGCATGAGTGCACTTACTCAACGTGCGCGACGTCAACACAACAACGCGAACAACACCCGCGAGCTTTCACGAACGTTCGAAAGTCGAGCCGTGTAGCCTGTGACGCGCGTATGTTTATAATATGCCTGCACCTCTATGCAGCGACGTTCTCGGTGCATCGTATTTTCATTGTTATCGCCGCGCGACTCATATGTACCGTACGATATATATATACGACGATGCGCATGCAGCAGCAGTGGCGATCGTCGATGCAGCGAGATGTATATTATTGCGAATTGTCAAGTATATCATGCTACGCACTGACTCACGAGCGCCTTGAAGCTGCGTTTATATATATTTTGCTGGCTAGCTTGCGACGACGGCGGCGGCAGCAGCAGCAGCATCGAATACACGCATTTATATACCTGCTGCGTATATGTGTGTGTATGAAAAGTATGAACACACGTCCTATCGTGCGTGTGCAAGAGCTGCTCCGTTTCGCGTAGTTGGCTGCCCGCGTCGCCGCCGCTCACCGCTGCCGTCACCAGTCACCACCGCACACAGTTCACGCAGGCCGCAGGCGCCTGCAAAAATGCATACACACGTACCGATTCTACGTATGGCTACAGCTAGCACGAAAGCAGATATATGTATATATTATTTTGCGCGCGCGAACGTATCGACGATGAACCTTGACATCGCGTGGAAGTGACGCCAGGCGTCGTTGGGATCGCGCGCCCGAGCGGGAGTGTTCAAAGCTGTGCACTCGATCGCGCGCACGGCTTTTTACGACATATATACGTGCATATTTATTATGCATATATCCTATATAAGTGCACGCGCGATGATTAGCGACCGCGATGATTTACATCGACGCGCGCGGAGCAGCGCAGGGCGAGCGCGACATCGGTCCAGCGGATCCTTATATACGATAATTACGAGCTGTAAAAGGTATCATTGCCGAGTAATTAGGCGAGATAATGGCGCGCGCTGGTTTTTTTCGCTGCGAGGTTTACGAGTCCCGCGCCGTTGTACCGTCGACGCGCAGAGACTCATTTGCTTATGTAAGTGTCTGCCTGCACGCGTGCCGTATGCTAATTCGCAACGAGAGCACGAGAGAGAGAAGCGAGAGAAATAAACAAAGAAAACATTGAGAGCTCTCCGATGCGGCTTTGATTTTCAATGACTTTTATCGATATGGATTGTACGATGCACAACGGTGCGAGCTGTTACATATGAATACAAGGTGTTTGTACGGTTCTGCGCGCACAATGTGCAACATACAATTCGCTCAATGACGCTCTTTCCTTGTTTGCTTTTATCTGCTTTTGCTTTTATTATAAAATATAATTTTAACGATATATAAATAGTATAATTATGGCTGTTTATCTCAAAAAATCAATAAACCTTTTCGTTTTAAAGTAGCTCGTTCAATAACAAAAATATCTTCTATACCCCGAGGCGTTATAAAACAACGCGCGAGCGTCGCAATTATGTTTTTTTTTTTCAGTATCTTTGATTTCTCAATTTTCTATGTACATTTTCGTTATAAAAAAAACTTTTTTCAAATCTTCAAAAATCCAATCGATCAAGGAGCGATGCTAATTCGCTCGTCTGCTCTGCCATGCCAATAACAGATTGTACGAGAAGTACAGCGTGAAACCATGAACTTGAGACGCTGCCAAAATGAAACCGTACCACAGCATACCGTAGGGTAGATCCTGTAATAAATCGAATGCATTGTATTACCATCATCTGTGGATTTGATATCGAAATCGGTTTATTTGTTAATAATCGTTTTTTTACCTGCCACACGTGGATGTTTTCCTTTTGACCTGTGCTCAAGTACTCGTAAACGTCGTGGAAGTAGTATATAAAACCATAAAGTATCGATCCGAGACCCAGCACGGTGATGCCGATCATGTATTGCTTCAGGGTCTTGATTTTGTTCTTTCTCATGGCGCTAAATCCCAGGAATGACGTCAACAGGCTCGTTAACCATATGTATTCCCACAGTAACGGCTGTGTTCGTTATTTTCATCATCCCCGATCGATCGCAGAGCATGAAAACAGACGATTACAAAATTAGCGAGAAAATCAAATGATTGAGAAAAGTATTATTGTCGAGCGAATAACAATAAGCTACCTGTGGCACTGCGAGCTCTTCTATTTCTAAGATAAATATATTAAAACGGTCTAAAATATCAGCTGACAATTTGGCTAGCATAACGAAGAACAGTATATAGTGGAAAAATATACAGTATCTCAGTCTTGACTTGTTCACGGCACTGCAAAATAATAAAAGAAGGAAGTGAATGAAAACGTATTTTGATAATGAGCTTAAATCGTAAATAATCATCCATTGTTTCGTCGATCACTGAAAAATTTCGAGTACAATGAAATGGAAATTAATTCGAAAATTTCTAGCATCGTAGCGTTCGTTCGCGCGGATCGTGCGCTAATACGAGAGCATTATAATGATCTTCGAATCACGCGTGTGCATAGAATTTCCGAGTAGGGGGTGTAGGAATGTCAAGGTGAAGCTAGAACTTGGATGAGACAGGTGCACACAGAGTATTACCACTCGTATACGCACACGAACACGCGTGAATATACATACGCACACACATGACACACGGACGTGTGTGCGTGTGCGTATATGTCTGTCGTAATTTCTCGGTCATAACTCTCCATGCGAGAGTCGTGCATATGCTCCGTACCTGGTCTGATAATGATTGGCGACGCGCTCCCTGTGCTGAAAGTCGTTGCCGTCATTGTTGTACAAATTCGGTGCATAAAATCCCATTCTCGAAGCCATGTTTATTCCGTTTTCTCCTCGACTCGATTTCACTGACGAAAACTGCAAACCGTTCGCGCACGACGTGCCGAAAATTTTTCACAGTATGCCCGTTATTATGTATACGCGCGCGCACACTCGCGCACTGTGTCCAAGCGACAGGTTATATCTCTGCCTTATTAATTACAATGTGTCGAATATAAACTTATATTATGGTTCGAGTCGTCTAGTAGCAGTATAAAAGGGTATTGTTGTCGATGACGACGACGACGACGACGGCGACAGCAGCGGCAGCGGCGGTGGCGGCGGCGCGGACGTTGATGGGCTTTCGAAAGCAAAAGTATTCGAAAATCCAAGGCAAAGCATATCCCACCGCACGCGCCAATGGCCCCGCGCGCGCGTCTATTTGGTATGAAATGTGCTCCTATATGCTTTTATACGTGCGAAACGAGCAACGGCACGATTCGTCTTTGCTGCACTGCCTGATGCTCGATATTTTTATTGGCATCGATGCAGCGATATCAGCGGAAGAAGAGGCAGCGTAGGCAGCAGCAGCGGGTAGTAGTACTATGAATGAATCCTCGGCTCCGGGGAAAATTCTACACACGCGCACACATGTGTTGTCGTTCGAAGAAAAAAAATCTGCAAATCATCACACGCGAGATCGGCCGCACAGCATCTCTTAGGATTAAGAAAAGCTCGATCGCTCGCAATGGGCGCAACTGACGAGAAATATATCGACACACGCGTGACTACGTATAAATATGTATTCGACTCGACTTCCTATTACTCTCTCGTTTCTTCTAGCCTACGCTTGTAATGTTACTACCCTAAACTATTTTTAAACCGCTGCTACTGCTGCTGCTAAAATCTCCGAGCGCAAGCACACGCAGACGCGGCGTCAAAATTGCTACTGCCTAGTAGTGTAGCAGCTCGGCTGCAGTTTCCAAGGCGGTGCGCGATCTGCGGCATGTGGCCTGCTGCAAGTTCATGTGGGCAGTATTAATAAAAGTACATTCAAAATTCTGCATTGTCAGATGCTATATGTTGATCGACAGCTGCAGTAAATTATTAATCAGCGATTTTACAACGAGCCCCTTTTCGTTAGACTTACGAACTTGAAAACTTGTAATAATGCTTGTTATTCAGCAAATTTTCATTTTAGTTACAAAATAGTAAAGTTTGATAAAACACAAAATGATTTTATGCTTACAATTTTTTATTACATCGATTTGGACCATTTAGAATTTCAAACATGTCATAATTCGGAGAAACGACGCAAGATGTCGTTGCCGCTAAGACATGAAATTTTATTCGTCTGCTGTCTATCTACTTGCTTTTGAATTATCGAAGCTTCTGCGCGCTGTCCACTGCGCGTTGGGTCAAGCTCGTCTGCTGTGCGTGTGTGTGTGTGTTCTTCGCCACTATCTGCGAGGGCTCATTGCATACTCTCGAAAATCTGCACTAACTTATTGAACGAATTTATCAATCTACGAAAATGTTCAACCAAATTTTGCGCCCCGTTGCACGTCGTGCCATCCAGAAAGGTACACCATCATGATTACATTTACGAATACTTTAAGTTTTATTCATTCATTGACAGTTATGTAATTGATCGCTTGGTTATTTTGTGTGTCTTACTCCGTGCTCTTGTGATATGTAAAGGTTGTCGCTCAAACCTATTTCGGTCAATCAAAACATTGATTCTCAAGTACTTATTACATTGATTTCTAAGGTCGTTGCTATCAATATACTCGTTTTACAAAAAGTTTTAAATGTCATGCTCAGAGTTCCGGTTCAATGACAGTTTTGGTTTGTTACAAAAAGTTGTTCAACACCAAAGTTTATGATTGATTATATATTATTAAATTAGAGTATAAATTTGTATTTTAAAACCTCTCATAGTTTTCTTATGATCGTTATTTTTTTAGCTACAACCAACCAAACCCGTTCTCATGGAGGCGGTCATGGTCATGGACATACTCATGTTGATAACCGAATCACGTTCAATGATGCATGCAAACCTGAAGGTTCATGGGCTGAGAATTTTGCCAAACAACAAAAGAGATACAACACACAATTAGCTGTCGGTGTTGGTGCTTTTGTATTTACTGTTGCCACCGTAAGTTTAACTCATTAAGAAAAAACATTAGATCATAAAATTTATTATAATTTTCATTGCAGATTCTCCAAGGTGAGCTATTATTCTTCAACTATAGTTACCCAAAACCAAAGCAGTAGAGAATCAATTTCAATAGTTATAATTCCAGTAAGTTAAAGAAAAGTAATATGATTGTTGTTGTATCATCTATACAAGAAGATCTTCAGGTTTTATTATGTAATTAATTTAATAAAGCTTGTTTATAAATCTAAATAACATTTTGTTCCATTTAATCTGATCTTAAAATAATTTTATAAAAATTTTCATCTATTAGTGAAGAATTATTTATTAAACGCAAAAAAAAATTTATTTAACTTTTTGTCTCGCAAAACTTTTTAAATATCTGATAGTCAAAGTTTAATAATGTTTTTATTATTTGTCATATTTTGCTAAATCATTTCAAATTCTAAAGTACAACGTACTGTAGTCAAAAATGAAAAGCAATACTTTTTCAAATGTTAAGTTATATTCTTTAAATTCCCTTAATAAAATATTGTATTTCATGTGTAAATTCTACCATTATTTGTCAATTTGATTTGAATTTTGACATAGAAATATACAGCATGAAAGTATGCACTGGTACAAGGTCATCTCCAGAAAACCTATTGAAAATAATTTTTCCCCTGCTTTCTTTCAGATGCAAACATTTTCTTAATAAATATTAGAGCATATCTTGTATCATAATATAAAATTTGTATAAAATTTGTATAAAATTTTTAATGTAAGGTTTCATGTTTTTAACAAAATTCATTAAGAAAGTCATACACAGATTTGATTGAGTTCATAGTAAATTTAAGTTTTTTTATTAAACAATAAGGACATTATTTTTGAGAAAAAAAATTCTGAATATCGGCTGTCTGACAACAGAAAGACCAGGGAATTTTTCCAATTCGCTCAATATGCCATTTACAACATTCATTCCTAAAATGAATGATGTTATTGTAAGCAATATAGACAAAAAAAAAATTAACACTGTCCATTTCGTTACTAGTTCCGAATAAATAAATCCGAACGATAAATTTTTCTGACATCTCAAAGACTTCAGTTTCAGAAGTTTTACTTTAACCATTGTTTTAACTGTAAAACAAAATTTTTTCGAGCATCCTACGAGGTCTGAAGAACTGTGTTTATCAAAGTCACTTTGAATAAATTTTTTCTCTTAACTCAATAGTTTATGAGATAAAAATTAATGAAATTTGAAAGTCAAATTTTTCAAATTAAATGGGGTAAATAGATGTACACTTTTAGCATTTCATAAGTTGTTATCAGAACTCATTGATTATTTTTAAATATTTGTCCTTTCTTTTGGTCCTCTCCCATTATCTGTTTATACATTTTAATTTTTATTACAGTCCATTGTGTCCAATAATAAATGGTAAATCATTATGATTTATGAAATTGACTCCAAAACTGAATAGATTTCCTACTAATCATAAAACTATAAATGTAATAATATCGTTAATAATGTATCTACTATGTTATTGTCTCTCCAATAATCTGGTAAATTTCTTCGTTTCATAAATTATAAATACAACAACATTTTCAGCAGCAATTTGTAGAATCTCTTTTTCCAATATATACTTCGAGTGCGACAATTTACGTAGCGAGATTTAACTTTCAAGTAATTATCTTATTACATGGCTTGATTGTTTGATAATAAATAATGTTTACGAAAATTAGAACAATTTTTATATATATATAAATTTTGAAATTGATTTCATTCATTTTAAATAATATAGTCTAAAATAAAATTCCACTAAGCTGGACTTATACACTTTCTAATCGTTACCGAATTTTACTCCAACACTGCAGCTGCATAGTCGCTTGTATTTTTAACAGCTTGCCCACGTGTTTGACTTCCTATTATATATGTATATATAGATCGCGTAGTACATGTGAATAGCTAGTACACGTTACGACGCCGAAGTGCAAGCAGCCGAGAAAGATCGCTTAGACTGCAGCGGTTGAGTTTTTGTATTAAAAAAGGAAATAGAAAAAATCTTAAATGATACATGACTGTGATTGTGTGTGAGTGCGCAAAACGATAGACATGTCTTCTAACGACGAATACGCTGAAAGTTTCTATTCCTGTGAAAGTGGCTCAGACGACGAAATCGACGACTATGATTTCAAAAACTTGGATGATTTACTTAAAAAACAATGTGAAAGTTTGAAAAGTTTACGTAAAAAATTAAATTGGATTTATTCGGACAAAGGGCGATATGCTTTACTCGATCAACTTTACCCCGTAATCAGCGATTGGAAGGGCCAATTTCCAAATCTCCGAGACATTTTTTTTTCTCAAGAAATTGAGTATCTTCTCACATATTCCGTAAAATACACGAAGGAATTCGTTTCGAATAAGACTGTCGGAGAAGCGTTCATTGAATTCGTGGCTCGCACCGGCTACAAAGATGAGCCCGAAATTGATGACGACGATGACGAGCTACTGTTGTATTGTACCACACCACTGCATCATGCAGCTAGATTATTTGACTATCAAGAATCTGGCATGATCCGGAATCTTTTTGAAATATATAACAGGTTCGACGTTACTTACATCAACGAAGGCGCCTACACACATTTTCATGTGGCCTGCAAATTCGGCTGTAACGACGTCGTCGAGAAGTTTCTTGAGCTCGGCCAGGATCCCAATTGTTTCGAACACGTAACAGGTAATTCGCCGTTACATTTTGCTGCAGCTGGCGACCACAAACAAGCGGCCACAATGCTATTGATGAGAGGCGCCGACCCAAATTTTGCAAATAACGAAGGATGGACATGTCTGCACTTTATTTGTAATGGGCATTACAATAATGACTTTGCGGAGCTGTTCTTCGAGATCTGCGATAATAGACATCAAGCGGTGCACATAGATGCTCGGAACAACGAGGGTAACTCACCGCTTCACTTGGCTCTGGACCATGGTAGCGAGAAGGCGATCGAATTACTCTTGAGAAGAGGCGCCAATCCAAATTTGGCCAATGGGATTCGATCGCCTCCTCTGCACAATGCTCTGCGCCGCCACAACGAAAAGGTGGTCGAATTGCTGCTGAGATATGGCGCCGATCCAAACTTGGCCAACGTCGACGGATGGACACCTTTGCGTATTTGCCTCAAAAAGAAAAATTTTCACATGGTAAAGATATTCTTCGAGATAAACGACGAGCTAAATCAGAGGGTGCAGATCGATGCAAAGGACTATTATGGCCGGACGCCGCTGCTACATTCTGTGCTGAATCTCAAGCCGGATGCGGTCGAGATTCTGTTGGATCGAGGTGCCGATCTATCTAGCTTCATTTTTCCTACGGCCAACGACTTTGCTTGGAGATGGAACCTGGATTATTATGATTGTGTTGATTTTAAATTGAGACTAGTGTGTGGTTTGCTAGCCATTGTCGATAGTCTTGAGAAAAGAGGATACGAATTGGAGCTCAGTGATGCCCTGGAGATAATGCAATTGTTTGGTTATTACGGATTTTTCAAGCAGTCGGTAGCCATTGAAAAATGTTTGCATAGTGACAAGGAATTCAAGAATAAAGCAAAAGAGATAAGGTTGAGTCCAGGTGTGCGGCTTTACGATCAATATGTGGGTAATTATGATGATAACAATGAAGATAATAACGAGGAAGAGGAGATCGCGAGTAAAGCCGGAAAGTCATTGGGAAGTCTGTCGCTCTTCGACCTTATCCAGTTACGACCCGAAGAGGCGCTGAAACGACTCACATACAAGGACTACTTTGACTTTGCGCGCTCGGAAATATTGTTCGAGCTCCCGGCCGAAAGTCATCATAATGTTTGTGCTTTGCATCTGTGCCATAAAGTATCGAGAAGATTTTTCCGTCGATGGGCCCTAGATTCTTTCTTGGAGCTCACACACTACCGATTGCCAATCCTCTGCAGTGAAATAATCATCGGGGAGCTGAAGAACGAGGATTTGTGGCGTATTTGCTTGGCGGCTTCGGGTCAAACCTCGTGGTGGCGACGTATAAGCTTACTAGCAAAATTAAAAGTGCCACCTCATTCTCATTCTTTTGATAATATCTTCTGCTTCGCTATTCCTTTTACTGTCCTTGCTTTTATTATGTCCTTTTGTTTTTTCCCTCCATTTCACCACTACGTTAGGTCGAGCGCAGCGAGTTTGATTGGTGCGACTTATAACTCGGAATAGGGGGCATAAATGTGAACTTAGCACAGTGCTATAAAACATTATATTGTACACGTGGCATAAGTAGCCAATTATGACACTGTTTCATAATGTACTGTTATAGTACTATATTAGCACTATAATAGTACTATTATAGGACCAAGTACTATCATAGCACTTTTTTCAGCTCCACTGCGTAATTTATAAGATAGTTTTGTGAAATTTTTGTAAATAAGCTTTTACTCAGTTTGAATATTACCATTTTGTGTGTTAGCTATGATTGAAATTTGCTGCGCTTTGACATGTACCCTTCAAATTCTGTAATTTTTGTAAATATCTGTGTTTGCATCTACATGTTTGTTACTTTTATACTTTATGAAAAGTATCTAATTGTTTAATGTGTATAGAGTAAAGTATAGCCAGTTATAGGTCACCCCCTAGTTGTGGGCCACTGTGAGCTATTATTTTAATAAATAAAAATAAACATAATAATAAAATTTAGAAGGAATGAAATTTTTTTCCATTTCTATTTATATTATTCTTTCAGAAAAAAATTTATAGCTCCACTTATTAACTATTGAATCACTTTTTTATACGATTCATAACTCTTATACCCTGGTCCCAATAACTGGGCTACCCGATAAAATTGTCAAATAACCTGTAATCTTTGTTAATATTTATTCAAACGGTGCAATTTAATTTTTAAGAATAACAGAAAGGTTCGTCATACATTTCGAAACAAGCATATTCATTTTTTATACTTTCAGTGCTCGAAAATAAAAATGTAATCGAGTCCTAAGTTCAGAATCATTGATGGCTCAGTAAGTTAAGATGGCTGATAACTAGTTGATTCGCATTTTTTTGCTTTAATGTAAGTATTCATTAGAAAAGTTACCCTTTTTTCTTTCAGAACGTACTTGCAAAAAAAGTTTCATACATTAGGGCGGAACGAAAAAACACATTTGACACCGATCTTTTTCTAACGTTACTACCATACGAAAAAGGGGGAAAGCTACGAGCTAGGCGCAAAGGGGTTTGAAGTTTTACTGAAAATTCAAGTATTAAATCTGTGATTTTATCATAGACCAGTTATGATATAATTATGATACTTGAATTTTCGTTCCACCCTAATGTACACACCCCCTGACATGCCCTCCTGCAATAACAATTGTGTCATTGGGCAGTGCATTACAATTCATGCGCAATTAGTGGGTTTTTAGATAAAATAACTCTGAAGGCGCCTCAATTTTTTAAAATGAAATCGTTTAGTTGTAATTTGGATAATGTTAAGCCATATTTCAATGCTACGCGTCAACTGACGTTTGATTAGTTGTACTGAAAATTAAGATCTGATAATTTTTCATTGCATCCAGTTACTTATTTATATGTTACAATTAATTTATAACAAGATGATGCGCAATTGTTTTCCTATCGATTTTTGGAATATTTTACACCTACGCGCAATTATTTTATACCTGACATGATTCGTTCCATGACATTGTCAGCCGATAGATGGTTGGGTAATGCAGATCGAAGCGGCTGCTGCAGCAGCAGTAGTGGGACCAAGTAGTACTACAGAGTCGATATGGGTGCAGTAGGAGTCAGTAAAAGCGTTTTTACGGCAAATTAACATAGATACGTTATTCGTCGTGATCATTGGCAGACAACCCGTAATTTTTTGAGCAATTAATTTATTTGAATCAATCATGGAGACGGAAAATTTAGAGCTGGAAGACGGTGAACTTGTCGATGACGACGAGGTAAGTACATAATAATTTAACTGCACCATTTTACGATCATAACCTCGTACTATTGCACTAATTTGTTTTTACGCATTCGATGACATTTTCTTAAATTCATGAATTTCTTGATTGCATCATTAGTATTTGAAATATCGTTCCATTATTACATCGAAATTAAAAATTCCCATTGAAATTCTGGTTTTTATCGCGAACTTCGAAGGGCCAGCCCATTTAAAGCCAGTCTTGACAGATACGCAGTTACTGATCCATTTATCTACTTGCGATTTTTTTCAGCCTATCGAACCATTTGGGACGTATAATGTTCTACAAAGGCCACAATTACATCAACAACCAAATCCTCAAGCCGAACAATTTGATATTACTTACAGCGATGAATCGGACGTCTACGCATCTTCTGAATCGGATTCAGATTCGGATACAGGATATAAAAAGGCAAAACGACCCAAAGCAACTTTCAAAAAGCGACCAGGACCCAGATCGATGAGTAATGATAAATTTAAGGTCTGGTGCCATCAAGTACAGGAAGAATCTCTCGCGGAGGACCTGGTAACTTGCGGCGTTACCAGGAATATGTTTGCAGATAGACAGGTGGAGAGTTACGATTATACGCTAGGGCGTCGTCTCGACGTCGAGGAGAAGTCCTCAGATGAAGAACCAGCTCCAAGATTGACAAATAAGCGGACGCGTAACGATAGGAAAAATGTAAAATTGAGGCTAGGTAAAAGGGATTGGCATGAAGAAGATGAAGAAGATCCTAAAGGTTCTTCAAGGATACTACCAAATTTGATTGTCACGATAGAATCAACAGACGATGAAGTAGCATCTGATATTGCAGAGAAACTTTCAGAAAGTAAAGATACTCTAATAAGTAAGTATATAATGGCTTTAAATTAAACAATTTTGTAAAAATTCATTATAATGAAAAATTTTTTTTTTCATTCAGAGAGAGTAGTTGAAATTTTGGGAAAAGAAATGGCAATTGGATTTTTTGAAAAAACAAAAAAGATTGAAGAAGAAGGTGGCATGTTAATAATGAATGGTTCAAGAAGAAGGACAGCAGGAGGGATTTATCTTTTCCTTGTTAAAAATGATGATCACATTCCACAACCCAAAATACGTGATATATTTTATCAAGATAGAAAAGAGACTGCGGGTCAGAAAAAAATGTCTGCAGCTACGCGCAGGAAACAAGAAACTCAAGAATTAATGCAATTTTTAGAAAGTAAGTAGATTGTTTTCTCTATACTTTAATGACTTTACTATCTACGTCTTAATAGATAGTCAATATAACAAACAAATTATATTAATAGATGGGTCAAATAAAGATTTACCAGCTCTACTAACACGTGCAGAGTTGTGTACAAAAAGAATAGCAGAAGAAGCACGTTTGAGGCGAGGTGAAAGCAGGGACAGGAGTGACATGGATGCAGAAAGAACTGTTTCGAACCCTCCTCCCAGTCCTGTTACAGATGATCCTGATCATGCTGAACAACTAAACTCTCACCCTGTAAATTCAAGGCAGTTGCAAGAATATGGCGATGATTTTCTTGACGTAGGGGAAGAATTTGACATGGAAGTGTTTTAAATAAATTTTATAGATCGTTTTTTATGGTTTGTAAGATCTTTAATTATATATATATGAAATTTGATAATATTTTCATAAGGTGTTCATTAGAATAATATAATTATTGACACATTTCTCTGCGGAATTCATGCATGCTATGATTGTAAATAATGATGCAAATAAGACAGAAATTCTCTCTTCTACATAGCAGTACAGGCTTGATAAAATTTATGACATCTTTCAGAAAAATGAATTTTATGCAATACTAAGTAAATTCTACATACTTTGATATCAGAATCTTCGGTTATGTTTATCATCAAAATAAACGTATAGAAGAAATTCTTTTTAATTTGATTATTCACACATTTTTCCGAACATTTTCTTTTTAAAGTAAAAAGTAAAGAAAATGATACTCTTGATGTAATTCTGTTTGTTTTTAAAACAGTTAGGCGAGTCTAATTATTAAAGTATTGAGATTTAGAATGTTGAAAATTTATTTTTCCAGGAAACAAATATAACATGATAAAAATTCAAAAAAGGTCAAATCAATTAAACGATTATGTAAAACAGAATGCTTAATTCTTAATAATTTGACTTGCATAAATTTATTTATACAATGATAGAATTATTTTTATGGCCAATGTATATTTTACATTTGTGTTTTCAGTATACAGGTATTTAATTAATTTAGAGTCATTCACGTGTATAGTAAGATAATTGTTAATTATATTGTAAGAATTTAACGTTGTCAATAATTTTTTTACAGTTTAGCTTATCGTAAGTCTGCATTACTATGCACTGCGTCAATTAAAGTGCATAAATGCCTTGTAAATACATAATATAATTAAATAAAAAAAATAATGTTTCTAAATTTTAATACAATAAAAAAACATTAACGAATGTTATTAGCAATGAAGTTGTCGAAATACTGTACATGAACCAAATCTTTTCATTGATCACTATTTACATCAGTTGATTTAAAATAAACTTTGTACAAACTAATAACCAGCATCAACTAGCCATTTTTTCTAACAATGATAATAAATAATCGCAGCGTTTTTTCACCTGAAAACATTTTTTTTTATTAAACATAAAATACCACTCATGTGCAAAATAAGCTCTACAGCGAATTAGAAGTATTACCTGTTCCACAGTTTTGTTTAAAGTTGAACTTACAGCTTCAAATGTTTTTTGGGAGTAGTCTTTTTGTATGCTTTCAAGAAGTATTTTATCATCTTCCATTGTCCATGGATTATTCGTGAGATCGGAGTCATCATCGCTACTGTCGGAATCACTTGAACCATCTACTTTATCATTACTTTTATCTAATTCTATTTCTGCAGATTTTAATACGGTTTCATCGTCTTCTACACTGTCTTGACTAGATTCATTCAACTTGGCTCCTGCTAATTTTTCATACAAAAGTATTATAATGTGAAAGTGCATTTTTCTAGTAATTTATGAATTGTTAAAATTTATATTTACTCGAAATATTTGTGTCATCTGTCACCACAATTGTTTCGACAGTTGGTTCAGGTTGATTTTCAACGGATTCAACCTCGGCCTTGTCTTCTTTTGCCGCTTGTCTTTTAGATCGGCGCCTCTCTCGCCTGCTTTTCGGCGATTCAGTTTCAGGATCTTTCGCGGGAGTGTTATCCAGCGATATTTTTGGCATAGACTTGACAGAAGTTGCTGCTCTTCTCGTTTGTTTATTACCCGAAACAGAGGGTCCAGCCTCTTCGTTTTTTTGTGGTGAATTTTTCGACGAAGCTTTCCCGGCTACGGTCAACTGATCATCCGGAATGGGATCAGTTTGTTTTGTCGTTTTCCGACGTTTACGAGCTGGTGGGACTACCGGTAATGTACTACAATCAATGGCGTTTATCGATACGCGACTAATGTTTTCGAGTCTCTCCGCGTCAGCACCAGGAAAAGTTATTTTCGCCGGTCTCAGACCTCCCGAAGTCTGCATATACATTCGACCATTTAAAAACTGCAAACATATTACAATTAACGATTTTTCTTTAAAAAAATAAGTTTTTTAATTAAATTGAAATTTCATAGAAAAAAGTGATTAATTTTTACCCTTATGCCACAAATGGCGCAGTGATCATTCATCGTCTTGGTCTTAGTCTCGTCGTCTAAGTTATGGCACTCGCATTTGCAACCATCGCCACCATAAGGATCCTCCTGAACCGTGGAAGCCGGTAGTTCGAGTGTCTCATAGAGTTCGGGAGCGTCTGGATCGTAAGGCTTGTTTTTGTCCGGAGGTCCTACTGGGCAAACCAATTGCTCGAACATATCATCGGCAAACAAACTTTCGGGAGGCTTACCCGTAGGTAGACACTGCAGAAACAAATCCATGATCAAGTCGTGGCCCTTTAAAGCTGTGCCCATGATAGATTGAGCCATTTCTAGGTTGATATTCGGGTCCACAGCCAATTGATTTATGGCTTGCATGAGCTTTGATATTCTCGAAGGCTGCTTCACGAAATACATCTGCGCTATACTTATAAAATTTCTCATTTTTTGCATCATGATGTACTCGACGGATTTGTCGATCTGCGCGGCTTGTTGCGGTGACAGAAATAGCAAAAAATCCGAGCATAATTCTGGATAATCGACCAGTTTTTCACAGATATCTTTGTACAAATTTATTGACAGATCGTCACAAGTTAATTCAGTCTGTGCTGCTGTATCGTCACTGCTACTAGCGTTGTTTGTTGGCGACTGTGGCTTTATTTTCTCTGCCTTCGTTTCAAATTCTTGAAACAAATTCATGATCGCTTTAAAAAGCTCTGGATCTTTCGGCTCCAGTACTAAATGACACTTTTGAATAAACGACGTCGCAAGCTCTAAAAATTATAATTATAATTTGAGTTATAAAGTTAACATAATTGAGTTAAACTAAATTCCTTTGAAAAATTACTTGTCGATCGTTCATCTTCATTGATGTTGTTTTCAGCTTCTACAAATTTTTTGAAATTTTCCAATTCTCTGGCTTGCTTATTTTTTTTACGATTGGCAGTGCTCTTTTTAATAGTTGTACTAGCTAACATTAGTTCTGCGATTTCGTCTTCGTTGTCCTGAAAAAATGCGTTAATCGTTTAAGCACTTTCATTCAATCAACTTAAAAATGTGCAAAACCTACTCCTTTATTGGAAAAAGACGAAGAATCCTCGTCGTCCTTGCTCTCAGACTCAGTGTTATTTCTTGTACTGGAATTTCTCGAAGATACGCTCTGAGCCAAGCGTTTCATATTCTGCACACTTCGAATCTTTGCTAATCGTGGCGTAGGTATTCGGAGTTGTGGAGCTGGCTCCTCATCGGTTCTCATACTTTCTGCAACAGACTCATCGTTGACTGGTTCGTTTTCAGTATCGTTCGTGACCCCTGAATCAACATTTTCCGCTGTGACTGGAGTATTGTTGATTTCATCATTGAGAGGAGTACTCGTGTTATTAGCTACTTTGAACGGCGTATTGAGAGTCGGCATATTAAACACGTTTACTACAGGATTGCGAAGCTCGTGATTTGGATTAATTTCAAAGTTGTCGACCGATGTCAGATATGAATGTTTGTTTTTCTGCATTCTTTTTTTGTTTTTTTTCTTCGGCGGACTTTTTGAAGATTTGCGAGAAGACTTATTGAAAATGAATTTTTCCAATTCACCCTCTTTTAACTAGAAATTAAAAAAAAATCGTTTGTAAGATAATTAAAGATAACGAAGTTTGTTTTCACTCACTTTTTCGATGAAATCACACCAGGGTGGCTCGAGCAGTTCTGGTGGGGTTTCGAGCGGCGATAGTAATTTGTATTCTTCAAATACTTTGTGAACCACTTCAGGAGTTTTTCCATGAATAAAATAATCCTGCATTTCAAATTAGAACTAGTCCAATGCATATTCCATTAAATATTTGAATAAAATACGAAAAAACTGTTTTTTACCTTTATAGGATTATCAGGTACCGTGCTGCATTTACGTCGTTTTATAAAAGATAGAAGAGATATGCAATTAACAATTGGGAATAAATATTTTTGTATTAAAATTACAGCGTCAGCAAAAATATGTCTTTTGTCACTAAATTTCTTTGACAATGATTTTACGTATGGTATAAATTGTTCTAATCCCAGTGCTATAAGGCTGAAACAAATGTATGTAAAATTTCCCAAGTGAAATTATATATTTTATACTCAAAGATAATTTATCATATATTTTTACCATTCTTCTGATGTAGAATATACTCTAGCACATCTAGGAATTATTGTTATTGGAAATATTTCTGGCAAGAGTTTGGGATGCATTAATGCTTTACTATTAGCCATTAAACGTATGAGTTCAGGATGAAATCTCGGTCTATATTTTCTCCTTGTTGTAAAATAATCATATTCAATTTTTGATTCCTGCTGTAAAAAATGTGAATATTCCGAAGCAAAATTTTCATCTTCCAGTTTTTTTTCCCAATCGGAAACCAACTTTAAAGCATCATCCAAATTATCGGCTAGTAATAATGAATTTTTATTTCCAGCTAGTGTTCTGAAATTTTCGTTCAAATATTAATGTATCAATTCATTTTTAATTGTAAGATAAGTTAATACTTATGAACTATTACTTTAAGCTTTGTAAATTTTCCCTTGATATCAACGATTTTTGATGCCATTTTAAATGTTTGTAGTTTAAAACAAATTGTTGAGCTAATAATTGAACGTGCTGAGACATTTGAATGGATATTAATTTTCGTTGCATAGGATTTACAAGTTCAGGCAATACAGGTGCGGCTAATACAGGTATAAGGCTAACCATAGGATTGGACTGAAAAATAAAAATTTAATTGAATCATCAGTAATTTTGCTTTTTTAATTTAATAATTAGTACCATAACAAGTTAAGGAGACACATTGTGAGAGTAGAAAATTTGTTGTTGTAAACTTTTGAATTACAATTTTCATGTGATTCAATCAGTTTAGTAATAAAATTACTAATAATAAAATAAGTATACTCACAGAAGTTTCATTTGATTCTAATAAATATGTAGATGTGTTGTTATTATCCACTATAGAAAAATTTATTGAAGATTCAACTGATTTTTCAGCTAAATGTAAACTACTATTTAGTAAAGTGTGAGTAGGTGAAATATTTGTGAAAATATTTGATGGTGAATATGTGAGTGGAGACATGGGAACATCAAATTCCATAGTATTGAATGGAACATCTGGCATCTTTTTTTTATGAGATCCTTTTTGTTCTTGAGTTTGATTCTCTTCATTTTGCATTTCAGAACTATCAAGTAAATCACTTAGCTCTTCAATAAGAGAGTTCAATTCTTTTTTTGGTATTTTAACAGCCTTATCTTCTCTCAGCTCTTCAGCGTCAGCTACAAAAATTATTTAATAGTTAAATCTGAATTTGATTAATGAGTATAATAAAAAGAATGATATATACTCATTTCTAAGTTTTCGTCTTCGAATGCATTATATTCAGGATCTGCTACAGGATCATCTCCATCATCTTCGTTGTTAGTGACTATTGGTAGATAATATAAAGTTTTTAAAAAATCAATGTATTCATCTTCTGGATCCCAGTCTGTGTAATACAAATCTTCTGTCGCATCAGGACATTTAAGTTCTTGTTCAAGAATTTCTAACGGAGTTTCACTAAGACAAAGTTTAGAACGAGTTCGATGTCCCACACTTTCATCTTCTGTAGGATCATAAGGGGTACTACAACAAATAATTTATTTTCAAATTAATAAAAAAAAAAATTGGAAGTATATATAGATATATATATAATATGGGGTTACATACTTTGGTATTTTAAAAATACCTTCCTTATCATATTGAATTTCGGGTGTTTCTACTACTTCTGATAAATTTGATACATCAACAGGGGTAACAGGCGTAGGTGGTTGGGAATCTATATCACTTCCAACAGAATTTTCCACATCTTTTTCATCATCACTATGTACTTGATCTTGGTCAGGGTTGTATTCTTCATCTGATGATTCATCTGAATGAGTTAGCTCATCTTCAATGAATACTTGTACATCAGATTTTGTATTTTTTGCTGGTGTCATAACCCAAGGAAGATCAGGTTGTTCTTTTGTTAATTGTCTAAAATATATACAATGAAATAATAAAATGTTCATTCAAAAATTGTTTACTCATTCTACAATAGTACAATTTTAGTACTTACTTAACTTTAGCCCTAGTTAAGTAAGGCTCAAAGACAACACCATCTTCTTTATTAAGTCTTTTATGTACCATTGCCATGACATGTTCATTTGATATGACATGTTTGAGTATGTTTTTAACATTTGTTGCTGTTAAATTTGTCTTGGCTGCTTTTGCATCTAGTTGTCGTTCAATTTCTTCTTCCATTTCATTCAAAAAAGAAGTTTCATTTTCATTAATCTTTTTTCTTCTTTTTTCTCCTGTGTTAAAATCCTCCACTTCTGATATATCAATTTGTAACTCAGTACGGTCAGAGTCTGTTGATGCATTACTGCAGTCGAATTCATCCAAATTGAAGGAAAAAGAGGAGTTCTTTTCACTTTCTTCTTCCATGATTCTTAATTGGTTTCTCTTTGCTAAACTTATAATTGAAACAATTTTAACCTAACGATCATGTCGAAAAAAAGAGAAATCTTTTTTTCTTTTAAAAAAGACAAGAAAGGGAAATTTCTTCTTCATGAAGTCGTGAAAATTTGTACTAATTTTGTCACCACTATGAAGAGGTTAAAAAATCTGTCTACCCTGCTATCAATACTAAATGACAACAATCGCAACTTTGTTTTGGTTCGCGATCTTAGAACTTGACGGCCATATCGGAGCAGACGCCTATGTCTGAGAAAAGGCGCGAAAATATAGAAGCAACCTCTGAAAAAACTTCAAGGCTTTGCTTTGATTTTGCAGCGATTGACTATATTTTATGAAATTTCGCAATGTTGATGTGGGTAAACTAATATGTATATTAATGAGAATTTATCGCGTCGATGAAATTAACCGAGTTTCTTTTTGTTTACTTAGTATTTTTTTAGCAACGTGTTTTGTACGAAAGTACACATTGAAACTAGGTAATCTCTAAGCCAATTCAAGCGTGCAAAAAATATTTTTTTACGATTTCTTTATTATAATTAGATAACTAATGTTTACTTTAGATTTGTTTCTGGTAAGTGCGAATTTTCGCGTCTCAATGAGTACATTTAGATTCATTTTTGATATTTCTTACATCGAATTTACGAAAATTTCCTATGTATAACTTCGTCTGATTCACGATTTTCGTTCCACAACCTACATTTCGCTACGCGACCGTCGTGCAATCGTAAAACTGTGATCGTGTTGGATTATTCTCCCGCTTCTAACTTTACATTTGCAATCGAGCGAATATATCGGCGGATTAAGATAAAAAAAAACTGCTGTATAAATGCCATTGTAGTCCGTTATCGCTGCTACAGATTCTATCGAGAATTTCATGGTGTAGCAGTGCCAATTTTTTTTTTCAATCACAGCAACGATCGCAAAAATGTCGACGAAAGCCGTTCTCCTGTTAGCCTTAGCTTTGATGGCAGTCATCGGTGCCGCAAATTCTCAACGTATCGTTGAGAATATGTTGAAAAACAAGGCTCTCGTCGACAAAAAGATCAAGTGCATCCTGAACGAGGGATATTGCGATTTCGTCGGCAAATTAATCATAAGTAAGTGGCTCAATTACTAAAAAGTTGACGACCTAATAATCAATTTTCCAGTAATTTCGATTTTGACTACAAGTTCAAACATTTTTTCACTTGACTAACCGGTAATTAATGGCCCTTGCATTCATCGCTGATCATTACCGCGCATCGACACATTGTTTCATCTCTTTAGAGAGAAACACAATTTTGCCGTAATAAAATTATTGCTTATTATTGAATGTAATCAACTAATAGATACACGGTAAATTTGTATAATTGCGCGAGGTAGAATATTCTCTTGTAATTATCAATGATGATCGTGACGTGCCAATTTTGACACCGCGACGTCGTGCAAATGAATTCGTAGCCGATATCAACGTCCAAAAGTAACGTCTCTCGGCTGTACTACATCCTTAACCATGAGTTAAGCACGAAGAATCTCGCAGTGGCCTCTAAAATCATCCTTTGAAAACTTTGTCATCTTCCTCCGTTTATTCGCGAAAACGTGTGCATCTCTCGGAGTAAGGCACGCATCCACTCGACGCTAAAACTACAAACATTAAGTATTACTCAATAATGGTGACTCATATTCCACGGTGTTGCAGTGCAATGAAATTTACTCGCGAATACGCCATTAGTCACGCCTGCCAATCGTTATTATTGTTTTTTTTTTATTAAATCTAAATCGGCGTAATATGAGGTCTCGATTAATGATTTTTGTAAAATAATTTATTTTCAGAACGGTTACCAGAAGTCCTTCACAACGACTGCAACAGTTGCTCGTCGTTCGAGAGACAAGCTTCGCAGACGCTCCGAAGCTTCATGGAGCGAGAGCACGCGGCAGAATGGGAACGAATAATCGCAATGTATTAGATTATTTATTAGAATGGAATTTTTATTTTTAGTAGTTTTTTATTCATAAAAATAAAGTTTTCCCTTTGCATAATTTATTCGAAAAGAAAATGATGAAATTGAATTAAAAGACACTGTTCACTAATTGATTATAAATTTCATTTGTACTCATGAAAATAATTCAATCATTATCGAAACAATAAAAAGAACTAGCTAATTTATTTTTGGGCGATTAATTGAACTTTCCAAAAACGTAGTCAATGACGATCAAGATGAACATATTGAATCATGCCGCGGGCCTGAGTTCTTCGACCTTTAAAACTCTAACTAAGCATTAAAAACGACAAGGACTCTGGCTCGGTACAGTACCCTCTAGTTAACAATTTGGCCAGCCTCTCTCACTTTTATTCGTGAAAATGTGCTCAGCTCTCTCGTTTAACCGAGCTGAAATACCACAAACGACGAGCGTGTATATTATAAGCATTATTACTCAATAATTGTGACTCATTATGCGCCACTATAGCGCGCTACGAAATTCTGCAATTATTAGATTCGCGTCAACTGTATAATTTCATCATTATTCTATTAAATAGCTCGTGCCTAGCGGTGCGCTTGATACAATGAAAAACCTATATAGCGCGCCGCGAGATAAGCTATGTGGAGTCCTATCTCGAACAAAAAAAAACGCGGCGCAGCCGAGAATATTAAAGCCAAGATCCATGTGCTTGGCCTTCCAGTCGTCAGAACACAACACCAAAGAAAAGACCGACGATGTCGACCAAGTGCTCGTATTGCTTTCTCCTCGTTTTGGTGGCTCTCGTGGCCCTATCGTCGAGGGCCAGCGCTCAAAGCGCAATCGACAGCATGCTGCAGAATCGGGCCTTCGTCGAGAGACAAATCAGCTGCATAACGCGCAACGGCCCCTGCGACCCCATTGGCAAGCTTATAATAAGTAAGTGCACGAAATCCGCCGATTTTAATTTAATATAATAATTTGAGTTTCCGCGCGCGCTGCGCTTCGTGCAAGATTTATCGCACAATCGTGTATTCGCTGTAATCGGATTTTGATGAACTTCGCACGCTTCCAATGCGCCAATTAAACGTTCATTCAATTACACTTCGCTGGATTCGATATAAATGGCAATATTATTTTTTAGCTGCTGCCTCAATCTATGCGTTATGATTAAAATTCGATTTTCTTCTTTCTCCTCTCTCTCTAGGACGACTTCCCGACGTTCTTCACAACAACTGCAGCAGTTGCAATCCGTTCGAGAAGCAGGCAGCCGAAAATTTGATCAGATTCATGCAGCAGAACTATCCCCAAGAATGGGCGCGTATCAGATCGATATATTAAAAGGCGCACGTAGTCGTTGGCATTTTTCCGTGTACATATGATTTAAGACATGACAAACTCTAGCGATAATTTTGAGATATGCGCGCATCGATGTATTTACAATGGAGAAAGTCGATCTCCCTGACAACCGCGAGAAATTTCAGATGATAAAAAAAGTCATTCGATGTAGTATGTATCATTTTAATCTTGTAAGGTATGCGAGTTTTTCAATTTACCACGTCTGTTGCTACGTATTCTGTGTACCATTAGAGTATCTTTGAATTTCAAGACCATTATATTAATGATTAGATTTCAAAAAGATTAGGAATATTCAACATGTATATTTACAAATTTAATTGTTATCATTTATCATTTAATTAGATAGAAGAGAAAACAAATTTTTTCACGAAATTTTTCAATAAAAACAAAAACTTTATCATATCTATACTCAGGCTTATTCATTTTCGTATAATATAGTACATATTAATCATTCGTTAGGTGTAAGGCTCCCTACGTTCTGATAACGACTGAATTGTTAAGAGGTTGAGAGTATAGACCCATTTTTTAAACTCTGATTTGACCGCAAAAATTTTGGTCGTCAAGGTTTAACATTAAAAGAGTCGCAATTACTGAACATGAATGCTTATGTAAAATACCCATTTTTTATTCTATGAAAATTTTTTTTTTTCATTTGTCAGTGCAATAGGTTACTAATTTTAAATCATCAATACGATTAGGTTCTGCCGATTGAGTAAAAAAAAGTAATGATTGATTTCGTTTTTTTAAACAAAAATAATTAATAATTGATAAAGGAATGTCGCGATTTCACTCAATTCGACGAGTATATATAGAACACATAAGTAAGTCTATCAATGCATACACGTACGCCACGAGCAAGAAATATTAATTTTTAAGTCCTTTGTACGTTCGATTAAAGCAAAACGCACCTAATGTAAAACAATTATTACAGTTGAAAGTATGTCTCCAATGGGTGTATTTCGATGAAAAGTTACGGTACAGGAAAATCAGTTTTTCTTCAATCATCACAAATCGGCATCCAATAGTATGGATCAACGTCTCAATGAACTTTTCCTCAAAGGCGATTTCAATTATTGGCTCAATTTATTTCTGCGAGTCACATTTTTGAGCCCCATTCAAAGTAGAACCGTCAAAATAATCGGCAGAACCGTAATAAGTTCGAGCTTCATATTTTCTGCTGTGATTACGGTAACTTGCCCAATGTAATCGAAAAACTAATATTTTTATTGAATGCGACCTACTGAAAAATTTTTTTCAGCTTCTACGAGTTTACACGGAACTGCAAAAAGAAATCTTAAATGCCCCTTTATTAGCTGAGATAATATTTCAATTTATAACTGTGATAGGAGTTTTAATATTTTACGTCCAATGTGCATCATCCGATTACTTGGTAATTATTACAATTATTAAAACCAATGGTAAATGCAAATGATTGGAGTAATATGATTGATTTGTATAAAGATACATAAAGTCAGTATGATAATCACGTACGACAAAGAGTATGTAAAGGACAAGACGGATGAGAGACGGATTATTTTAAATGTCGTACAACAAGGATCTCGCCTAATCATTGTGCACTTTGGTAAGTAAAAATGAAATTTAAAAGTACAAGCTTAGCATTTTTGTTCATTGCAGGGGTACTTATACCTTCATTGCTGCTATTCGGCATGGCACCGTTAATTCTCCCATCCTTATTGAATCACTTCATGCCGGGTAATCAAACTTACGAGCGGGCCTTATGCATCCATGTGGAGTTGTTCATTAATCAGGATGACTATTTTTATGTACTGAGCATTTTTGCATTGTACATGCTGTCGCTTGTCTCGATAATCATTTGCTCTATGGACTTGGCTTTCACAAATTGCTTGTCGTACATTATAGGAATTTACGATTATATTGGGTAAAAATGAAAAATTCTTTCTGAACTTTCTTTTAAGTAGTATATTCTTTTTCGTTTTAGATTCGCTTTGGAAAACCTCAAACCTTTATCGAGGGAAACTCATACGGAAGAAGAAAATGAAGAATACATAGTTCGCAGTATTCAAACGCTCGTTAAAAGACACCATAAATGCCTAGAGTTAGATTTTAAATAAATTCTAAAATTTAAGTTGAAATGAACATTACTTGAGAGCTAAAAAATGAAAAAAATGGAAAAATAGTATGTTTCTTAAGGGGACCGACCTGTGTTAAAAGTTTAAATTCAAAAAATAGCTATATAAATCGAAATAGTGGAAATTTTTTTTTTGTGATCGTAAAATATGTTTATTAGACACCTGATTGACCAAAAAAAACTTCTATCCAAGCTCTGAAATGCCAATTACGCTTATTTTTTCATAATACTAAATATTATAATAGGATTCACTTGCCACGCGATTCTGACGTGAGCTTTTCATCAATATTGATCTATGCGGTCTCAAAATCTTCAGAAAAGTACCCTCATCCACTTAAGCGGAGCAGAATTTGAAAAAAAAAGTTTGTTTTTCTTCCAAGAGCTTTAATATGGCTTCTAGTGTTGATGAAAAACTAATTTTCTCAAAAATTGGCACATTTTGACGTGTATATAAAGTTGTATGCAATTTTTCAAAATTCTGCTCCGCTTAGGTGGACGAGAGTACTTTTCTGAAGATTTTGAGACCCCATAGATCAATATTGATGAAAAACTCTTTTCAAGATCATGCGGCAAGTGATTTATAACACAATATTTCGTCTTATGAAAAAAGTGATGTAATTGGTATTTCAGAGCTTGGGTAGAAGTTGTTTTTGGTCAATCTGGTGTAGAATGAACTTATTTTACTTTCACAAAAAAAAAATGTCCACTATTTCGATTCGTATAGCTATTTTTAGCTGAAGCTGAATTTAAGCTTTTAACACAGGTCGGTCCCCTTAACGGGTGCAGCTATGGTTTTTTAGCAAAACGAGGGATTATAGCATGAGCCGAAGGCTAGTGCTGTAACGAGTTTTGTTAAAAACCATACCTGCACTAGTTGATGATGCTATTTTGTCCTACACCTAAAATTAGCGACAAAGTTGCGCATTTTAGGCTACAGTGGGAAAAAAAGAACATTAATTTAGAGCTAAAAAAGATCCTATCTTACCATATTTAAAAAAATTTTTTGGATCCAATAACCGTGCCTAGAAAATGTAGTAAATAATTAAATTTATAATGTTAATTTTCAGATTAGCCGATTGTCTTAATGACATAGCTGCGACAAAATTATTTATAGTTATGATAGGATTTGCTATGGTTTTAAGTATATCAGGATCAATGGTAAATATAATTTATACTTGTTAAAATTATATAAATCAATGACTTAATTTTTAATTTTCTCGTAAAGGCAGTTGTAGAAATATCCTACGACCCAACAAGTTCTTTACGTATGATGATTGCATTTGTGCTGATTATTGTGATCGTTCTAATCATAAGTCATCCTGGCCAGTTATTAATCGATGCGAGCAAGGCCATTTATTTCAAGTGGTGCGTATTTAAATGCGTTAACAGAATGCCAAATCTGATATCAAATGATATTTTTTAAACCGACAAAAGATTTTTTATTTGATTAATTATTTAAAATCATTAGTAGAATTACTAATTTAAGATCACCGAAAGTGTGTTTGAAAATTATCATTTTCCAAATGACTTCAAATTTTTCTATAGTTACTGCAGTTGGTGGTATGAATATCCTGTCAAAGCGAGAAAGTTATTGTTAACTATGATGATTAGGTCAGCGATTCCTAGTCGCATGAGAATCGGCCCGCAAATTACCTTAAATTTGGAGACTGCTGGAATTGTAAGTAAAAAGAATAATGTATTTTTGACTAAAATGGTAACTTTATTACATTTTTCAGATAATAAAAACAGCCTTATCGTATGTGACAGCATTAATATCTGTTTGTTCGTGAAAGTTGTCGTGTTATATTTTTGAGCTTTGGGAAGTATTGTAAAATCAAATTTATTATTGAATGAGAAAATTTGCAAAACTTTTGTCTTTTTTGTCTCCCTATAAACTGACACATTTTACTATTGTTTTGCCTGTTAATAATTTCAAGTCTTCAATAAAAGTTCTTTTTACGATTTTAGAAGATTGATGTAACAACATTTATTTGACATATAATATATATGGGTCAAAATAATACTTTTTTAAATTTTCGTCCGCACGTATGTCACCGATCTTGATTGACGCACTTTTGGTATGTTATAGTACATGATAAAAAAGGGCCAAAACTATAATTTTGAAACCCCCCCCCTCCTAGCCCCCCTCCTCCCCTATAAACGTCCATTTTCTATCTATATTTTTTCTGAAGCCCTAAAGCAATTAAAAAATCTGAAAAAATTCATGAAGGTACTTTTCAACAATCCAAACAACCTTGAAACTTTCCAGATTTTTTGAGTACTTCAGGTCTTCAGGAAAAATTATTAAAAATTTCAAAAGTCCAGATACGGTGATAGGATGCAATAACCTTTTCAAAAATTTTCCCACTTCTTTATTTCATTAAAAATAGTAACCTTAAATTTTTTCAAATTTTTTCAAATTTTTTCATAAAAGTGAAAGTAAATTTTGAAGCCAAAAACCCTTTATTTGACGAAAATAATTGTTTTAGGACGATACGGAGCCTTGAAAAATCTGGAAAAATTTTTTTCTTGTTTTTTTCATCAAAATACGTAACCTCAAATTTTTTCAGATTTTTTAATCGATGGCGATAGCTTATAGAGCCGAACAATGCTATTTTTAACAAAAAAGGGTTCCTAGAATCCGATGGTTACGGTAAAAAAATTTAAAAATTTTTCTTTGAATTCCTTGTCAAATTTTAATAAATTTGACTGCTTCAAGTTTTCGATTGGGGCCTCAGCTCAATCTGGAGCTTCACAAAGATGAATGCAAAATTCTGAAGACATTAAGGAATGATAAAACTAGTTTGATGTAGTACAAATAAATCATTTGTTAGGTGTAAGGCTCGCTACGTTCTGATAACGACTGAACTGTAAAAAGGTTGAGAGTATAGACCCATTTTTTAAACTCTGATTTGACCGCAAAAATTTTGGTCGCCAAGGTTTAACATTAAAATAGTCGCAATTACTGAACATGAGTGCTTATGTAAAATACCCATTTTTTATTCTATGAAAATTTTTTTTTTTCATTTGTCAGTGCAATAGGTTATTAATTTTTAATCATCAATACGCTTGAGTTCTGCCAATTAAGAAAAAAACAGAGATTAATTTCGTTTTTTTAAACAAAAATAATTAATAATTGATAAAGGAATGTCGCGATTTCACTCAATTCGACAAGTGTATATGTTACCGGCAAAACCCGCTTTTAGGCAAAAACAGAATTGCCTAAGTATTTAGGCAAAAACCGTAATGCCTACAAAAGTATAGGAAATTCCTACATTTCTTAGGTAAAGCCCGCAATGCCTGAACAATTTTAGGCATTACTGTAAACATTAACACGTTAGTATACGATTAGTCAGCATCTAAGCTGGACTTATTTGTTAGTTTTGTTTATAACCCAATATGGATACAAGCTTATACTCTCACTAGTTACTTAACTTAAAATAAAGTAAAAATGGAGATTGAAATCGATAATTGGAAAAATCAGTTTGTCGCCGAGGCTAACGAAGAAAAACATTATAAATGTTATAAATACCGACTTATCGCCAAGATCAAACCAGGTAGTAGCATTAAATACTATGTACCGCTTGAAGATGTCTTTGATATCATTCAAGCCGCACATATTGCGACCAGACATGGTGGGCGCGATAGGCTTTCGGAAGAAACATCGATCAAGTATGCCAACGTTACAAGAGAATTGATTGAGTTATACTTGAAAATGTGTGAAGTCTGTCACCAGAAAAAAATAAAGAGAAGGAAGGGGCTGGTATCCAAACCAATTTTGCATTCAGAAATGAATAGTAGATGCCAGGTAGACTTAATTGACTGTCAATCATCAACTGTCGATGGGTTTAAGTGGATAATGGTATACCAGGACGATTTGACGAAATTTGTAGTTCTGAATGCATTACAAAACTTCTGTATTCAAATAAATGCGTATTTTTTCACTGAACATTAATTTTTTACTTAAAATTATTAGCTCACAGTAATTCCTAAAATTGTTTAGGCATTGCGGGGTTTGCCTAAAAAATTGTAAGCATTGCGGGCAATGTTTACGATTTAGGAAGTTCATATATTTTTGCAGGTATGTCTTAAAATCTTAGGCATTTCTGTTTTTGCCTAGGCAAAAGTCACTTTTGTCTAAAAGCGGGTTTTGCCGGTAACATATATACTGAAACGGCGAACGGGCGCTCCTTATACTCGACAATCCATTCGCAGATACTCGCACGTTCTCGAGTTTAGGAACATCGATATCAAGTATCGTCTCATCATAATTCGAGTAGGGCCCATTCTGATTGATGGCGAGGCTTACTCGAGCATCGTGAAGGGCGATTTGCACGTTATGGTGTGCTCGCTACGCACACGATCACGGTTAGTTAACAGCGATACGGTGGTTTGAGTGACGGTTTCACGATGCTGTGTGCGGTTTACTCATTCGCCGTTTCCGCGTATAGAACACATAAGTTATTCTATCAATGCATGCACCTGCGCCACATGCAAGAAATATTAATTTTTAAGTCCTTTTTTGCGTTCGATTAAAGCAAAAAGCACCTAATGTTAAACAATTATTACAGTTGAAAGTATGTCTCCAATAGGTGTAATTCGATAAAAGCTTACTCTAAAAGAAAATCAGTTTTTCTCCAACCATCGCAAATCAGCATCCAGTAGTATGGATCAACGTCTCAATGAACTTTTCCGCAAAGGGGATTTCAATTATTGGCTCAATATATTTTTGAGACTCACATTTTTAAGCCCCATTCAAAGTAGAACCATCAAAATAATTGGCAGAACGGTAATAAGTTCGAGCTTCATATTTTCTGCTGTGATTACGGTAACTTGCCCAATGTAATCGAAAAACTAATATTTTTATTCATTGCGAGTTACTGAAAAATTTTTTTCAGCTTCTACGAGTTTACACGGAAATGCAAAAAGAAATCTTAAATGCCCCTTTATTAGCTGAGATAATATTTCAATTTATAACTGTGATAGGAGTTTTAATATTTTACGTCCAATGTGCATCATCCGATTACTTGGTAATTATTAAAATTATTAAAACCAATCGTAAATGCAAATGATTGGAGTAATATGATTGATTTGTATAAAGATACATAAAGTCAGTATGATAATCACGTACGACAGAGAGTATGTAAAGAACAAGACGGATGAGAGACGGATTATTTTAAATGTCGTACAACAAGGATCTCGCCTAATCCTTGTGCACTTTGGTAAGTAAAAATAAAATTTAAAAGTACAAGCACAGCCTTTTTGTTCATTGTAGGGGTACTTGTACCTTTATTTCTGCTATTCGGCATGGCACCGATATTTCTCCCATCCTTATTGAATCACTTCATGCCGGGTAATCAAACTTACGAGCGGGCCTTATGCATCCATGTGGAGTTGTTCATTAATCAAGACGATTATTTTTATGAAATGTGCATTTACGCATTGTACATGATTTCGCTTATCGGGATAATCATTTGCTCTATGGACTTGGCTTTCACAAATTGCTTGTCGTACATTATAGGAATTTACAATTATATTGGATAAAAAATAAAAAATTATTTCTGAACTTTCTTTTAAGTAGTATATTCTTTTTCGTTTTAGATTCGCTTAGGAAAACCTCAAACCTTTATCGAGAGAAACTCATACGGATGAAGAAAATGAAAAATACATAGTTAGCAGTATTCAAACGCTCGTTAAAAGACACCATAAATGCCTTCAGTGAGATTTTAAATAAATTCTAATATTTAAGTTCAAATAAACATTACTTGAGAGCTAAAAAATAAAAAAAAAAGAACATTACTTTAAAGCTAAAAAGATCCTATCTTACCAATATTTAAAAAATTTTTTTTAGATCCAATAACTGTGCCCAGAAAATATAACTAGCGGCAACTCTGGTTGCAGTATGCTGAGCGCAAATTTTTATGTAATAAAAGGCGAAAAAAGTCAGTTTGCGCACACTTTTTAGTGCGCATTAAGCGTTTTTGGACACTGGCGTGCGGTAAAATTTTGTAATAAATAACTATTTATTACCTGTTTACTTTAGAATTACCAGTTAATTTAGAAACCGCATGAGCTGAGTTACTTGAGTTATAAAAGTTTGCATATTACTATTTGCAAACTGCTCGTGGTGTGGAGTTGATTCGGTAACTTGGGGTTACTTTTATTTGCGGCATTGATTTCTTAAATATGGCATAAGCTGGATTACTAAGGCTACTTGGTTTGCTTGCATAATTATTTCATAACTACACGAGCGGGTTCGATTGGGTTACTTAGGGTTACTTGGATTTGCATTTTTAATTATTTAAAATTTGCACGAACTGAGATTCGCCTTCGGCTTGTGCCATGATCCCTTGTTCTGCCACAAAACCACACTGAAAAAAAATAAACATACTGCGTCATGAAAAAGGTGTTGCATGGCTTATAAAATATAAAAAATCTTGAGACAGGCTAAAATGTAGCCTGACACAGTACAAAAGTGACCGCGTATCTGTGCGGCAATGACTCTACAATGGGCCATCACAACTTCGTGTTCGCACTCCGAAGTTCTCACCGTGTTCTAATCATCATACAGCAAAAAATGCATATGTGGGTGTGTGTGTCAACAGTCAAAGATTACGTTAACCTGTAAATCGATCTTGGACTCGCACAAATCTCTACTAGGCCGCGCATTGCTGCTGCCTGGATGCCGTCTGCTCGGTTGCAGTGGATGATGTTTTTATTTATCAGTGCTCAAGAGTTAAATGTAAAAATAAAAAGTAAAAAAAAAGAAAAAAAACAGAAAATTTTTAGAATTGATCAAGGAACATTCTCAAATATTTTCAGAATTTTTGAGATGATTTTGGGAAATTTCTCTCAACAAATTTTCCGGAAATCAGAAAATCGCGCTTCAAAATTTCTGAAAAAATTTGAGATTGTTCCTCAATCAATTCTAAGACGTTTTTTGTTTTATAAACTATTTTTCATAAATTCAATGGTTTTCAAGATAAAAATTCCCCGCAACAGTCTGAAAAAAATTCTTAAAGTTGATTTTTCGCCCAAATTTTTACGTTCTTTTTTGATTGAACATTAAATTTTACATGAATCTATGTAAAAGCAAGAACTTCTCAAGGCCGGAAAAAATCGTATCAATTGCAAACGAACAATTTCCGTTCATTTTTAAGTAAAAGTCTCATAAAAGACGTAGACGACTGCCGACCTGAGCCCAAGGTGCTCCGACAGCGATGGAAGACAACATATTCGTAATTTTCGAAGTAAAATGCTTCATCTTCTCGACTTTTATGCTTGATTCGTGCACGAGAACCTCGAAGTGCGGACACACGAAGTTGGGATGGCTCATTGAAGAGTCATTGCCGCATAGATATGCGGTCACTATTGCACTGTGTCAGGCTAAATTTTAGCCTGTCTTAAGAGTTTTTGTTTTTCTTGAGCCAAGCCACACATTTTTCATGACGCAGTATGGTTATTTTTTTCAGCGCATAACTGCACCCATTGACTAATACATAAACTTTCATACAAGCGCCAGAAAACGATTACATAAGGGTTTTTGTAAAGTTATTGTAAAAATTTAATGATTTTGTATCAACAGTGATGATATTATTTCGTGATGATTCATCACGAATGTTCAGTTTATTGAAATTGCTCAGCATTCTACAACTCGAGTTGCCACTTGTATAATTATCATTAGTACAACGTTAACTGAAACACGATTTATAATATAATTGTCATCAGTACAATGTTCACTATCAAAATTATGTTTCATCTACCAAAGGGATCATCAAAGAATTCCTGTCAAATTTGACAGAATTCTCGCCATTGTGGGAAAAAATTCATTGAAACTGCAAAAAAGTGTATTTTTTTGCGACAAGAATCATAGTTAAGCTTTCAAACGGATTATAAAAAAAATTCCTATTAGATTTGATCTAATTCTAACAAATTATAAAAAAAATGCATTAAAACTGCATAAAATTATATTTTAATGCATAAACGAAAAAAACAATGCAACGACAATCATATTTAAGGTCCCCGACAGATTAATCGAAAAAATCCCATTAAATTTGAGCAAATTCCCATAATTTTGAAAAAATGCATTTAAAATGCATAAAAGTGCATAAAGGGTTCAGCAATCGAGATTATGAATGTCATCAGATCTTTGTCTAGCTTCCCTTATCAACTTCCTAAATTTTCAAAAAGATCGATTCAGCAGTACTCATATTACCGTGTCTACAAAAAACCCTTGCAAAATCACGGGAGTTCATGCAACAATGACTTCGCTTTGCTCAGCATAATAAATAATTCAATTTATAATGTTAATTTTCAGATTATGCGATTGTCTTAATGACATAGCAGCGACAAAGTTATTTATAGTAATGATAGGATTTGCTATGATTATAAGTATATCAGGATCAATGGTAAATATAATTTATACTTGTTAAAATTATATAAATCAATGATTTAATTTTTAATTTTCTCGTAAAGGCAGTTGTAGAAATATCCTACGACCCAACAAGTTCTTTACGTATGATGATTGCATTTCTGATGATTATTGTGGTCGTTCTAATCATAAGTCATCCTGGCCAATTATTAATCGATGCGAGCGAGGATATTTATTTCAAATGGTGCGTATTTAAACGCGTTTACAGAATGCAAAATCTGATATCAAATGATATTTTTTAAACCCACAAAAAATTTTTTATTTGATTAATTATTTAAAATCATTAGTAGAATTACTAATTTAAGATCACCGAAGGTGTGTTTGAAAATTATCATTTTCCAAATGGCTTCAAAATTTTTCTACAAAAATTTTAATAAAAAAACAAATATGAACTTATACTCGCGCTATAGCTACTGCAGTTGGTGGTATGAATATCCTGTCAAAGCGAGAAAGTTATTGTTAATTATGATGATTAGGTCAGCGATTCCTAGTCGCATGAGAATCGGCCCGCAGATTACCTTAAATTTGGAGACTGCTGGAATTGTAAGTAAAAAGAATAGTGTATTTTTGGCTAAAATGGTAACTTAATTACATTTTTCAGATAATAAAAACAGCCTTATCGTATGTGACAGCATTAATATCTGTTTGTTCGTGAAAGTTGTCGTGTTATATTATTGAGCTTTAGGAAGTGTTGTAAAATCAAATTTATTATTGAATGAGAAAATCTGCAAAACTTTTGTCTTTTTTGTCTTTCCATAATCAGACATATTTTACTATTGTTTTGCCTGTTAATAGTTTCAAGTCTTCAATAAAAGTTCTTTCTACGAATTTAGGAGATCGAAGTAACAATATTTATTTGACATACGATATATATAATATAACTGAAGTCAAAACAATTAACAATAACACGAATATCTTCATTCAATGTAAAAGTAAAATCATATAAATTTTTAGCCTCCGTTTTTAGAAATAATACGATTTTCTATAATGTAGCATGTTTGCACACACTATCATACTTAAATTACACGATAATTATCTTTAATAAATATTTTAAGCTATTATTCAAGGCAAATTGAAGTGAATGTGATTAAAGGAAGAAAATACAGTAAATGCCGCTTATATGAATCTCGCTTAATCGAATCCGCCGTTTATACGAATCAAAACGCTTGGTCCCGATTTCCCTCTATACTTTTACATGTTAATTAAAAGTTCCGATTTCAGTATAATGGAATCAAAACCCGTTTATACGAATCAAACGATATTGAACCGTCATCAAGTAAACAAATATAAAATTCGAAATTCACCATGCCTAGAAAAGATTTAACGTTGCTCCAGAAGAAAGAGTTACTAAAACAGTACGACTTGCTCGAAAAGTGCAGTCAACGTGAAGCAGCAGCAAAATTAGAAGTTTCACAGACGCAACTCAATAGGATTTTGAAAAATCGTCATGACCTAGAAGCGGCTAACATTGAAAACGGAAGTTTAAATCGTAAAAGAAAAAGGTGTGGAAAAGACGAAGATGTTGAGAAAATTCTTAAAAAATGGTTCGTTGAAGTGCGTAACAAAAATGTGCCCATCAATGGCCCTATTATGAAAATGAAAGCAGCTTCTTTCGCAGAAAAATTGGGAAAATCAGATTTTAAAGTCACCGATGGTTGGTTTTCTCGATTGCTTCGAAGAGAAAATATTGTTTTTTGCAAACCTCATGGACAGCAAGCTGAAGCTAACGCGTATTTACCATTTCTTACTGCATCTTTTAATTGAATCAGCCGTTTATACGAATCAAAATGTCTGGTCCCATCGTGATTCTTATAAGCGGCATCTACTGTATATAAGGAGTATTACGGTTGACATGTTTAGGTGGTAAGTAGTTTACAACATTAGTTTCATAAACTTCGCGTTTGCCTTGTAAGCCCTCTTGGACTTTACACTTCCACTTAAAATGCAAAATGATGCATATTATGTCATAAATATGATACATTTTTTCATGTATTTTAACATTTTTTTCTTAAAAAAGGTCCTCCTTAAAGTGTTAGCTTTATCGTGGTATCTTAGAAACATTATTATAAAAAATTCATTTTTGTTCGTTTAAACTAAATGATGTAAAATATTTTTGTTTTTTTTTCTTCATGAAAGATTCAAAATGCATATTTGACTAGGTAAAAAAATTTATTGTTGATTCATGAATTATTTCTCATTGCATTGACCAAAACTAAAAAATTCATCAAAAACTTTCAAGCATCAAGCGGTGCGGTAGCACCTATCCGGCAAAGTACAAAGAAAAAATTATAAAAAAAATTATTTAAAAAAAAATCTATTGAAAAGAAAAAAATTATAATTTGAAAAAAAATTTTTTTTTTTAAATTTAGAAAAAAAATTGTAAAAAACACGGGGCATATAATTAATTTTGCAATTTTATTTTGTGTTTTTCAATGATTTTGATCAAATTTAAGAAAACTATTAATTTTTTTTATAAAAAAAAAAAAAAACAAAAATATTGCAGATTTCATTATATCTGTAATAATATCGTATTTCATCAAGTTTCATAAAATGGACTGACATGGCTGCTATGAAAAATAATGCATAATCAACGAACCGACCTATAAGCTCGAGGGTTTTGGTGTGGCTCCTGAATCACGGCCACCGAGTCTTCATTGCTCGTGGTCAGCGCGCCCTTGACAAACGTTTTTATCTTAGCGTCATAATACTTTGGATTCCATTAAAAGTGGGCAAGTTTTGTATTAGGTAACGACTAAAGAATTAAATTTTATTTTTTTTCCGCAATATATTTCAATTTAAAACATAAATTTTCCGTTATTACAAATTAATTTATAAAGTTTGAATTATTTAACAAGCCGAGTTGACATTGACATTTTTTGCAAAAGAATTATTCATTCACTTCAAATTTTATCATTTTGCATTAAAATCCATATAGTTCAATCGATTGTCGTGGAAATTGATAAAAGGTTCTAGTTCTAGAATTTTTAATGATTACATATGGCTTTCCAGAGTAATAAACTCGATGAAAGAGCCAAGTGTAATTAATGAGTCATTAAACATGAGCTTAAGCTTCAAATTTTTATGTAATAAAAAGAATCAATGAAAAATTTTTTATGCCTATAGGTTGGCCACGACGACATTGAATTTCGAGTGAAAAAACACCTTCTAGGCCTGGTATCTTGAAATAAACAAATGGAAAATGCATTTTTTCGAAGCTGCGGAGAAATTTTGAATTTTCATTAAAATATTTTTCGTACCTCATTTCTATCATCATGGCCATACAGACGACACAAGCTGAGCTTGCGGAGCTCTCTAGGCAGCTAGACTTTGAGGAAAATCAATTTTATTGGCTCAAGAAATTTCTCAAGTTTGTTTTTTTGTGCCCGGTGCAGCCAAAAGTGATTCAAAAATCCGGAAGAGCCATGATGCATTTGAGCTTTATTTTTTCAATTATAATAACGGTAATTGAATAAAAAAGCCTAATTTTATCAAAAGTAAAATGAAAATCATTTCGCAGTGCACTAGAGTTCACAAAGAATTATTCGCGAATGAAATATACCCACCAATGATGGCAGAGCTTGCTTTTCAACTCATCACTTTGCTGGGCGTGTATTTTGTTTATTTGACAGCAATACGAATGGAAAAAATCGTAAGAATAAAAACGATTTATATAATTTGTTTTAATTAAATGAAATATACCGTGCAGTTAAAGATCATTGAAAATTAAAAAAATGATAGCTGAATAGCAGAAAAGAAATTGATTATTCATCAAATCAGAAAAAATTAAAAGGACCCTGAAATTTCACTTCCAGGAATATGATTTTTTAACATCAATTAGTACCAAGAATGAAACTTCAGATTTGTAAATTAGGGTCGTTAGTACTTATTTACAATATGGAATACACTTTAAATGTCCACATTAATTAACATACATGTATAAAGATACAATTCGATCTATGGAGTGTAAATATGTCTACGAAGCATAAATAAAATTAAAAGAAGCACGACCTATGCAGTAATGGGTCTGTCCCAATCAATTTTGAATTAATTTGTTGTATTGGATTGACACTTGATATATCAGTATCTGATTAATATATTTAGGTTGAAGTTCTTTGATTCATATAAATAGTTTTTTTGCACGCTAGTTTTTCAGAGACTTGCCTTCAACTGAAAGTCACGTAAAAATGTTTATAAAAAAGGTTTTTTTTTCAGCATCTTTAATAAAATTACCTTATGTAGATTTACAGGATATGCGAAGCGGTAACGATCGATTGGCTCAGCATCAAAGATCCAGAAGAAAAAAAGACCATGAAGGTAGTATGCGAGCAGGGATCTCGAATGGTAAGGATTCACTTTGGTTTCTTGCTACCATCTCTCCTGGGCTTTGCACTTGCCCCGGTGTTTTTACCAGACTTGCTTAATCCTTACTTGCCGGAAAACATGACCCTCGAGAGGACCCTTTGTGCTCATGTTGAGCTGTTCATCGATCAGGACAAATACTTTTATCATATTCTCATTTTTATTATTCACATGGTTATCTTGATTATGCTGGTAATTAGTGCATTGGATCTGATCTACACGTCTTGCATCACTTACGTCATGGGCAAGATCATATGGATTGGGTTGAGTCTATCATAATTGATTGATTTAAAAATTTAAAAATTCCTTTTTCAATTTTTTTTCCATTATTATAGGTACGTGTTTGAAAAACTTTGTGAAATAGAAACTTCTTATCAAAACGCTAGCACGCAACGAGAAATGAATATTTACGTACACCAAACTGTTATTGGATTAATTAAGCGACATCAAAAATGCTTGTAGTAATGTATATTATGTTATCGAAAACTAGGCTGAAGTTAAAAAAAAAACTAAATCAAATATCATTTTCAAGTTTTTCTCACTCGATGATCGATGCTTGCAATAACCACATAATTATTGTCATGGGAGGCTTCATGATTGTCTTGAGTTTATCAGGATCTATGGCAAGTTTAATTATAATTAAAAATAGTTTTGTAGTTAAAAGAAAAACCAGCGTATCATTTGTTTTTTTTTTTCATATTACTATAGGCAGTTGTTGAAATTTCATATGATCCCGGGAGTGCTGCTAAAATGGCCGTAGCTTTTACAATAATATTAATCATGGTGCTTGTAATCTGTTACCCAAGTCAACTACTGCTCGATGCCAGCAATGACATATATTTCAAATGGTATTTTTTTATTTTGTAAAAATTACAAGTATTCAAAAGAAACCAGCTGACATTTTTTCTACAGCTACTCCAGCAAATGGTACGAGTATCCTGTAAAAACTCGGAGGCTATTGATTTTGATGATGACCAAAGCAGCTGAACCTTGTTGCATGACGATTGGACCCACGGTGCCTCTTAACTTGGAGACAGCTAGCATTGTGAGTTTCAATGGACACAAAATCTCATTCAAACAGATTGAGTCTGGCTGAAATTTTTTACTTCGCACTTTTTAATTGTTGTATTTTCTGTGAAAATTTAGTCTAAAAAATGTGCGAATAAGTATTACGAAAATGAAATTTTACCAAGTTTCTGAATCTGATCTGAGATTATCGAATGAAATTCCTCTCTTAAAAAAACTTCTGGAATCTTCAATTTTAAAATGATAGGCTTTAGAAAAAAATTACTGATCAAAACTGATTAAAAAATACGCTGGAAATTTTCAGATTGAAAAGAAGGTTTTTATTTTTTGAAAATTGAATTTCAGAAGTTAAAAAAACTGAAAAATTCCAGTAGATTTCTTAACCAGCTCTAAGAACCATTTTATCAGTGAAATTTTCTTTTAAAGTTATTGTTTTCGAAAAAATTCTGAAAGTTTTTTAAGGGTTTTCGGTTATTGTAACTGCAATTCTATGTCCTTAATTTCTTTTCTCCAATATGAATCATTATAACTTGAACTTTTGGTTTCGAGACCTTTTTTCAAGCATACGATTTTTCTTATCTTCGTTGTATTAGAAGCACTTCAATGTAGGCGAGCAGTAAGATTGTTGTATAATTTAGATACACTTTACATTTGCGAAAGAAAGAAAACGCGAGTTATTAATAATTGAAACTTGAAAGACACGTGGCTTGAAGTGTAGAAACAATACATCTATCTTAGCTAAATGGTCGAGAAACGTGACGTAAAGAAATTTGTTGAGAATTCAGTCTAGCTTACAAATATGTAAACCAAATTGTTCTACAATACCTTGTTTAAAATCTCGTTTTCGAGCCTATCACAGATCTTCGAGCCCCAGGGATTAAGAACGCTTACTACTCTAGCGAGAAAATGACGGTACAAAAGTAAGAAGCGCACTCTACTTTGATGATAAGAGTGCTCACTGCTCTTATAGCGAGAATTGATTTTTATTTATAAGTAATTCATACATGGGGAATTGAAATAAATTTTTTTCGAAAATCTTAAAAATTTCGTATGATCCCTTCAAAAATCTTTGATCAGATTCAAAAAGTTGATAAAATTTTATGTTGGAAATGCTTATTTGCTTGTCTTTGAAACCTCAAGAAAAAATACAACGATTGCAAAGTGTAATAAATAAGTTTTCTAGCCGAACTTATGTGACTAAAAAGGCCTTAAATTTTTAAAGTTAAATCCTTAGACTTTAATTTGAAGAACAGACATAATAAACTATTCTGATATTCCCTTTGAGAGTACTTTGTCCAGTTAGATACATAAGAATACTTTATTGTTAATTATTTATAACTTTTAATAAATTAATTTACTTTATTTGTATTTAAAACGAGTAAAAGTCGATCTTATGCTTAATTTGAGGTAGTGACTGCTGCTACAAGTCTATCGAACAATATGAAACCTCACAAAATTTAATTGACCGAACTATTGACTAATTGTAGTTGAAGGTTTATATTATTATTAGAATGTAGTTCATTTTTTTTATGAAATAAAGTATTTTTTATGGGATATTAGAAAATTCTATTATGCAAAAGCCCATGGGTTTAAAATTAAAAACGTTTAGTCTTAGTTTTAAGTAAATGCTCTGCTGAATTTCAATTCTCAAAATCCGTAAAATTCTTTTTAGATCATTAATACGGCCATGTCATATGTTACGACGTTGGTGTCACTTTGCGCTCTCTAAATCGATTACATTTCCTGACTTATTCATGCATTGCTAAAAGCAAAAATGGTGGAAATTTCAGAAAAAAGGATTACAATTGGCTATTCAACTACAAATTATTCAACAACATACTATAATTAATTATAAAACTTATATATTATTATACTCGTAATTGCATGCAGGCACCAATATCGAAGTTAGTTTATCAATTAATTATCCAAATATTACTTTTATTGTAACTTTTATGAATAAAAACTATAAATAAAAAATTGAATAAACAATTTGGCGTGTCTACATAATATTAATCTTAAATTATTAATATTAATGATTAAAAAATAATCTTTAAAAATTATGAAAATTTGTATATTATTGTAAATCTTTGATTTTGAAGCATCAGACGAAAAAAAAAATTTCCATTGAATCCTATAATCCATAATTTATAAACAATTTCATTATCTTCAAACCCAAATTTACTGTATTTTCAACAGTGGCAGATTGAAACATCCCCCCCCCCCCCTCCCCCAAACTTTCATTTGCCGCTTACGCAATCCAAAGACAATTATGAAAGCTTTTACCAATTTTAAAGAGATTCCGGAAATATTTTTTTGTTATAATTAAATTAATCAATGGTTTCCACGTTGTTTTTTTCACATAGAACATATTGGCGTAGGCGGGTACTCAATTGGACTACCGGAACTTTTTACCCGATCCGTCGAGTTCGGGTCAGGCTTAACCCGACCCTACCTGACCAGAATTAGATCGAGTAACCGCACTCCCCTAGTTACTACTGATCACGTCTCTCTTAGTAGAAATAATCAGTATATTTATCAGCAATTTTATAAAAAAATATTTGACTAGCGCAAGTTTTATCAATTTAGGATCCCACATCATAACGCGAGGTTAATCCAAAATCCAGTAAATAAGTGAAAACTAGTTCTATTCACAGCATAAAACGAAACGTGAAAAAAAATCTCAGCTAATCGTTGCACAAAATGCTGCAGGAACCAAATAGCCAAAATTAAAACATCATCATGCCAGTCAAAGGTGTAATGATAATTGACATCAGGTAAGACACAATTAAATTGACAAATTTTTATTGAAATTTTAGAAAACGTCTGTATAAGTATCTGTATATATTTACAATTGCCAATAATCATTTCTTCTTGCAATTGTAGCGTACATAATATTCGCAATCCTAGTGCATTTTCCTTTGGTGTCTCAACAATTGCACTTTTTGTCCAAATTTGTTCTTGCATTTGTTGCATGCGTAATCTCTGCGAGCTTCGTGGATTCTTTTCTGGTGTTTTATCAAATTGCCTCGAATTCCAAATTTCTTCTCGCATTTGTCACATGCATAGTCTTTCCGACCATCGTGTACTGTCTTTTGGTGGGAGAGCAAATTCGATTTTTGTGTAAATTTCTTCTCACACTTGTCACATACATAATCTTTGTGACCTTCGTGTACTGTCTTTTGGTGTCTGATCAATTTCGATTTTTCTCCAAATTTCTGCTCACACTTGTCGCATGCGTAATCTTTGCGACCTTCATGAACTGTCTTTTGGTGTAAGAGCAAAGTTGTTTTAAGTCCAAATTTTTTTTCGCACTTGTGGCACAGGAAATCTTTGTGACCTTCGTGGACTATTTTCATGTGCAAGACCAAAGAACATTTGTATCCAAATTTCTGATCGCATTTGTTGCATGCATAATCTTTGCGACCTTCGTGTACTGTTCTTTGGTGTGTGAGCAATTGCTGTTTCTGTCCAAATTTTCGTTCACACCTGTCGCATGTGTAATCCTTCTGACCCTCGTGTACTGTCTTTTTGTGTGATAGCAAAATCCATTTGTGTCCAAATTTCTTACCACATTTGTCGCATGCGTAATCTTTCCGACCATGGTGGACTACATTTTTGTGCCTGATTAAATCCCAACGTTTTCCAAATTTCTTCTCGCAATTTTCACATGCGAAATTTTTGCAACCTTCGTGGACTACTTTTTGATGTCTGATCAAATTTCCCCGTTCGCCAAATTTTTTCTCACAATTTTCGCATGCGAAATCTTTACGACCTTCGTGTACTGCCTTTAGGTGAGAAAGCAAACGGAATTTTTTTCCAAATTTCTCCTCGTACTTATCATATGCAAAATCTTTGAAACGCTCGTGGACTGTTTTTATGTGCAAGATTAAACTATGTTTATTTCCGAATCTCTTTGCGCACTTTTCACATAAATAATCTTTAAAAACTTCGTGAAATATTTTTTTGTGCTTAAGTAAAGTTAATTTATTTCCAAATGTTCTCTCGCACTTGTCACATGTGAAATCTTTTCGATCTTTGTGTACTATATTTTGGTGCGTAGACAAACTTGATTTTTTCACATATTTTTTCTCGCACTGGTCGCATTGAAAATCAATACGGTTTTTGTGTACCGATATTTGGTGTCTACTTAAATGACTTCGGAACTCAAATTTCTTCTTGCACATGTCACATTCATAATCTTTTTGTTCATTGTGAATGGTCTCTCGGTGTGTTTTCAAGTTTGATTCGAGAGTAAATGCCTCCTGAAAAATATCACAAATGTATTTTTTGACGTCAGAAAAAACAATGTCGTGTTCAGTCAAATTATCTTTTGAGACAACTTCTTCGATTTTCTTCTCACTTTTATCCATTTTGGTGCCTAAATTAAACGATGGAACTTTCAATTTAGTTTTGGTGCTATGGCTTATTTCTTGCGGAAAGACATCATTCAAACTAATTTATTTTCACTATAAACATGAGCAGTGTGTCGAGGGAATATGTCAAAATCGTTTATGATCATATTGTTTACAATTAAGATACCGATTAATCTGTCGATACATTGTTTTTACAACGTTTGAAACGATTTAAAATTCTTACTTGGTGATGATTTCTGCGAGGAATTTTTTCGACTTTCTAAGTACTTCAAAAGTACACCCGATAGACAACGAGTTCGCACAAAAAACAAAGTGCACACAGATTATTATACTCATCTATCTATCTATATATATAAAGCGAAGTTGGTGTCTGTTTGTCCTTTATGATCTCAAAAACTATTTGTCCAATCGGCTTGAAAATTTTACCATGTATTCATTATACCACTGCGCAGGTTTCTATCATATTAAAATCGTTATTTGCTAATTCATTTTTGAGTTCAGAATTTTTTTCGTATTTTACCACTTCGCGCTCTCGCTCGCCCCTGTCTCGGTTAATGGTTATAAAAAAGACCGAAAACAGTTTTTTTTTTTACACGCTATTCGAGTTTTACAAGTGTGTGGACTCAACTTATACATTTCCTACTACGCACTTGACGTGGCCTGCTTAAGATCTTTTAAACAGTCGAATTTGTTGAAAAAATTGATCGTGGGCAAAGCCACGACGGGGTCGCTAGTGAATAATAATACTAGATTGCGTGCTAGAATACATTTTCATTAGCATCAGCTTTGCTTGTAACTGCGCGTGCTCTGAGGCTTTCCAGTATTTCGCGTAGTCTAATTCCAAAATTTTCCACCCCCCACGTCTTGGCATGATTGGCATGCTCCATAACCTGCACATAATTTTAACTTTTCCTAACTTACAGATTTCAACCGAGAACTGTATTGAAATTTAAATTGACATCTCGATTGAAATTTTATGCCAAAATCTCTCATTTTAATCCACATTTTTAAATGAAATGAAATGGAAACCCTCATTTCGTGATTCTTAACTTATAAGTGTATTTATTGGATTACCGTACAAAATATTATATAATTTTTGACTTCGTTGAAATTGAAAACAGATTCAGAAAATCATGTGAATTTTTTGGCTCACTAGTTATTTGAAAACTAAATCATAATAGATAAATTAAATTGTCTCGAAAATAAAAAATTAGCCCTCCTTCACCATGAATCGATTGACCTTTAAACCGAAGGATTGTGATGTGGCTCCTGGATCACGGCCATCGAGTCTACATTGCTCGTGGTAAGCGCGCCCTTGACAAACTTTCTCATGTAAGTGTCATAATTTTCGGGACGAGTCCCATAAAAAGTGGGAAAATTTTGCGTTTGTTGACAATAAACGGCTTAATTTTTTTCTTTCAAGGAATATATTTAACGATTTAGAACACATAAGAATTATTTATCATGTCAAATTTACATGGACTCTGTACTTTATTACAAAATTTACTTTCAAACTTTTTAAATATCTAAAGAGAAAAGATTGAACGTATTTTACTTATTTACATATTTACAACGTTCGAATTTTATATTTCTGTAAAGAAATTATATATACCGTTTTCTGTTGTTTTACAAATATTCATACAACACATGAATATTCAATTTATTAGAGGAATAATGATTATTGATGTGATTATTCAATTTTATTTTTCTTAGGAAAAATATTCAATTTTAGCTTTGCATTAAATTTTTTATACTTCAATTGATCGTGAAAATTTATGAGGATTTAATTTCTTAAATTTTTAATGCTCTTATGACTTTTCGGGGTAATTAACTTAACGAAGAAGGGCCAGTCTAACTAATGAGTCATTAAACATGAGCTCAAGCTTAAAATTTTCATGTAGTAAAAAGAATCAATAAAAAATTTTCGTCGCACATAGGTTGGCCACGGTGACATTGAATTTCGAGTGAAAAAACATCTAGCACAGTTATCCTAAAATAAGCAGTAGAAAAACGAATTTTTTTTAAGCTATGAAAAAGATTGAATTTTGATTAAAATATTTTTCGTACCTCATTTCTATCGTCATGGCCATACAGACGACACAAGCTGAGCTTGCGGAGCTCTCTAGGCAGCTAGACTTTGAGGAAAATCAATTTTATTGGCTCAAGAAATTTCTCAAGTTTGTTTTTTTGTGCCCGGTGCAGCCAAAAGTGATTCAAAAATCCGGAAGAGCCATGATGCATTTGAGCTTTATTTTTTCAATTATAATAACGGTAATTGAATAAAAAAGCCTAATTTTATCAAAAGTAAAATGAAAATCATTTCGCAGTGCACTAGAGTTCACAAAGAATTATTCGTGAATGAAATATACCCACCAATGCTGGCAGAGCTTGCTTTTCAACTCATCACTTTGCTGGGCGTGTATTTTGTTTATTTGCAAGCGATAGGCTCGGAAAAAGTCGTAATAATCCATTTGATCCATATGCATTCGTCGAAAAAAACTTCTTCCTTGGTCATCTTTTATAAAACGACTGCACTTAGCTTTACAGGATGTGTGAGGTCGTGACTATCGATTGGCTCAGCATCAAAGATCCAGAAGAAAAAAATACCATGAAGGTAGTATGCGAGAAGGGATCTCGACTGATATTGATACACTTTGGCATCTTGCTACCATCTCTCCTGGGCTATGCACTTGCCCCGGTGTTTTTACCAGACTTGCTTAATCCTTACTTGCCGGAAAACATGACCCTCGAGAAGACCCTCTGTGCCCATGTTGAGCTGTTCATCGATCAGGACAAATACTTTTACCATATTCTCATTTTTATTATTCACATGGTTATCTTGATTATGCTGGTCATCAGTGCATTGGATTTGGCCTACACGTCTTGCATTACTTACATCATGGGCAAGATCATATGGATTGGGTTGAGTCTATCGTTAACGATTTGTTTCAAGATTTTATATTTCAATCTTCATTACAGATTTTTTTCTGTGTTGTTTTTTCATTGCAGAGACGTTTTTCACAGACTTGGCGAAATAAAAACTTCTGATAAAAGCCCAAGTGCAAAACGAAAATTAGACCTTTACGTGCATCAAACTATTATCGGATTGATTAAACGACATCAAAAATGCTTAGAGTAATGAATTTCATGCTCTGAGTATCACATAAAATTGACCTAAAGTTTTATCTTGAAACAAAAATAACAAATTAAATTTTATTTTTTAGATTTTCTCAAACATTGAACGATGCATGTAGCCCCAAGTTGATTATCGTCATGGTAGGCTTTATGATTGTCTTGAGTTTAGCCGGATCTATGGCAAGTTTAATTTTAATTTAAAATAGTTTTCTTTTTCTTAAATAAGATCTATGGTAATATTTTTTGTTCATACTGCAGGCAGTCGTTGAAATTTCATATGATGCAAGTAGTGCGGCTAAAATGGCAATGGCTTTTAGTGTAATATTAGTCATGGTGCTTGTAATCTGTTACCCAAGCCAACTGCTGATCGATGCTAGCAATGACATATATTTCAAATGGTATTTTTATATAAATCGTAAAAATTACAAATATTTTAAAGAGCAGAGATATAATTTTGTTACGTAGCTACACAAGCAAATGGTACGAATATCCAGTAAGAACCAGAAGGCTATTGATCTTGATGATGACTAGAGCAGCTGAACCTTGTTGCATGACGATTGGGCCCACGGTGCCTCTTAATTTCGAGACAGCTGGCACCGTGAGTCCCGATAGACACAAAATATCTTTTAGTAAGAAACTGCTTCGTTGAATGTCAAATGAATTTGTTCTAGATCATCAATACGGCTATGTCATACGTTACAACGCTGGTATCACTGTGCGCTCTCTAAATCTATCACGATTTCTCGTATGCTTTGTTACATAGATACAGAGGGGACATGCGAAAAATAGATGATTCACGAACTTTTTTATGCAACGATTCTTCGATAGTTCCAGTTCCATTATCAGTTTTTAATTGTCAATAAAAAGAAACTTCAAGTTCCTTTTATAAATTTCAAATAATATTATCCTAATGTTATGCTATCAAAACAGAGAAAAATATTTTATTGAATATAAATTACACGCATTAAACCGGTATAAACTAGTAAACAAAAACCACAGATTTATTAGTTTATTTTTAACACAAACCATGATTCCAATTTTGTCAAATCATGGAAAAGTACGTCATGGAATTATTAAAATAACGATTTATCACGATGCATATTCCACAATGAATTTAATCTGCGGTTTTCGATTTTTGTTTTGTCGATGTATCCTCGAAAATATAATGGAATACGTAATTCTTAATATTCAGTCAAAATACGCATATTTTTTTCAATGATATTCTTCACCTAAGGAATTAAAACTCATTGTCACGCAACTCGGACAGCAATTTAGGTCACGTAAATCAAAAAAGAAGAAAAAAAAATGCAAGAGATCGAGAAAACATAATGAAAAATCAAAGCGCACTGGATTCTTCGAAGACGAAGTAGAGCTTCGTTTTCCTTGCAGCGCGTTCACTGCCACCGGAGACGAGAGAGAGAAAGAGAGAGGATAATAATTAAATACAAGCACGTGCGTACAACCCAATTCTTTATAAAAAAAAAAAAAAAAAAACGGCAACGTCTATTGTCCTCTGAATATAAACTCACGCGCACCACAAACAAAAAACAATCTCCCATGTGCAGCTGGGCGCTCGATCATTGCCGCGCGCGCGTGTATAAACCGTCCACGTGCACGCGCGATCATGGACAAAACTGTTTTGCGTGTTTTTATTTTAATATAGTACGGGAGTCAACGAGAGGATTATCATCGTGAGCCGGGTCACGCTCGAGCTCTTTCGCAGAGGTTTTTTGTCGAGAGCCTCGCTATATTTTCAAACCTGCTTTTCTTATTTGCTAATTTTTTTTCACAATCCTATGTTGAATGTGTCGCTAAATTGCGTATCAAGAGGAACAAAACGATTGTAATAATTTTTTTTTTTAAACAGGAGCAATGCTCGCATCGTAACTCGAATAATATCGACTTGTATTACGTTGTGCTCTGTATACGTGCCTATGCGCATATAATGTACGTACACAACGGCTGAAGAGTTTGAACGATTTCGTTTGCATAACGCGTGTGCGTTATGAATGTTTACGAATGTTTACTTATACACACATACGTCGCGGAGTTTCTCAACGGCATCACTAAAAAAAAGGAAGAAAAAACACTGTACGAAGAGACGAAATCGTGCTTTACACATGCAAATAAATCTCAAAAGCTTTTCAAAAAAAAATCATTAGCCGAGAAGACCAACTTTGGGTAATGTTTGCCCGAGCCAGGGTCAATACCTGCGCTATTTTCACAAGGCACATAATATAACTCACGTGTGTTAAATGCTCTATAGAAACTCAAGTGGACTTTAAACGTAGCGAATCTGCGGTAAAAGCTATTCTCGATGCGAGGTAAAAGGTGAAAAAAACATATATGGGTATTTACTCTTTGTCCCGTGCGGTGGGTTTTAATTTTGAAAGACACGCGCGTAGTTTTAGTGTCAATTATCATGGTGATGAATTGATTTTTTATTCCTACCAAACTGTATCTGAAACGAATCGATTTTATTGATGTAAATGTATAATTTTTAACGGTTCAATGAATCTGTTATGCAGGGCTTGATATCATGCACGAATCAATCGAATATTCCATCATTTTCAATTGTCATCGACGAGGGGGTGATTTTTGATTTTCAACGAAGATGAAACAATCGTGATTCACAGCTGCCTAAAAAGTCGACGGTAAAATATCACCTAGATAATTTCTTTGTTCTCCGTATTAGATATGTCGTTTTAATTTATTCTCGTTACCACCGTCAGCTGCTAAAATTTCTCTCGCGTCTTGTCATTATTCTATATCTCTCCCGCAGCTGAAGCAAATATCGTCTCCGCAGAAGGTGTACCACGCGTAACAAACGATCCAACAATACCCTTTAACTTTTTTTTTCCCCCAGACTCGAACACGAGCACACAAAGAAAGCCTATGATCTCGCGCGAGAGCTCATCTCTCCGAGCTTCGCACGTCTTTAATAATTAATAATAGCCGACTTTATAGTCGACAGCGCGTGACAATAACACAAAAACCGAGAAAGAAGGAGAAGGATAAAAAAAAGAAAGGAGCAACGGCGCGAGAGATGCTCGGGATTCGTAATATAATGATAATAGTGGCAACCTAACAGAATAATTACGCAAGTGTGTGTTTGTGTGTGTGTGTGCGCGCGCGAGTTTGTGGATGGGGTCCGGTTTTTCCAGACAACATAGGGCACAGCGGGCCCCGCGCGCGCGCATATATAAATCGTCGACTCGTTCCTCGACACATCGCATTCAACGTTGACTCGTCGCTCGTGTCGTATCGTTTCAATAAACCCCAGTGTTTCGACAAACCGATCTTTCTTTCGATTTTTCAATTATCTCGATATCATCTTCGATCCGTCAACATGAAGGCCGTTTGCGTGATGTTGTTCTGTTGCATGAGTGTCGCTCTGGCCGCCAACGCTTACACCAACAAGTACGACAACGTCAATGTCGATCAGATTCTCAACAGCCCGAGATTGCTGCAGTCGTACATGAAGTGCATGTTGGACGAGGGCAACTGCACTCCCGATGGTCGCGAGCTCAAGAGTAAGTTTTGTTTTTCTTTGAATTGTTTTTTTTTCATTCTTACTTTTTTTACCATCGATTTGTTGGCAAACGATTATCATCTATTATCGTTCTCCTTCGTCCGAAAATTATTCAATGACGTTTTCAAAAGACGATTTTGTGTGCCACGAATTTAAATTAGTTAACTTTGACTATTCAAAACTGGTTTTGATGGAAAAAAGTTGTTTTATTCTGCATATTCAGCTTGTTTGATGAATACATTTCGTAAATAAACAATAATTCTATCTTGTATAGTCGAATACAAAAACATAAGCACCGGTACACGGTGTAAATCGTTGCGCTACTTCTTATTAGAATAAATTCATAAATTGCAGATTATTGTGTGTCTCTAAAAATCTTTTTTAATGCTCTTTTTTGCAACGGGTACAGTAATAATTAAACGCGATCCAGAGCACTTTCACTCTTGTAAACAAAACGACAAAGGATAAACGACGAGGAACCTACACACGTACACAGAGAGAGACACGAACGACACGGGCGCACACACGTACATTACACGCATACATTACAATTACGCGTGCGTTGCGTAAATATCGGCAGAAACTTTCACGCGACGTTACTTATCGTGCGCTTGGGTAATGTAAAAACAAATCGTTTCGCGGTTATCCTTGCCGCGTTCGACTTTACGCGGCCGATTCGTCGCGCGGACCGTGTAGAGATCGGCGTTTCATGGGGAAATCATTAAAAGCTGAGGGGAAATGGAAAAATTGCGCGCGACGAGCTTAGGTGGACATATCTTGAGCGGCGTTACGTAGTATGTACGTCGCGTTCGGGAAAACTTATACAATCGCCACAGAATTCGACAAAACAAAATTAAAAAGTACGTCGAACGAGAGACAATTTGCATAATGATATTAACGCTCGTGGCTTTTTCTTTTTCATTGTTACAGGAACACTTCCCGATGCCTTGGCCACTGGCTGCACCAAATGCAACGAGAAACAGAAGGCAGTCGCTGCTAAAGTCATCAACTTCCTGATGACCAAGAAAGCCAACGACTGGGCCCGTCTCTTGGCCAAATACGATCCCAATGGCGAATTCGAGAGACGTTACAGAGCTCAAGGAAACAGAATCTTCGCCAACTAAATTGAAAAACTTATCTTTTATTAATTTTTAACGTCGATATTTTTGTCGATTTACATGTTTTTAAATACTTATTTTGTACAAGTCCATTATTGTGATTCAATCAAGTAATTTAAAAAAATCATGACACGTGAAAAAACTGTTGAGTTGCTTAATGACAATATTATATTAATGATAAAAGTATTACATAGTAATAAAAAATTCTCACAGGCCTCGATCTTCACAATATTTTTAATATATTTTTTACTCGACACGTCGTTTCTTGACTAGTGATCCAAGCTGAAATGAAATTTATGTCGAATGTAATCTCAATGTTAAAATAAAGACTGTTGACGTTTATTTTTAAATATTATTATTGTTTTTAAATATCCTTTAAATATTTTTTTAATACTTACAAGATCAGATATTGCAGGTAAATTATTAGTCTGATCAGTAGTTAATGGTTCTGGATCGCGTGGATCTTTTCCAGCTGCTTTCTTCATATTTCTGTGTTGCGGGAACGTTGGCATCAATTTTGGATCACATGCTGTGTATGAATAATTAAAAGATATATTAGTTTTTGTATAGATTTAAAAAGAATTTTAAAGTCATATGGAACTCACGCAAAGGTGCTTCTTTAAAGTAACTGCTTTGTAAGCATTCTTCTGCTGTTGCTCTTTTCTTTGGATCATACATGAACAAGAAGTTCAATAATCTAAGACCTGCAGCACTCAACCATGGGAACCTTTGTTTAAGGTTGTTATAAGGTTGTTGTTTTAGAGTGAAATTCTCCAATGCTGGTAGAGAATTAAATTCTGGCCAAATAGCCTCACTTGGAGTACCAAGAAGATCAACTATTAATTCTAATTGCTGAATTTCTGATCTTCCAGGAAGTAAAGGTCTATGTCCTAAGAGTTCACCTAATAACAAATACAAATTTAAAATAAATTATTTACATCATTAGTGGTATGATAAAAATTAATTTTATTAGATTTGTAACAATTTACCAAGTATGCATCCTGCAGCCCACATATCTACTGATGTAGTTTGTGTTTTAGCCTGTAAGAGTAATTCTGGAGCTCTGTACCAAAGTGTTACAACTCGAGGTGTCATGGGTTTTAATGGTAAACCGAACCATCTAGCAAGTCCAAAATCTGCTATTTTAACGCATCCTTTGTCGGTCATGAGTAAATTACTTACTTTTAAATCTCTGTGTACAATAAAATTGTGATGCAAGTATCTTAACCCTTTAAGAACTTGCAGCATGATACATTTGACTTGACTTTCAGAGAATGGGGCTTGCATATTATCTAATAAACTAGCCAAATCCTGCTCACAATATTCCATTGCTAAGAATATACTTTCTAAACTTCTACCAACTACAACTTCTTTTAGTTGTACAATATTTTCATGTCTGCACGACAATAGGACACTTATTTCTCTTAAACCACTAACAGGTAAACCATCCTTTTCATGTTCCATTCTGACTTTTTTCAAAGCCACTACTTTATCACTTTTAGTATCTCTTGCTCTGTAAACGATTCCGTAAGTGCCTTCTCCAATACGGTTTAATTTTTCAAACTCAGACACAAATCTGCATTTCCCAAGCTACAAAGTAAAACAAATTGTCAGTGAAAATTGTAAATATTTCTAAGTATTTTTTTGTAAAAGGTTCAATAGTTACAATATCATTTTCTGGAATATCCATTGGTTTACCAGTTAAGAAAGAAGTTAAGACTCCTTTTCGTGTAATTGGGGCTGTTGGATCTGGCCCAGCTTCAAGGCTCTTTTTTTCTGAATCAATATGTCCATCATGTAATTTAAGTCTTGGGTCTTCTGAAAAATTGAAAAATGTTCAAAAGTACTACTGATATTAGCGATAAACTATTATAAAATAAAATATTTTAATAATGAGAGATGTTACTAAATAAATCATTAAATCTATCATTATTCTAAAATTCACAGTGAATAGTGATAATGTAACTCATAATAAAATGAATTAATGACCCCTAATCACATTTCAAAGCAAATTTCAACAACTGATCGTGACTTCGAAAATAAGAGTATCATGTTATTGTTTGTTGTAACCTCTATCAATCATTCAGATACAATTAATTTAAAAAATAGATATGGATAATTAGATCCAATATGTGGCAATAAAATCTAAGTTTTACCTTTCGCCATTTTTGATAAAATATAAAATGTCAAACTTGATTTTACACTCAAAAAACTGCACCGGACAGGTATTTCGTTTCTAGCATAAATAGATCCCTCTGAACACTAACCGTGTTTAGGTAGCATCAAGCATGGCCTGCAAGAAATAAAACATGAAGCGATCGACGGTGGCGTAGATAACTAAGACGACATCTGTCAGTAGCAAAACATTCGTAGTACTACCTATTATTGAATATCATTGAAAACTATTGCTTACACCATCCTTAGAAAAAATAGTAATTATTAATCATAGTAGCGAAAATTTTGTAAATGTTTTCATAGTATCCATGAATTAAAGTTTAAATTAAAACATGCAATACTTCCAAAGAAAATTTTTTTGTATTAAATAATTTCAATAAATGAAAAAAATTATTTATTTGATTAATATTGAACGCGATTCCAAAAATTTGATGAGCGCTTTCAAAGTAGTGCAGCCCATGGCGTTACCGACGAGTGATACTGCCCATTGCCGAGAATGCAGATCGAATTCGACATCGATCGGTGTGCGAAACGTCGCTCGCGCGTCACCGTGAGGCGGTCGTGTCGTGCCGATTGGAGAGTCAGCAAAATTTGGCGCGAATAAACACGCTCTCTCGCGCCAGTTTTCATTTCGATACGTGGAGAGAGCAACGCACGCAAATGCGAGCAAATTCTTAGCTACAACAAACCTCGATCTTTTGTTTTTTTTCGTTGATAAATTTAATTTTATTTGTTTAACGGTATAATTTATCATTAAGTGGAGAGAAAAATTAATAAACTATCGCAGAATGGCTTCTTTAGCTTTAAGTATGAGCCAAGAAAACAATAGCAAATCGGAAAACGTGAAAGACGAGGTCGCAAAAGCACTCATAACAGACATAACAAATACGGCTGACAGTGGCAATAATTTGAATTCCAATTATGACGACGACGACGTCGAGCAAAGTGACAATGCTAAGAGCTCTCAGGAAAGTCACAGTTCTAGTAAAACTAGCGTTAGTCAAAACAGTGGCTCAATCAAATTGCAAATCGAGGACGATGATAGTCGAAGTTCAACTTCTACTTTGAAAGCCAGTCCAGAGGATGAGGATTCTAGATTATCTTCTACCAGCTCATCATCTACTATTAAAAGTAGCCAGCGCAGTAACTCTAGTAAGTCAGACGATGAGTCTAATTCTAAAAAAGAAAGTACAATTGCAGTAGATAAATCTGACAATGAGACTTCAAGATCTAGTTTCACTTCATCATCGCAAAAGAGTTCTCAACAGAAAGAAAGTCAAAGCTCGCAAGCAACAAGTTCTATTGCACATGCTTCAGAAAATTCTAATTCCAGTTCATTTTATGTTAAGTCACAGTCTACTAAAAGTAGTCAGTTGATTAATAAAGATTCAGATGATGAAGACTCAAAGTCTACATCTGATGCCAAAAATTCACCCGTTAAGCAAAGTCAGCCAAAAGAGTTTTCCAGGTTTATTGATTCAGATTCAGATGATGAAGACTCAAAGTCTACATCTGATGCCAAAAATTCACCCGTTAAGCCAAGTCAGCCAAAAAAGTTTTCCAGTCTTATTGATTCAGATTCAGATGATGATATATTAGTGCCTAATAGTTCTAAACATAATCAATCACAAAGCGACTCCGATACATCTGTATCTAAAAATACAAAATTATCCAAACTTGCCAAAAAATCTAAACAGAAGAAGAGACAGCTGCTGGACAGTGACTCTGATACAGAAGTGAATACAAACGAAAAGTCTGTTAAAAGAAAAAAAAAAGAAAGTGGTAATAATAGTGATGGTACTCAAAGTAGTAGTGATGCTAGTATTAGCAGTGATAGTGACAATGATGACAAACAATCAAGGCTTGTTAATGTAAAAAACCTTTTTTTTTCTAAAGATCTTTTTTTCCTTGACGCTCTTATTTTTTAACTTATTTTTATTGTTTTAGAACAAAAATAAATTAAGCAATATTGTTGATTCTGAATCTGACACTGATATCGATAGCAGGCCTCAAAACAATGACTATGATTCAACAAATAGAGAAGATAAAGACATACTTCAAAAAGAAAAAAAAACTAAAAAGCGAACAGTAAGTGTGGTCAATTCTTGTTTATAACTAATCACAAATAATCATATAATGGGTGATTTTACAGGGGTCAGCTCGAGCTTCAAAGGAGGCTGCGATGCAGCAAATTCATAGTGAAACTCAAAGGTTGATAAGAGAATCTGAATTATCACTGCCTTACCATCGACCTAAACAACGGACATTAAAAGAGTTTTTGAATAGAAAAAAAATAAAAACTTCCATTCCTCAGAATATTTCATGTGCTGCTAAAGTGAAAATGTTTGCTGATGAGATAAGGTAAGTTCTATTTTTATTCAATAAGATAAATTTAAATATTGCTGCAAACTTATCAATGTACTCTTTTATTTATACAGCAAAGTAGTTGATGAAAAAGAAAAAGAAGCTATGGAATTTTATAAATCTTCTGATTCTGAAGAAGAGGATGTACAGCATACACAGCCTGTAAAAGAAGATTCACATGAGAATGAAAAGCAATTGGACAATAAACAAATTGATGACGATCTTGAATCAAACCAACTTGTAGCCATTTTAACTCAAAGACTAAATCCAGATAACATTTCAGAAGCTCATAACAAAAGAGAAATTCTTCAGAAAAGAAATAGTGATTTTAATGTTCCCAGAAAGTTATTTTTGAATGATGTTGGAGATAATGAAGATAACGAAAATACATTATCACCTGAAGATGTGCCCAATAAAGAATCATCCACTGAGGAGCAAGAAATGGAAATAGATCAGGATTTAGAAAACAAAGTAAATGATGATCAATCTAAGGATGAATCCTCTATTGAAAATAATACAGTTTTAGAAAATAGTACTGAAGATATTGTTCTTAATGTTTCTGAATCAGAATTTGATACAACTGATTGTAAAAAGCTCACTGATTTTAGTAAATCTTGTGATTTAACTGCTTCAGAAACTGTTATGCTTGCTGAAACACCTTGTTCTACTGATAAAGATGGAAATTTATATCAAACTAATGCCTTAGTAAACATGGTTACCCAAAAATTAAATCAAGATTACAATATTCAAGATGCACCAAACAAACGTGAATTGTTGCAAAAACGCGGAGATTTTAAAGTTCCAAAAAAACTTCTCATGAAAGATTCAATTGATGATGAAGAAGTAAGTAAATCTAAACTTTCTGACACTTCAAGCAAGAGTAGTGAAACTCAGCTTGAAAATAGTGAAGAAGCACTTGTATTGAATTTATCTGGCTCTGAATTAGATTCAAGCGAGGATAAAAAGCTGGGTTCAGGTAGCTCAATGGAGATTGGTAGTACTCCCAACAAATCTAAGGTAGCAAATTTGGATGATGATGAAGTTTCTATGATAAATGAAGAGAAAACAGATGATGTAATAGACAAAAATGCATTATTAGATGAAAACTTTTTACCTCTTGATTTTGAAGAAGATAAACCCAAGAAGCCTAGCTTAAAAGAACAAATTCTTGCTGAAGCAATAAAAGTCAAGCCTATGTTAAAAGGATGCCCAGGAATGACAATAGATTTTTCAAGTTCAGGAAAGCTCAAAGAAGGTACAGAAAAACTGTTAGATCGTTTCAATCGTCACCAGAAACTTCGACGTCGTAATCCTGAGGAAGTATGCGAGGTCAAAGTAATGACAACTGAAGGTTCGGGTGCCGATTTAACAATTGTTGAAGAAATTCTACCATTTAAAAAATCGATAGATGCTAATGATCCATCTCAAATGGAACCTAAACCTGGCGAAAAATTGAAAAAATTACGAGAGAATTTAAAACGTAAAATAGCGGAATCGAGATGCGAAGAATGGAAGCAAAAAGAAGAAAGCATGAGGAATCAAGAAGAAGAAGAAGAAGAAGAATGCAAGGGTAAAAAAAGTTACGATGATGACTATTTGGATGACGAAGAAATTTTGGACGATGAAGAAGAAAGTGCTGAAAGTGAACCGGAAGAAAATGACGTTCCAATGGTCGATAAGAAAAGAAAACGGTGTGATTTCGGCGATGAAGAAGCTGAAGAAAGTGATGAGGGGGCTGAGAATGATGATGCTGTTGAATTGGACGATGAAGAAGACGAAGAAAATGAAGACGATGAGGTCGATGACGAGGAAGAAGATGAAGATGAAGAGGAAGACGAAGAAGAAAAAGAAGTAGTAAGTTTATTGGTTTTTGATAAGTTATTAACATAAGTTTAATACATTTTTATTTTTAGGTTCATCAACCGAAAAAGCTCAAACGTATCATACGTCTCGATGACGACGATGACGATGAGAGTTCTAATTCTAAAGCAAATGCAATTGTGTCCGAGGAAAGCAATGGTTCAAATAAATCAGAGTTCGATGCTATTATTCGAGAACGCCTTGGATCGGACGCACGTCGTCAAAACTGCAAAACGCCTTTGCTAGGCAGCGCATTAGACACCATGATTTCACCGGTTGCTCATCTTACGGCGCTGAATACGTCAGTCGATTCCGATAAAAAATCCAACTCGGTTAATAAGAATTATTTTAATTTGGGAAAAATTGAAGACTCACCTTCTGTTGATGATAGGTAGGAGCTTTTATTTTAAGATTTATATATATAATATATATTTTACTTGTCGTTAAATTTAACCATGAATTAAAATAGTTCCAGACTGTCAGATTGTTCACAGAAGAAGCAAAACCTACAAAAAAAATTATTTGAAGACCCTCCAGAGTCTATAGCAGACAATGAAGTCGCCGACATTATTTCCGGTTTTACCAGAAAAACTATTCCCTCTGAATGTACTCAATTTAATACTGCCGTAAGTGAAAGTCAGCTTATCGATATATGTTCTGGAGCGTTTTCAAGTCAAACTGATGATGAGAAACCGAAATGTACTCAGCTTGATAAGATTTGTACAGATGAAACATCGCAGGACATGATTTTAACACTTGATGATGAACCTTGTGTGAGTCCGATAAAACAGATTGCGCAAGAAAAAAAAGAAGATAAAAAAGAAAATGACCACGAGAAAAAAAAAGAACAAGAAGCTAAATCTCGCAGTTACATACAAAAGCCAGCTGTAAAAAATCCTATGGATGCTTGGTTGCAAAAAGCGAAACAAGTTCGAAAGCCAGAGCCTTTGATTAATGTTACAAATAGTCTAAGTACAAACCATGAGTCAAATAAAATGCCACCTGTTGATAAAGAAAGTTTGAAGGGTAGTGATCCAGTAAATAACGTACAAAATGATGAAAACAAAAGTTCAGAAAAGGTAAGTCCTTGAAAAATAGTATATTTTTCACTCCCTAGGTACAAAATATACTATTGCACCTACATATTGAAGAAAGAAAGTCTCAGAGAACGTGATTATTAGCCTCGGCTTCGCTTTGGATGATAAATTACATGTGCTCTGAGACTTTCCAGTTTTTCAATAGGGGAAAAATATAATATTATAGTAAAATAAAATTATTTATTGATACATTTATACATTTCATATAGATGGTACAAAATGGTGATCAAATAAAGTCTAAAAAGTCAGATTCTAAGAAGATTGAGAAGCCGATTATCGAAGATGATGGGCCAAAGTCTCGCTTTATGATACTTTCGTCTTCTGATGAAGAAGGAAGCAATGAACCAAAATCTAAGAAACGTCCTAAAAAAAAATTAAAAAAGAAAAAAGTTCAGAAACTTAACTTATCGGATGACGAGGATGAAGCGGATTCTGACGAATTTTCAGATGAAGAGGAGGAAAACAATGTCGTCGACGAAGAAGAGGAGGAAAAGTACATAGATTATGATTCAGATGAAAATGAAATAATTGTTGTGCCGAAAAAAGACATAAAAAAAGTTGCTCGTAACTATGTCGACGAGGAAGCAGAATTGAGCGAAAGTGATTGGGGTTCAGCTGATGAAGATGAGAACGAGCTTGATGAAATGGAGGTTAATGAAGCTGATGCCGAAGACATCGACGAAGCTCAAGTAAAGGATCAACTCGAAAAAATGCACATGAAGCAAGTTCTGGATGAAGATCAAAGAGAAGTGCGATTGCTGCAAGAACTTCTTTTTGAGGATGGCGATTTGCACTCGGATGGCAAAGGCCGTGAACGAAAGTTTAAATGGAAAAATATAGGTGAGTTTTTAAACTTCAATTCCATTCGATGCGTATACATTTTTCTATCGTAAAGATTCCGAAACAAAAATAAATTTTATTTGTTGATCCCGATTTGTAACGTTATCGAGAAAAAAAACAAATACATAAAATTTCAATCAAAAACAAGTTTTTACGTAACTTTAAAAATCTGTCATATTAAATATCATATGCTATTGGAATTAGAAATAAAAATATTTCTTTGTACTGCACAGATAAAATGTTCGATGGCTTATCGCAAAGGCCCGAAGAAGATAACGATGAGATCGATGATGAGGTTGATCCTGACCTTGAACTTCAAATGAGAAAAATTAGATATGAACAAACAAAATTTTTAGAAGAAAAAGAGGTAAATTAAATACAGATTTTAAATTAACTTAAAAGACTTATATTAAACTATCTTAACTTATTTATTATCAGAAAAACATGAATAGTGTTATTGAAGACGATTTCAGTAAGGGTCAAATATTAGGTAAAAGTTTGAAAATTGTTAACGCCAGCAAGGTGTCAACGACCAGTATTAAGTTACAAGATTCTAATTCGGCTAAAAATAACAAAACAATCAAATCCGTTGCGTCAAGCACAATCAAGGTCGTTTCAAACTCTAAAAGTATATCCATCGTAAGTATTCGGTTGTTTTTATTCATAGGATTTTTGTTTCGCGATATTTTATTGATTTAAAAAAATGCATCATTTTTAGGAAAATTGGAAAGGATCATTTTTATCTAGAGGTGATGAAACGCTCACTCGCATTGCACAAAATCTGCCAGTCAAAGGTCCGCTCAATCTTAAAACTGGAAGAGGAAATTTCGTTTTCAAGCATATTAGCCCGATCGTAGCCAGTGCGTCTAAAGAAGACGCAGAGAACGACGAGGAACTCCCGAATCCTGAGCCAATGGTAAAACTCGTTATTTTCGTGATATAATTTTCGCAGCTATGAAAAAATTTAATAAAAAAATACCTCATTACTTTTTCAGAATCGCAAAAGAAAAATGTTTGCGAGTCAATCGTCACAAGGTCAAACTCCGAGGACTACTAAAAAATTGAAAACCGACGAGCGTAGCAAAGCAGGCAAAAAACTGTTTTAAAACGCAAAATTCTCCAATTGTTATAATATCTCAAGCTACTGTACATACTATTGTTACCTAGATTATTTGTTTTATTATTTTTAAGAATACTTATGTACATATTTTACGTATGTCCACTGTGGATAATAGGGTGAAATATAAATTCCATACCTACAACATATCGACGTGCACATTTCATCTCTATTCCAGCATTTGCGTACACATTATAAGAGCTCGCCAAGCTGTCGCAGCGGTAGCAGCAGAGGAATGGCTTGTGCAAACCTCTCTCTCTGTGAGCGCACGTCTCTGTTATTGTTTGATGTAACGCGATCCAATAATGCATTCGTCGTGGCCTTCCGGCATGGAGCTCGCGTAGCGCTGCTGCACGCGCAGAGGCATTATGATGGAAAATATATCAACAGAGGTGAGGTCGACCCGCATAGCACTCGATGTGTGTATACACGCATGTGTAGTGCGCGCGAATACGTTATCCTCGAAAAATTGTTTTACAAATGGGTCAAGTTAACGCATTGCGATAGTTTTTCTCTCTACGTATTTTTCGTTTTTTATTCGCAGCCTCGATCGATATTCATTCGTTTTCTCGTATACGAACGATTGAGCGTCGAGAGCATTCGGAAAGGTAAAAACGTCTTGCGAGCTTATATATCGCTCGGGCGAGCTTACAGTCGGTACAGATAAGTAGTTGCTCGGAAAAAAGCTTTCAAGAACTTCAATCATAGCTATAAAGCAGCACATGCAACAGCAGCAGCAGCGGCGGCATCAGTAGAGTCGCTTTGGAATACTTGCTCTCTCTCTCTCTCTATCTCTCGCGTCGAAGCTTTTATTTAAATAATAAATAACTTTTGGTGACTTTGCGCGTAGAGTATGTGCGCGCACTCGAGAGAGAGTATGCCTATATAAATGTACATAGCTGGCAGGCGCCGACATGGAAAATGCCCACGAGCGAGCGAGAGGAGAGCATCAAGAGAGCGATAGAATAGCGGCAGCTAATCGGTCTCAACCGTACATGCACGATGTTATAAGCGGATTACAGAGAGGCGAGCGAGCGTGCGCACACACGTACACGGGAACACACAGAGGCGCGAGCGAGCTTACGCACGTACGTACGCTAGGTACACTTCGGAGCGGGCGCGACGGCACATTAAAATCGACTAAAATATACATGGACTTTGACTCTCTCTCTCTGAGCACCTCTTATTCGAGAGCTCTGTGTGCCAAAGCAATGCGTTCCATTATGCATCGACGGCGCGCGCGCGCGCGTTATGGCTTTGCGAATGCTATTACTGGTCCGGGCGCAAACTTGCTGCTGCCGGGCATGCTTAGCGATTTTCGAAAATTTCCGAAGAGAGAACTCTTACACTCTCGATATATATATTATGAGCGCGCGCGCACGCTGCATAACTTGAATTTTATCAATGTGGGCTACTGCCGAGTTTGGCGAAATTTTCAGCATACGCATGCACCTCTCCACGAGCAGTACGTACATCAACATTGTGTAAGGATATTCGCGCTGAGAGTTGCGAGTTGCGAACGAACAACTTGGCGTTATAAAATGACAAAATCGCGCCTCGCGAGCGTACGTACTGATTGTGCTTTATTTATAATACGGCTCCTCGCGTTGCGCTCGGCCGGTTCTCTAATTAATTTTCGTTGTACGCGCGCGCGCGCGCGTTAATGCATTATTGTTTACACGAGCGCGGCTCTTTGAAAAGCTCATATTTGTTTTACGATTTTCCGGGCGTGCTGCTATCGCCGAGAATTATTATATAGTTTTGCGATTCGTATCTCCGCACTGCATGTATATATATACTTGCAATCGGTGCATCGTCTTCCTATCGATTATCGGCTCGTAACAAAACATAAATGGATAAAAAGTTTTGCAAAAAAAATCCATCGACAATGTAGAGCGCGATGCACGCACACACACACACATGAGCTCGCGAGCTCGTCGCATCGTTTGACGCGATAATAATGCGAAATTACAGTCGCGCGATTGCCGCGATATGCTCGTCAAATCGTCGGACGTACACGCGCGCGACTGCAGTCTCGTGGACAGATCGGTCGAGGCGACAATACGACAAACGATTATAAAGACCTCGGACGCGCCTCGAAGACATCTTGAAAGATGAGAGACAAGGGAGTGCAGCAGCGGGTGCTGCTGCTTTTGTTGCTCCTTGGCTTTTACGCTTATCGATATGTGGAATCGTGCGAGGTCAAAAATCCTAATCAGGTCTACAAGAAGATCAAGTCCGGCACGCTCACCGTTTCCATGAAGAGCGACAAGATCACGTTGAAAATTCAGAAAAACGGTAAGCATAGCTTAATTATGATTTTTTCCCACTGGTACATTCGAAAATTGCAGAAAAATCGGCATCGGCAAATCCATCGTCGCTCGAGATGGTCCTGTTCACCAAGGACCCCGCGGCCACTACTTTGGCCGGTGACTCTCGAGCCGTCTACCAGCTCATCTCGAACTGCGAGCAGGACACGATCTGCGTGAAGGTGCGCGACGTCGTGCACACGAAGATCTTGGCCGCGCCCCAGGCCGACGCGGTGAAGATCAAGCGTCTGATGCAGAATCCCGACGGCAGCCTGACCGACTGCATCCGACTGGACGAGGACGCGCAGTGGGTCGGCGGGCCCCAGTGGCGCTACCAGCACTGGCCCGTCCAGCACCAGTACTACGAGGAGGAGCCCTACGTGCCCACCCACCAGAACCAGGCGGCGGTGATCGAGCGCTACTGGCTATCCAGTCGGGGCTTCTACATCTACGGCAGTCCGCGGGATCCGCTCTTCGTCGATCAGAACAATCTCATCACCAAGCACCTGTGTCTGGTGGCGAAGAATCGGGCGCCGTATCACAGGCGCGAGCAGATCGAGCTCGACTACGAGATCGGCGTGTTCAGCGACGCGCGCATGGCCCACGAGTACGTGGTGCTGGAGCATCTGGGTAAACCCATGGACATACCGGACGAGCGGATGGTGGCCGAGCCGATCTGGTCGACCTGGGCCAGGTACAAGGTCTACGTCAACGACTCGGTGGTGCGCGAGTTCGCCAAGGAGATACGCGACAACGGCTTCGGCAACAGCCAGCTCGAGATCGACGACAACTGGGAGACCTGCTACGGCTCGGCCGAGTTCAACGCGACCAAGTTCCCGGACGTGCTCGGCCTGACGGACGACCTGCACAGTCAGGGCTTCCGCGTCACCCTCTGGGTGCATCCGTTCATCAATCGGAACTGCGCAGCCTACGACTACGCCGTGGAGCACGACTACGCGGTGAAAAATCTCGAGGGCTCGGTGAAGAGCGAGTGGTGGCAGGGCAACGACTCGCTCGCCATAGACTTCACCAATCTCGAGGCCGTCCAGTGGTGGGTGGGTCGATTGCGCAAGATCACGGACCTCGGCGTGGACAGCTTCAAGTTCGACGCCGGCGAGGAGACGTTCACGGCCCAGCCGGTGCCCGATCTCCAGGGCGACGAGGACCTGCAGCCGGGCCTCTACACCAATCAGTACGTCACGGCGCTCTGGGACAACTTTAACTCGATGATCGAGGTCCGAGTGGGCTGGCGCACCCAGGACCTGCCCATCTTCGTGCGAATGATCGACAAGGACTCGAGGTGGACCCTCAACAACGGCCTGCCGACTCTGGTGACGACCCTGCTGCAGATGAATCTGCAGGGCTACGTGTTCGTGCTGCCCGACATGATCGGAGGCAACGGCTACGTACCCGGCGACATCACCCTCACCGCCAAACCCTCCAAGGAGATCTTCATCAGGTGGCTGCAGGCCAACACCTTCATGCCCTCGCTGCAATTCTCGTTCGTGCCTTGGGATTACGACGACGAGGTGCGTATATGAGAGAGAAAAAGTCGTAACGAGTACATTACTGCCTTATACAAAACGACATTTCACTTTACTTTTCGCAGACCATCAAGATATCGAAGAAATTTACCCAGTTACACACACAAATTGCCCCCAAAGTTATCGATCGAATGAAATTGGCCGTGCAGACCGGAGCTCCGGTAAATCCCCCGATCTGGTGGGTCGACCCGGAGGACCAAGAGGCCCATAAAGTCAGCGACGGTATGAACGCGAAAATCTAAATCTAAACCTAATTGCAGTTACTTGCACTCATAATCAATCTAATTAAAATCTAAATTTTTTTTCCGCAGAGTATCTTCTCGGCGAGGAGGTGCTCGTGGCACCGGTGATTCACGAGGGTTCGCTGTCTCGAGACGTCTATTTGCCCAAGGGCAGATGGCGAGACGGCAACGACAACAAGGAATACAGCGGCCCGTTATGGATCAACGACTACGAGGCACCGATCGACGTCTTGCCGCACTTTTACAAAATAGCTTGATGATCAAAAAAAAAAAAAAAAAAAAGCTGTAGGCAGATAAAGCTTCATGGAGAATAAAAAAAGTCTATTCTTTCTCTTCTCTTTTTTTATCTTTTTTTTTATCCTAAAAACTCAAGCGAGCGTGTTTACTTTATCTTTTTGCGTTGAACAATCGCAAGGCCTAGATTTAGATAAACGTTATACTGACCCTTACGCACAATTGCAACAGGTAACATATTGAACAATCTATATCTTACGCAGCAATGTGGACACTTCAATTGGACGTATAATAGTCGCGAGTGCGTACGAATTCGCCCGAGCCGCGAGATAACGTATTATCGCTTCGCGTATCGAAGCTTGTCTAATCTAATCGCGAATCAAAGATTTCAGGCGGCCTATCTGTGTGCGAGTATTTTTTTAATTTAAATTTTTTTGCCCGAGCAACGAAAGGATGTATCCATTTTTCGCGTACTTTAACATATACGCGCACGATCATAGGTATGCCTGCGGTATCGCAGAGAAAAATGATAAAAAAAATAAATAAATATCGCTCGAACGCGTGGCGTCGCCTTGGCGCAAAGTTTCGTACGTACGCGCGCACTGTATTATAATTAAGGTCGAGCGTTCGAGTTTTATAAATGCATGGGCACGAGTATTTTATTCATTCGATACGAACGACGACGTATCGCAAAAGTCGAAAAACTCGTGCGAGCGCGCGCGGGTCCTTCGCTATGACAGCTCAAATATCAATGATGTATGTAAGTACGTATGTATAAAGACCTCTCTGGTGCGGGAGCGCGACACGATGCCATTAAACTCTGCTTTATAATTCAATGATTTTGAGGTGGGACAAGTCCGCGTGCATAATATAGAGCAGCCGCGAACGCCGACTCGCTCTGCGCATTTGTCGACTTGTAATGCGACGAAATAAAAGTAAAGACTCTGCACTTGGCAGAGATCTATACGCGAGCCAGTACGAAGTAATGAATACAGTAGACCGCTTTGCTAGACGAACATGGCCTCGCAAGGAGCCGCTGCTGGCCATTTCGTGATTTTCCCCTCGCATACTCACTATAGAGAGTCCAATTAAAAAAACTTATCAATGTCAGAGATCTCTTAGAATTTATGATTTTTTCATTACAATTGTGGCAACGATTCAACGATTTTACCGAGATCTTCCGTTGCAAGTGCCAATGCCAAGATCTTTTGGGCAAGTCAGAAATCTGTCTGACGCGTGCATACCTTGTCCAAGATTATCGTAGCAAAAAATTGGTATACAAATCATCGAGCGTTCTATTCTTCTTATATAGTAATTTTCAGCCTTTTTCACCACTTGCGAGTTCTAACTGCTCCATCTGTTGACATTACGTTCAAAATTGTAAATGATTTGTGGAAATTGATTGCTATTACCATAAATTATTTCATTTCTTCAACTTGATTTGTTTAAATTACTTAATAATTATATTCATCGGGAAATGATTTATGTTTGATTCAATTATATATTTTGTTGGCAATAAAACTAAAGTTTTGGAAATTTTATTTAATTTATTCGAAGACGCTCAATGATCAAACGTATCAATCACTTTATTGTTTCACAAAAATATTTACTTTTAAATCGAAAAATATAATCTTTCTCAGATATACAAATGACGCGTCGGAGCTGTCCTTCACATCGTTGCATCGGCTTGCAAGCAGACAGTTTCAGTCACTTTCCGACAATCGTCGAAAATTTCACGAGGATGCATTTGTCCCAACGGTCTTTCTCTCTCTCTTAATTTCGCTACAGGCCGTACTGGCTCGATCGATCTATCTCGTCCGCGTTTATGCATTACCAAAATTATATTGTAAATCCGTGAAGGAACGGGGAGGCGGGTTATGTAGGATACTGGCTTTGCCCGTTACTCTTCTCTAGGTTTTATGCCGTCGAATCGATGAATGATGTTAAACTCGGTTTCTTAATAATAACAATACTAACAATTTAATATTTGAAAACTTAGATATATACAGAAAAAGTAACAAAATCTTAGGGTGAAAATCGATGCTATAGGATCGAGAAGTTATCGCCTGCTCTGAGCGCGTATACTTTTCCAACTGTATCTCAGCACGAGCCAAGATGTTGCCAACGACACATGCGCGATCTTACCGCTGAGAGTGCGCGATTGACGAAGTTTTACATTCAAATATAAAACGAACATACACGAGCGAACAATATATCTATACATTTTCTCGAAAGAATTTCTCACCGAGCTCACGATGTATTGTTGCTTGCGCGTATCGCACGTCGACCTACATATAGCTCGCGAGTAGGTGTACGAAGAGAGGAAGATGTCGCGTTCTCGCGCGAGCCTCGAGCGACGCAATTGGCACGGCACAGCATCCTCTCGCGCCTCCATTTCTCGCATCTCTCCCTCCTCTCGGACATCTTTCGCCTCTCTCCGAGCTGCTCCGAGCCTACGTTATGCGTAGTCCTATACGTACGCGTTATATCCGGTCGCGCGAACCTTCGCACCGTCAGCGGGACTATGCCTTGTATACGGTACATACATAAACGAGATGCGATCGTATACGCAGCTGCGAAACTCGCACAACTCCACCCCCACGGTTGGGCGCCGCGATCCAACGGTAGTGGGGTTCTCGTGCAGAGACGCATCCCCCACTTTCTCTAAAGGCGGAGTCGCCGCCACCACCGCCGCCGCCGCTGCTTATTCTGTGATCGCAAAAACGGCCAGTCGCTGCGGACACGATTGGCACACGGCGTCTGGCCACCGCCGCAAGCGCACACACACATTCGCCACTGCTTTGACTTTCGCTATCGCTCTCTTATTCGTCGTGGCTCCCGCAGTTTCTCTCCACTCGAAGCTACACGAAGGTGCATCGTAACAGTCAGTTCGATTCTCGCGCGCTCCACGAGCGGAGGAGCCGACGAGTAGTAGACAGATCGTGTATTTTGACATTTTTCGTCACTGTTGTTGTTGTTGTTGTCGTCGTCGTTTGGCACGAGTGTAAAAAAAGTGTGGGTGCTGCAAGATGTTGCACAGTGCCCTGCCGCAGCGAACCTACCTGGCCGGCGTCCCGGGCCTGGGTTACCATCTCGGAGCTGCTGCGGCCGTCGCCAGTTACTTCGACGAGTTGCACCAGCAGCATCCCTACGTCACCGCGAGCGCCTATCACCATCAGCAGCAACAGCAGCAACAGCATCAGCAGCAGCAACAACATCAACTCGAGGAAGCTTACGCCTTTCAGCGGCTGAGCGAGCAGCGACTCTTGGCTTGGGATGCGCAGCAGCAGCAGCAGCAGCAACAACAGCAGCATCATCAGCCGCATCATCCGCTTCAGCATCAACAACACAAACGAGCCGAGACTCCGAGCCCGTTGGATCTGTCCGTCAAGAGCAGCTCGACGACGGAAAATGCGCCGGTCGTCGGGCCGGACGAGCCGATCGAGGTCGACGACGAGGAGGACCGTCGCAGCCGCGAGGAGGCCCGACTGCATCGATCCGCGGCCGGCTTCTACGACGACGATCAGGACAGCCAGCGCAGCTGCTCCTCGGTGGGTCTCTCGGTTTACCATCCGACGCCGCGCAAGCAGCTGCTGCTCTCGGCCAGCAGCAGTCCCCTGCAGAGCTGCCACTTGACCCCGTTGAGTCATCATTCGGGACAGACGCAGCCTCAGCAGCAGCAGCACGCGCCGATGACGCCACCGAGCACGCCGTCGCCGTCCAATCAACCCTACCACCATCCTCCGTCTCTGAAGCGCAAGGAGATCGGCGCTAGCGGTGGTAGCAGCGGCAGTAGCGTCACCCCGACGATCGGCGGCAGAGCGGAAAAATCGGCGGCGGCTGGTGGAGGACTGCGAGGCAAGAAGAAACACGTGCGCCGACTCAAGTTCGACGAGGACACGAGCAGTCCGGTCTCGGGCACGGTGATCCTCGGCCCGGACGAGGCCATCGTCACCGGCGACATCGATCCGGCCTTCAACATCGTCGAGGTCACCGAGGAGGCGCGCGCCGAGCTCGCCAAGATCGAGAACCGCCTCGGGCCCTACCAGTGCAAACTGTGCCGGCAGCTGCACGACGACGCCTTCCAGCTGGCCCAGCATCGCTGCTCGCGCATCGCCCACGTCGAGTACCGCTGCCCCGAGTGCGACAAGCGATTCTCCTGCCCGGCCAATCTGGCCTCGCACCGGAGATGGCACAAGCCGAGACCAGCCGCGGGCGGAGGAGGAGGAGCGGCATCGGCCACGGCTACCCAGGACGAGCTCGCCTGCAGCAAGTGCGAGGCCAAATTCGCCAAACAGTCGGCTCTGAAGAAGCACATGGCCCAGCAGCATCCCAACGAGCAGAACAACAACAACACGACGGAGCTCATGCAGGTCGACGCGACGAGCAAATTGGCCGCTCTCGATCACGAGATGGCCTGACGACAGACGGTCAGCAGCATGACGTTGGCTCGGCCGATGCCCATCAGGAGTCTGCCGTCGTCGAGCGCCGTTTACTGGAGATTCGGCCTCGATCTCATGTGAATGTCGACGCGCCGATTGGTATTTAGCTGCGTCCAAGCGTAACGTATTTTTATTTGTTTGTTCAATTATTCAGCAGCTAAGTATTTATCCATATATTGTATAGACTTTTAACTGCACCGTTATGTATCCGAAAGTATATTCTAGTCTGGTTTTCTCATTTATATTTAACTTGTTTGTTCGTTTGTTCATCATTATATATTTTGTATAATCACGCGCGCACCGAGGGGTTTGTTTTTCTTTTGTATCTCTCTTCTCGTAGTAATAATTGAATCGAGTAAGCGTCGTCGTGCATAGGCTCGCGGATCGTCGAATCGACGACGTTTTCTCGAGCTGCTAGAGTAATTCGAAGAATGAAAAAAAAACTAATCGCAATCTAGTCAAAGCTATTGCATTTTACCAGAAGCTCCGATCGTAATAAGAGTCCAGCTTAAGTTTGCCAAAAATGAAAAAGAAAACATAGAAAAAGGAAATAAAAATGATTAACGATATAGTATTAACTGTTTAAACGGCGTTATTGTAATAGGTAGAGCTTGCAAAGCAGCGCAGACGAGTTTTTGTAAATTTCGTGTATAAATTGTTCGAAGCGTAATGATACGAATCAGTATTTTAAATGTCCGGTATAATTCGGTTGTGTAAATGTTTGTAGATAGCAAAGAATAAAAAATCGGCACGGTATAGTTGTATATATTATAATTTAAAGAGTACGAAATAAGTTAACGCAGGGTATTTAATTTTACGTTCTCGATCTCGATAGTCTCTTTCGTCACGAAAAAATAAGAAAAAGAAAAATAAAATTTAGCCATAATGTTTGTGTGTGTGTACTCGATCTAGTCCCATATATATAATAGATCTCCGAAAAGTCGCTTTCGCACGTACAGTGACGCGTTGATTTTTTTCGCGCGCGATAAACTGGAGTGCGGCGTGACTCATGCAGCTAAACGATATCAAAGATATTTAAGAGAAAAAAAAACTATAAACAAATAAATGTATAGATATGATATTTGTAAATGTATATGTATCCAAAAGTTGCCATTTATGATTTTTCTAGTCACACGGTATTTTTGTTCTGGTCAATTGCCAAAAAAAAGGAAAACCAACCAAACTATTTCTCGTACACATTCCTCTTAGATAAGAATTTTAGTTTTTAATAATGAGTCTTTTTTTTCGTTTAATTTGTACTTTTTATTTTCATCCATTATCCCCGATGATTTGGCCCCGTTCAAGGGCGAGAATCATCACGCGAGTATTGTTCTAGTCAACTCCATATAAAACACTTGTAAGACCTGTAATTTAGTTACCAATTAAGCTTTAACCATATTTAGGCCAAGTTACGCAACAGAGCCCTGTTTAGTACTACATAGCATGTATATAGCAATTTTTATCGGAAAATTGAAAAGGGAAAGTTACCCTCTCTTTCTCGCGCGCTCTCTATCTCTATCTCTCTATCTCGGGGCGAAGTTCATTGAATTAGATTTCAACTGGCTTAGCTGCGATATAGGCAGGGAGCGCGGAGAGCTTCGTGTCAGACTGATTGAGCTTCTCGTTTTCACGACAGATATATAAACACACACCCGGCGAAGACCGAGTGACACGGACTATATGACTTTATTGTTTCACGGGTTAAATTGACATGCGATTGTCTTGTAAAAGCTAGAATAATCTCATTTGGTCGGTTTCATTGCATCAAACGTATAGATAAATGATATAGCCAAGCTTGCAAGAGCAATTACCTGATTAAAATTAAATGTCGCAAGACGCAAAGCGATGCACATCTCATCGAGTTTGATTAATTAATTTTATTGCGTTACTTCTGCGAGTGTGTGTTTATTTATCAAATGCGACACGTGAATCCGAATTTTGGGCTAATTGCAATTAATTTGTATATCATCGTTTTGTTTATATTTATGTAAGTTAATTTTTCATAAGCATTTTCTTGCGCACATAATTTGCCTGCATCTGTATTATACCAAACTATTTTTGGGAAAAAGCTCACAATTAGTCACGTAATGAAATACCGCATTATACGTATAAGTTTATCCCAAAATCGTTTTTAATCGATATATATTTATTTTGTATACACGTATCAAATAGAAGACATCAAAACGCATATAATAAGAAGGCAACAAAACTGGTATATATATAATATTATTATGTATAACCACGATTTCTAAATAAAACAGACATTAAAAGTACCACCCGCGCGCCACCCTATAGCTATATACTACTACACGCCAGGCATATGCCGTTCGCGTGCGCTAAGGGCGTTTGCGAATTTTTCAGACATTTTTCAAATCAAATAATCATAAAGTTTAGAGACGCACAATTCGATCAAAGAAAGTGAAAAAAAAACAACAAACGTATGGAGACATACACACGTTCGCACAGAATTGATACGAGAATAATAAACAAACTAAATGAAAAAATAATGAATAATCTGCGACACCGAAAAATTTTTATGTAAATATACCGTCGCATCGTTAATGCGATTATTGTAATTGATTATTTTGTAAAAAAAAAAAAAAAATGTGTAATATATAACTATTGAATCTGCGCTGCTTAATTTCAGTAGACGTAATTATAACGATAATGCGAAGGAATGAAGATTAAATCGTCGTCGAACTGTTAGACAATGAGTATTGCTATTGTCATATTAAGCATATTATAGATATTAAATGTGTATCAAGTGTCATAAAAGACAACGTTTACTTCAGAAATACATGATTATCAATAAAACTAAACTCACAATGTGTCTTCCTTTTTTTGTAACCACTCATACGTCACCCACAATTCCGATTTTCCTTTATTATTTCTTAGCAGCTTCGAAAGTTTAAGCTCGACCCGCGTGACGGGATCTTGTCTCTCTCTCTCTCTTCTTGTCCTCGTTGCCTTGAAGCACAAATCGTTTAATCCTATACCATATACCTAATACGCCGCGTACACTGCGCATTCCCGTAATACATCTAATTCCATCACAAAAGGAATCGCGCGGCATAACGCAAGAAAGATTAGATCCTTTCATACTCAAATAATAATTTCGAGCTTTTTTCGGTCCCGTAGCAGCACACCGCGTGTATACAAGTGCGCGAGGCGATTTTTCCAATGGGGCTTTGATGTCGTATCCCTGCAGCGTCGTCGCTCGACGAGCTTTTATCCGTTGCCGGGAAAGATGACGAGTACAAAGCTCTTATGCCAAGATTACGCCTTCGATTTCCACGTGTAAGCACAATATAGATATATCCGCGCGCGAAGTACGACGGAGTGTACTGACTTGCCATAGGACAATGCAGCCTATAAGAAGGATGACGTTTTTTCTTCTTCATCTTTTTTTTTCTTCTTCATTCATATAACTTTTTCGATGTGGAGGATTGGAGCCGTGCTGCTATTGTTGGTCAGCGACCATCAAGACCGATTGGATCGGGGTCAAGCTTCGACGTACGCAGCACGCATATACTACACATGTACGAGGTAAGAGAGTGCGAAAATTTCTTCTCTCCCTGTCGCTCGATCGACAAGAATGACAAAAAAATTCGATTTCAAAATCATCATCGAGCGTAGTAAATAAAGCTAAATTTTACAGATCGAGAGTAGATATATCTATGAGCATACGAGGCATGCTTTATACCTTCTTAGTGCTGTACAGGGATGAACCTACTACAAAGGCACATCTCACATGTGCTCACATGCATATATATACGCGCATGCATGGCACAGACTTACATACATGTACACACGCCTTTGGGAATCCACTTAGGGACAGCCTCGCGTAGTAGCAGCAGCAGCAGCAACAGCTCTTTTTACCCTATACGAGTCGCCTCCACGCGCGATATATCTACTTTCCGAGCTAAACTCTCGCGAGAATATAATATATCTATATAGGCGCTTATTCTTCTTCCACATTTTGCCGAGCGATTTTATGCAGCCTTAGAAAATCTTTTACTTTTCGGCTGTGTCCTCCCTCGTCGCCTCCCTTCTCTCGGGGCAATTTTTCAATTTTCTTTTACACTTTGTCGGCAAGAATAGCATTTTTCGCGCTCACGTTTATATCCTGGTGAGTCAAGTGCCACCAAGACGAGTAGTAGTTGCTCTATACGTTTTCTTTGACCGTTTTTGCTTTCTGCCTTATCCGATGTATGTATGTATGTGTGTGCGTCACATGTATATCGAACATTTTTCGGAGCTTGCGTGAAAAAGCGAGCGAAAAATGAATTACACGCACAAGGTGAACGAATTTTTTCACGAAATATCGTGTAGAGATATAAGATTGCACGCGAGAATTTCTCTTTTCTCAATCTTTCTCTCTTTCAATAGCAATTCAGTTTTACATTTAAAGCTCGTGTTTTTCTTGGGAAAATTCGCCACAAAAATCGAAGCGCATTAGCGCATCGATGACACTTGTAAAGTCCGTGTTGTAAAACACAGGCCACCGCGCGTTAACGCTTCGTTCGGGCCATGCAAACGGATTTAGCCCTATCGAAGAGCAAAGTTTATTCGGCTGTATAACTCTCGACGCGGAAGAAGTAGTACGAGGAGAAGGCGGAAAAAAAGTAAAGAGATACACTCGGAGCCAAAGCACAGAGTACAGAAGTGAGCGCGCGTGAATCAAGAACTAAACGTTTCTCTCGCCCTCCCGCCGCCAACGCGAATCGACGAGGGTGATGCTGAAGGAGGGTTCTCTGGTCGAGTTCTCTTTCTCTCTCTCTCTCTCTCTCTCTTTCTCCGGTAAACGGTGTAATTGTCTCTCACGAATGAGCTCTGTGCTGTGAGTCAGGAAGACCCTTCACCGGCAAACGCGTGTCTGTGTTTCTTTTTCCTTTTTTATTCTTTCGTGTTTTGTCATACGAGTATTTTCTTACCATGCACGTAGATATATGGGGTTTCTCGCTAGCCTTGGCTTTGTGTCGCGTTTTATTTTCGCTTAATTTTGCATCTACGGGTGTCCGAGGAAGCAATCGCGCAGGCGGCGGACTACGACGCACGACAGATTTTCGCGAGCTCTTGCGAAGCAACGACAAAAAAAGGAAGAAAGAGAAAAAAAGCATCGAGCCAAAAAAGCTCGAGTGCCATCCGAGGCGGAAAATTCTCAAGATTCCCAGGCCGTGTAGGGAGGAGAACGTGGTATACGTTATGTGCGCGTGGGCTGTACACGTACTGGAACTATAATACACTCAAGTAGGCGCCAGTGTATTACGGGGTCCTTGAAGCAATCAGTGAAAAAACGTCAACTACGCGCGTCCGTGTGTACGAGGCTATAAGAGGTAAAGAGAGAGAGAGAGAAGCTCGCGTCGCGTGCGTGACCTAAACACTTACCCGTTCTATATACATAATTCTAAGCCACGAAATGCATATTGTGTTACACACGTAGCGCACAAGTATACAGTACGCAAACACATTATATAGCTGCTTATGTAGCTCATTATAAATAGCGAAGGAAAAACATCTTATTTAAGATTTTCCAGCCGAGATTGAGAGCTTTGGGGTGTCGACAGTTATTGCTGTATCGATCTCTCGAAGGCCGTAATATAACATCGACGCGATGACGTGCCATATATACCTCGAAGGAATGCGATCGCTCAATTTACCTTGGCAGCTACTACGTGTGTATAAATGTGTAACAGCTCGGCGCGGCATAGAGTGCATCCATCAAAGCCAAGAGTGCAAAATACCAAACATCGCTGAACGCGGGTGGGTGGGGCGGGATATGATACGACGCGCACAAAAGGGACCGTACGAAGCTCGCGCGCGACCCGTACTACGCCGCAGCCGTATAATTGAAAAATACCTCAAGAATTTTGGCGTGATCGCGAGGCTGTGTACGCGCACGAGGGCGGAGAGAGAGAAAAATTCCAGGCGTATATAATTTATAACTTCATCGAGCAGTGCGGAGCGAATGGGAAAAGAGAGTGAGAGAAAAAAATCTCATAATTTGCCCGAAATTCAATGAATCGAAAG